ACTTATCATATCGGCCCCTTCCAACATCAACTGAATCTGGCGCCACTTCTGGAAACGACATCGAGAAAAATGGGATTGACTCATACAACGTCGGTTGTTCCTCTGCTTCCGCCTCGTTGTGCTGCAACCACGTCTCCCGAAAATCATCTTGTACGTCTTCATCTTCATTGTCGTCGTCTCCGTCATCGGATGGTTCGGAATTCACAGGACTGTTCGGCCCAAATGAGTCACCTATAGGGTCATCATCTTCAAAAATGCTCCGTCTCGGGGAACTCTGTGCACCTCTCTCGCTCCACTAGTCTCACAATAGTTAGGGATGCCTTGTGTCGTTGCCAAAAAATCCGGAGTCACCTGTGGTTGTCAGAAATATGGTTCATTCAAATCAAATGCCTCTACGCTCACTTGTGGTGGGGCACTATCAATATACTTCGGTTCAATCTCAACAAATACTTCGATTGCCTCATTCCCTTCGTCCAGATCGATATACATTTGTAAATCTTCATCTATTGTTATCTCGGTAATCATCTCTTTCATTCTTTCTCCATTATAAATGTAAGATTTGCAACACACTCTTAGCCCAAACTGATTAACATCGACATCTAGACATTGATACAACTTTGATAGAAAATGTGCAAAGGACAAGTCACGTTTAATTCGGAATGCTGTTTTGTGGGCAATACTATATTGCACTACCCAATCATCAGGAATTATGTGACCTCCAAAGTACACGTACACTTTGACATTATTTTTAGCCGCTATCAATCTTCAAAAGATTAAGGAGATAATTAACTCATCAATTTCAAGATTAATTAATAATGAGGCACATTAGTTAAAAAATAATAATTTAATTAAGCACACAAAAAAATTAATTAGTTAATTTAATTTAACTGCCCCATGTTTTACAACACCATTTTAACTACTGTTTTACAAAACAACACCATTTTTTTTTACCCATGCTTATAAAATATAAATAGTATTAATACCTTGTATAAAATAAATAAACTACTAACTAACTAACTACCCACATGCATCCTAAAAACACTATTCACATGTATTTACAATAATTAATTAAAAAATTTGGACATAATAAAAAAATTATAAAAATAATTTTTTTTAATTATTTACAATAATAATAAAAAATTACCTTGGTTGGGTGAAGAGCATCGGCGGCAATGACCACAGAGCACCGGCGGCGGCAACTGGACCACCGGCTGCGAGGGAGGCGACGTCGGGGAGGCAGCGGCGGGCAGGCGGCGTCACCAACGGAGGAGGTCGCCGGAGGTAATTATATATTTTATTTTGAATTTTAAAACTAAATTTTGTTTTTGTTTTTGAAATTTAACAGAGAGAGGAGGAGTAGCTCAGCTGGGGGAAGAAGAGATGTGGGGAGGAGAGAGAGTGAAGTCGCCCTTGTCGAAGACGTCTTCACGAGACGCCGTTGTCAGCGGCGTCTCCTCCTGGTCAAAGCACGATCCCCGAGGCTTGCTGTCTTGATCTGGACCGTCGGATCAAACTTTCGATTGTGCAATCTAGACCGTTCATAAATTAATATATTAAAATATAAATATTTATAAAATCCAGAGGAGACGCCGTTGGAGTTGGCGTCTCCTGTCGGTGCCGCCGTCGGTGGTGGCGCCTCCGCCGGTGCCGCCGTGGGGGGTGGGGCTCAACCCCAATTCGTTTACACCCCCAAAACAACCTCATTTTAAAAACTACTTTCTAAAACAACACAAAAAAAAAATGCCCCTGATCTGACGCTCGATATGATGATGACATTCTTGCTTTAGGATTCCGTGTACGTCTGATCACCCTTGCGTGCAGGAGTTCTATCGTCTTCCCATGTCCATTCCATCCGCCTCTCTCCTATTCGTTGCTTTTTTTTTTTTTAATGAAGGAACCCGCAACCAACCATATATGTGCACTGAGTAAACTTACACTCTCGTATGATAGTTTGCAAACCATGCGAGAGACATAAACTACACTAGGCTAATCATGTGTGACAAGCTTGACCTAGCAACCGTTGGCAAAGGAACTTGAATCTGGGTCGATTGGCACATAACCACTTGCTCTAACCGTTAGGCCATCCCTTGCGGGACTATTTGTTGCTTATTTGTGTGAATTGGAAGTGGATGCAAATGTTTTGAAAAATCAAGTTTAAAACAATTAATTTATTAGTTGATTGTATAGGAAACAAACTTTATTTTCTATTATTTTTATAAGATATTTCATATGCCATTACACAATGAATTTTGATGAAAATAATGATACAAGTATTCCAATGCAACTTTTAAAGCCCAAAAAGATTGTTACATATTAGAAATAAAGCAAAACTTGTCTGTGCAAACATTCAAAAAATTGATTAATATATATATATATATATATATATATATATATATATATAGGTTTGAGGGAGCTATAGCTAATAGCCCTTAAATAAAAAGAGATGTAATTAATCTCGTCCCTCAAGTGTGAAAAAATCTTCTCAAATTGTGCCTCTTAGATTTTCTTTTGCATTCTTCTTCTTGTCGTATTTGGCTGTTGTTTAGTTAGTGTGTGTGTGAATGTGTTTGCAGTAAGTTTGTATTTTGACAAACATAAGTCGACATATATATGCTACACATTAAATTTTCAACTGCCAATAATTGAGCTGCAGCTTCTCATATGATATATGCCTTTGGCTTTACTCTTACGTACATCTAAAACACCCTATTATGATTTATGACCACATATCTGGAAAAAATAAGTCAAATGCATCCAACTACCCAAGAATGTATTACAGTTTTAGTCCAAGTCAACTATTAAAAAGTAGATCCCAAAGCGCATCCTTTGAACACTTTTGGGCCAATTTTCATGTTCCACCATTCATTAAAGGATAAATTACTATCACTCCTGAGGTATGGTCAAATTATGAAAAAATCCCATCTGTTTGGGTAATTATAACCACATCCCTTAACTATAAACTTTCTTACCCATCCACCTATGCGGTGTCAAATTTAGTGGAATCTTGTAGATTATATGGAATATTCTCAATTTTGTACCCATTTTATCCCATTCTTCAAGCTCCGCATTTTAAAGCAAGATGATCGTAAGATGTGTTTTTTAGCTTATACATCAGATTGTGGTGCATCATAAACTGCATTTTTGCATAGAGAATATGCCACGAAATCTAGAATATTATGTTGAATTTGACACCATAAGAAAGGACGTGTAAGAAGATTCATAGTTGATGGATAGTTGTAATTATCCAAACATTAGGGGTTTTTTCGTAATTTTGCAATACCTCAGGGGCCATTGTAATTTACCCTTCATTAAATCAGACAAAAAGTTCTGCCGGTTAAAATTGACTTTTTCTTGGCCTACGTTGTAAGATCAAACCTTTGTGTTTAACACAAGGTTAAATATAAATTTCTTGCCTTCCCCCCCTCTCTCTCTATATATATATATATATATACATATCAGATATAATCACTTGTTCAATTTCAAGAAAAGAAGCAAACCAACAAATCAATGGCGATTCGAGCTTTCCTTATCGTGCTTTCGTGCTTGGCCGCCGCCACCTGTCGCGGTGCTACCTTCTCTTCTCTTCAGCAAACTCTTATTGTCACTGCTTCACCTCAACCAGCTCAAGGTACATATCCTAATCATGGGAAAATATAGTTTTCATCCCTCAAGTTTACAACAATTTTACATTTGGTCCCCCATGTTCATAAAAAATATATTTGGTCCCTCATGTTTTAATAATTTGACACTTTTGGTCGTTTCCGTCGATTTATCGTTAGTTTGTCAGTTACAGTAGTGATGGGAACACGTTTGATTCAATTAGTTTTAACGGAAAATTGACGGAAAAGACTAAAAATGTTGAATATTTGAAACATGAGGGACCAAATATGTTTTTTGTGAACATAGATGACCAAATGTGAAATTAGAGAAAACTTGAGGGACGAAAACTGTTTCCCCCTAATCATGCTTTATGTAATACTAATATGTTTGCGGGTCATCTAAAATTTTTGTCGCTAAATCGAAACTTATTACAGTCCTAAAAGCCGGCGAAGACGAAATCACCGTGACATGGTCACTCAACTCCACTTTCCCAGCCGGCGTCGATTCTTCCTACAAAACGGTGACAATCAAACTCTGCTATGCGCCGATAAGTCAGAAATATCGAGGATGGAGAAAAACGGTCGACAATTTAGTCAAGGACAAAACATGCCAGCACAAGATTGTTGCTAATAAGCCGTACATCTCTTCTTCGTCTAACAACACTTTTACGTCGACAGTGCTGAGAGATGTGCCGACGGCTACTTATTTTATAAGGGCCTACGCGCAAAATTCGGAAGGTGATGAGGTGGCGTATGGCCAGACCACGGATTCTCACAAGGCCGTTAACTTGTTCGAGATTCAAGCGATCACGGGGCGACATGTGTCGCTTGATATTGCGTCGATTTGCTTCTCTGCTTTCTCGATTCTGTCTTTGTTCGGATTCTTCTTCCTGGAAAAGAGGAAGTCCAAGGCATCCGAATCAAAGTGATATATCGGTTGGTTTTTTTTTTTTTTTCAAATGAATGAACCTGCAGCCAACCATATAAGTAATATGCTCTAATTAATTATTAAAGTTAATTTAGGAAAAAATATTTGGCTATGTGACTCGATCGTCGATGTCGAAAAGTATTCGAAAAGTACCCCGTTAGTATTAGTTTGTATTTATGTTATGAAGTTAAGAGAACCGCTCTTATTTATTATGGTTCTCTAAATAAATAAATTCCGTACAAGAATTACACTATTATTTATTTATCATGTGACAAATTCGATAATTTGCAAAATTTGCGTCACGATTTGAAGTTATAGCACACGAACCGATGCATTCGCCAAAGACAGCAAAAAAGTGGCGGATCAAACATATATATAAATAACCATACGAAGCTGTTTACTTGTTATTGCATGCTAATATATTATTTGTATGCTAATATACATACGAAGAAAGACACTAATTGGTGTTCCCATCATTCATCCAATGAAGAATAGATATTAAGAACTAAATACGGGAGAGAATTTTTTTCTTTTTCACGGTCCTCCTTTAACTTGGTCGAAGCCAGAGGGTTGCAGTCAACCACTTCAATCTTCGATAGAAGTTTATAAAATTTCAGAGGGATTCTTTGTAATTTGTAGCAATGTTTTAAGCTAAGAGTCTCGAGACTTTCGAAGCAACGATCATCTTCAAACGTCCACTGCACCAGATCAGTGTCCTCGATCAAAAGAAATCGAAGCTTTTGGAATTCATGCTGACGAACTTTCCACTCCGGTCCTCGAAAAGCGTAGCATCTCAATTTTAGCTCCCTAAGCTTCGGCAAAGAAGAAATCTTGCTCATTTCTTCCCAAGGGTATCCAAATCCGCCGGTCAAAGTCAACTTTTTAAGGCTCGATGGAAAGATCGAAAGAGGAACGACAACCTTGGATATTATTCTAGGATTCACAACGACACATTTAAGTCTCTCTAGTCTACGGAGATGGGAAATATGATTGAAGCAGCTAAACGGTTCGTCCACATCATCAGCGGGCCCCACTTCGATTCGGATACCTAGCTTCATCAAACTAGGTATTCTTTCGAAAACATCTCTGGTACAACTCTGAGAGCCCACGTCTAAAAGTGTGTAGAGGTTTCCCAAGAAAGATTCTTCACGAGGGTGCGGTAGATCGCTCCCAGCAACTTGAAGATGAATCAATTCTTTCATATCCCATATCTCCGTAGGCATATACAAAGAATTCGCTTTAGATTTAACGACGCTCAAATGTCGTCGAACAATTAAGTAACGAAGGTTCCAAAGTCTGGATATGGAAGAAGGGATATTTCCTTCAAATGTAAGGGCAAGGTACAATAGTTGAATTAGATTAACTACTTCCAATGGGAACTCATAGAACCGAGCGGTTAGAGCATCGAGTATCCTAAGCAACCTGAAACCAAAACATACCGGTACTGGATATTCATGATATGGACCGGTACATAGGAGAGAACGTACTGTTGAAATAGAAGACATTGTATCATAAACATCTTTAATGGCAAATAAACTGTTATTGCGAATGCACAATCGTCGCTGGCTTTCTAGACGTTCTTCTGCTAAACCATCGGCGAGACTATTCAAGGCATGGAAAAACTTGCTTTTCGTAGCTTCTTTGTTGCACAAATGCCAAAAGGGTGAATAAAGGCTGCAAGTCTTTATTCTTTTATTGAAGCCAATCTTGTGGAGCATGATAAGACTACTCGAATCGAGCTCATCCAATTTCAACAGAGATTGATATCTACTACAAAATCCTTCCACATGCCAAATTTTGGCGAGCTTGGAGCGGGGACTCTCGTAGTTTTGAGGGAACACTCCCATGTAGAGAAAGATTGGTTTCAATTCTTGAGATAAGTAGTCATAGCTTGGATAGAGCACCTTGTACATTCGACCATACGCATCCACGTAAACCGAATGTCTTTTGTCGTCACCTACCTCGTTCCAGTACTCTGCGGTCTTGTCAGATTCGGATAGGATTTGGGCAACCTTAACGATCGTTAGAGGAAGACCTTCACAATTCTCGGCAATCTTCTTTCCGGCTTTCTCCAGCTCGTTAGGGCAAGGCATTTCATCAAACACCTTGTGACGAAGAAGTTCCCAACTTTCTTTCTTATCCAGGAATCGGATTAGCTGCAGATAACTACCCCTTGCGACGTCTTTTAGCCTAGTTGTCATGACTACTTTACTTTCCTTGTATTCCTTTGGAAACAAAGTTCCAAAATATGACTGAATTTCGTAGTCCCATACATCATCCAGCACGATGAAATATCGTTGACCCTTTAAACTTAGGTAAACCATTCTTTCCAAGCCATCTAATGACTCTGTAATTAGCACTTGTTTTTTATCATCAACAGTCACTTGTTCTAGAATATCTAGCAAGACTCTTTCGAAGCGATATATCGGGCCTACGGTCACGAAAGCCCGTTTGGTGCAAGTGCTCAAAGTTAGTGGATCTTGAAAGAATTTCCTGGCAATAGTAGTCTTACCAATGCCCGCCGTTCCATAGAGCGTGATGTGATTCTTATAAGGCGACGCAAGCAGATGTTTGATTTCGATTAATTGATCGGATAATCCAACCATCTGACCGGATGACTCATCATCATTATCTATAGCTTCTTCTTCTTCTTCGTATGGCGGAGAAGTGTGTAGCTCGTGAATGTAAAGAGCCTTCATCTTCTTCACCTTTCCGATAAAGGTATCTTGAGACAGAAACAGAGGTGAAATACGGGATTCTATTACATCCTCAAACTCGTGTAGTAATATTCTGATTTGTTCATCCAAAAGATTGATTCTTTTTCTGTTCAAGTGGCTCCCGGTGCTGCTGAAGCTGTCCAATTCTCTGAGTACATCTTCCATGGAAGAAAGCTCTTTCTTGACATCTCGTAATTTACTATTAGAACAAAGATCTAGGAGCGAAATACGATGGTAGGATAAGAGGTCCAATGTTTTCTTGAGTGAAATCGCAGCAGCATAAGCCATTTCTGAAATGGAAACTTGTTCTTTGCTGTTAGAAATTGTTGATGAAATAACTCAACTGGGTAGTTGGTTAGTTGCTCTCATAATTAGTGGCTGAGGAGAGAGGAGATAAGGATAGCTTGCCATTATTAATAGGCAATAACTTTTAAAAAGAAAAAAAAAATGGTTGCATCGATTTGCTTCATCTGCACTTGAAAAATTATTTTAATGTGGTCTTTTTTGTTAGTTGTCAGGCATTTGACATTAACACCGTATGGTATAATGTCTGAAAATTACAAAAACGACACTCTTCCAATTAAAATAATTATTAAAAAAAGAACAAAAACAAAAGAAATGAACAATTCAAGACATGGGGCAAGAATCACATGGCCGCCTCAACTACCAAAAACTCAATTTCGGAGCATAGTTCACTATGACGGTCACCAAAAACCCTTTTTTTTTTTTTTTTTTACCCTATTCAAATTCCACATGTGTTTAATTTCTTATAATCTAGGTCAATCAAGCCTATCAAACACAGTAAAAACAAAAAAAATATCCTTTAAAACATTGACCGTATATAAGACGCATGCAATTTAAAGCATATATATGTAATTGCATTTCGTTTACATTCACACGAATTATAGTATCTCATTTAAACTTTGTCCATCTTCCGTAACACTACATCAACTAAAACACCATTTCATGAGTCTTCAATCTATCTTCACCACATAGCAACAACCGGTCGTGAAAAACATCGATACGACCGAAAGAGTCCGTCCCAGGTGGGCACTCTAAAGCCGCTTCAAGAATCCGATGGTGGACCCCATGAGAATCGACCGAGTATCCGCCTTTGTGATCGTGGCCCGCCAAACAAGCCTTTACGCAACTATACCTATGAACCACATCCATCACTTCGTTATAGTTCCACAACAATGCTTCATTGGACGACGCGTCCGCATCCAGCGGTAAATGGCACCCTATCACCACTTTTTGATCCAACTTCGTTGCATCTCCAAGAACTCGATCAAGCCACTCGATTTGCTCTTTCCCAACGGCCCCGTTGAACATAAGGAACCTTCTATCCCGTCCGATAAGCCCGTTCGGAGAATTCTTGTCCGAATTAGGGTTTCGCTCTGCGAGAAAATTTATGGCCTTTTTAGTGTTCGGGTGGTCTTTAGGCCAACCGATTGCGCTCATGTCATATCCATCGAGGACTACAAATCGAAACTCGGGAATCGGGGAAAACTCATAATACGCGAGATAATTAGGGTTACGGATATTTAGCAATGGGAGTAGCTTGTCGCGGGGGAGGTTGTAGAGACAGTGGTTGCCGATCATGTGATACGTGGGCCCGTTGAATAGACGAAATTCGTTGAGGATTTTGTTGACGGAAGTTAGAGATTGGTCTTTAGGGCAAAACCCGTCAACGATGTCACCGAAGTTGATAGCGAATTTGAGATTTTGATGGTTCCAACTGTTCACTGCTCTTTGTAGCACGTGGAGACTGTGGCGGTAGTAGCGTGGAACCCCGAGAAACGAGTGGCCGTCGGGAATATCGGCGTATTGGACATCGGATATTACTCCAAAGGAAAGTAGAGGCTTGTTTTGATGTGAAGGGCCATTTGCATGACCCATAGAAACACACACAACCCAATCTATACCGACAAAACAAATCCCATTGAGAGAGAGAGAGAGAGAGAGAGAGAGAGAGAGAGAGAGAGAGAGAGAGAGAGAGAGAGAGAGAGCTCAAAATAAAACGAGGAAAATAAATTGCAGTAAAATTTTCAATCATCTGAATTCTGAACAGAGAGACTAAACAAATAGTATAAACAATTTGACTGAAGCATCACACAAATTAAATACGTAAAAATATGGAGAGAGAAAAACAAAGAAGAACATGAAACAAAGAATAAAAAACCGAGAGAGAGAGAGAAACAATACAATATCACAAAAGAATAGCGTACCTTTTCTCCAGAAATTCAACACTCCGATTGGCGGTGGTGGCAGCGGCGGGTGGCGGTGGTGGGAGGAGGAAGGGAGGCCACCTTCAGCGTCGGAGAATAGAGAGACGTCGTACGTTGTTTCCCTTAATATATGCCGCGTACTTTGGTCGGTTTACTTAATTAATAATTATATTAATGCCTTCTTAATTAATTTGTCTTTATGATTTATACTAGGAAAAGAGTTTGATCAGCCTAGGAAAGTTGTTACAATCAACAAAAGGAATTTAATATTTACACAAAGATATAAAATATTCATTTTTTTTTTCTTTATTTTTTTTTCTTTTACAATAAACGTGTTAAGACGTGATAAGATGTAATATGCAATAAATACAATGGAAAAAATTGTCAATTGTTTTTTTCTTTTTTTAAACAATTCAAACTATACAAGATTGTGTGGCACGACCAGATATTTAAAACTTCTAATTTTGTGACATGTGGAAATTTTATTAATGTATACGAAATGCAGCATGACTCGAACATCCAGAGTAGGGGTTGTAAACGAGCTGAGCCGGCTCGAAAAAAACCTTAAACTCGAATTTTTCGAGCTGGAATACGAGCTTTGTAACGAATCGAGCTCGAGTATTTTTTTAGTTGTTCGTGAACTCACGAGTCGGCTCGCGAGTCGTATATTTTTCTTTTTTTATTTAAATAAAGTATAATAATATAAAATATTATAGAAATAATAGAAAAATAATATATAAATATTAAGAAATATATATTTACACAGTTTATTCTTTATTTTGTAATTTTATTATAATCTAAATAATTTTTAATAATAAAAAATTAATAGTTAAAAAAAAATAAAAAAAAATACCACCTTAATGAGCTCGTGATTTATATGAGAAGTATAACCCTTTATTTGGTAATATTAATCCTTATATAAGGGTAAATTATGAAAATCACCCAAAATTTAGGATAAATTACAAAAACACCGCACATATACATTACTACCAAATTCCACTTGCATTTGTTTTTGCCGTACACAAACTCCCTTACGGTATGATTTTTCACTAAAAAAAATCCATTACAAGAAATATTTCTCAACAAATGTCAATTCTTCCCAAGAGGCATGGCATTTCTTTGCTTTTTAAAGACAAATTACCCTCGTATGTTAATAATAACAATATTAAAAAGTTAGGAAGGTGCTATTTAAGAAGGGTACAAATTCCGTGTTTGTCTTTCAGAATTCCGGCCTGAAACAGAATTCGAATATCCAAAATATATTTTAATTGTCGATTCAATAGTATTAATCAAATCAAATCACAAAATCTAAAATTTATTAGCATCTCATCAGAGACTACATCATACAATTAAGACAACAAATCCACCATAAAAAGAAGACCAATAAAAAAATTTGGAGTTTGTACAACTCCTGTGTGACGAAGATTTATGTACACCGATCAAGCACGAGCGCATTTTGGCCATCTCCCTGATGAAAAATAGCACAGCACCATTAGGCCAAATGCACTCCCTCAGTAAAATTGCATTGCGTCATCTTCCCTGGCAGATTCGTAAATATGTCCGACTACCTAAAAGAATATTTCAATATCTCCTAAAATGATCCCTCGTGAAAAATGAGTGCTTTAGGGCTTCGTCAGCAGACATTCTTTCGGAAGGATCGTATCTCAAGAGTCCTTGTAATAAATGAATAAGATCGCCCGCAGAGTGATCTACGAGTTGCATAACCATATTCTGAAGCCTGGGCATCTTTAATACTGCTTTTATACTATCTCTAGATGCCGCTCCCTCTGGCCAGTCTAATCTGCCCCTTCTAATATATTTCTCCGCATGTCGACTGGACAAAAAAAAACCATCAAATGGCCTCAATTAATAATTTATTCTGACATTTCATGTCAGTACTTAGACAAGAAAATATTTAACAGCTTACTCTGCTTTTTTCAACATGTGTTGCGGTAATGGTCCAAGCACTCTTTCCATCATCGCAAGGTGCTCCAAATTTTCATGGGTTTGAAACAACGCTTCACCCTGTACAACAGTCGGAAAAAATAATTGCTGAAATATTCGAAAATATACTAGTGTACTAGAAAAACCACGTGACAGCATCAAATTAGCATCATACCGAACAAAGCTCCACTAAAATACAGCCAACACTCCATATGTCACACGGGTAACTCCATCCCATTCCTTCACAACCAAAGTACAAAAGGAGATGTCAGATCATAAGCAGAGCAAAGAAACCATACAGCTCACAAATACAAAGAAGAATTTTTGCTTAAATCGACTACCTAGAATAACTTCTGGGGCTCGGTAATGTCGTGTTGATACAATGTACGACTGGTCCTTCTTGTCATAGGTTGTGCTACCAAAATCGATAACTTTGATTGCACTTGACTTTGGTATTCTCTTGTAAAATGAAGAATCCTTAGGAGACCTGGATGAACCCTGAAGACAGACACCAAATTTGAGGCTCAAACCAACTTACAGACATCAAAATTTAAGATAAACAATAAGGGCAATATAAAACTACCTTGTATTCGGGAACTCGCAAGTATTCTGATGAGACGAGAAGAATATTCTCAGGCTTCAGGTCCGTATGGATGAGGTGCAAATCATGCATAACTGAAGTAGGAGAGAAGCAATCAACACAATAGTAAAACAAAGCGCCTAAAAGCTTATGTCATGTATTAAGTGAAAAAGATGAGATCCTAATCTAAATGGTAGTTTTTTAAATAAAAAAATATTAGAAATATTAAATGGCACTGTTGACACCCTATTAATAGAATCTTTCATAAAGAACATTGTATTGAATGAGTAGAAACTATTTACACACATGCTACACATTCCAACAGTTGTCTTCCAATCTCACGAACAAGATCAATGGGAAATGAGCGATAATTGTTTTTGCGAAGGAAATCGTATAAGCTTGGTCCAAGCTTCTCAAAGACCTGTTGACACCATTTAAGTCCATGGACAGTTTTAATCCCCATAACATTTGTTAGGTTGGGGAAATTAACCCACTAAATCAATTATATGTACTTACAATACAGATATGGTTACGATAGTCAAACCAGTTCCGTATTTGAACACAACTGCAAGGAATAAACTTGTTCAACCACCGTGATTATTTGTAAATGCCGAAAACAATGGCAGCAATAAATAAAGTCGAAATAAAAACTCACCGACTGCCACCTTCATCATGCCTACCAAGTTGTTGGAGCACATCTACCTCAATCATTGCTGCTTCACGATATTTCTTGATACTACGGACAATCTTTATGGCTACCATTTCCTTTTGATCTCGATCCCAACACTCTAAAACCTGACCAAAAGTGCCTGCAAGTAAAAACTTGGTTAATCCAATGGAATACAACACTGCAATACAGCAAAAGACAAGCAGAATGGACATACCTTCACCCATCTTGCTGTGAATCTTATCTGCAAAAATAAATATACAAAAAAACAAAATAAGTACATAGGTCAGCCAAAAAAACTTGCGTAATGAAGGAAAAGAACAGCAATTTATGATTCACTTAATCAATTTCAATATTTTTTTAAAGTACATAGAAGACTTGTGATAATAAAGATGAAAACACACAATGGAAGTATTGCCACAGATAACAAAATGCAACCAAAATCATCGTTAGTCTTACTTATATCTAAAAGGTACGAATTTATTTATTGAAATAAGTCATATAATGCAGGAGGCAAAAAAAAATTAGGTTCTTATAGTAGTGAAGGTAGTTACAGCGAGAAGTTAAATTATCTCCGATCTCAAACATATAATGGCCTTCTTTGTCATCCTCTCGCCATGGTGGGGAACCATTTCGAGCCAGGCTCTTAACAAACAATGCATTATGATGGTCCGAAAGTGCCGAAGGTTCATAGCTTGTCACATTTCCAATATCTTGTGCAGAAAACAATGATAGCTGAGCCTACACACAGGCACCCATTCAAATTTTACTCAATATCAATAATTTAATTTTGGTTACCTCCTCGATATCCCTGTGCACCATACCAAATTACACCTAGTATATCTATCAATCCAAAAGAGAAACAAAACTATCGAATAACAACAAAACAATTCATAAATTATTGAAATATATAATAATTTACATTTAAATAAAATAAAAAAAAGGGAATCTTGATTTCAAAATTCCAAGGAAACAAAATTCAACATGATCTGAGATACAAGTGAATGCTTCTCCCAAAATCATATAAGATAAATAACCCAGCTTTAGATCATTAACACACAGAAATTCATCTAATTTAATGATTATAAGCCCCAAATAATATATCATAAAATAGAAGAATTAATAAATAAAAAATAATCGATTCAAAACAATAAAAAAAAACACAGATCTAGAAATAATTATCAAGATAAAAAATCATCACAAAGATCAAATTCTATTCATACCTGATCCAATAAAAATCAATTTTTCCCATCAGATCTACAGAGAAACAAAAGAAAAAAAAAAAGAAATTGTCCAAGAATTTTGAGATCCAGATCGGAAAATACCTTAGGGGCTTGGGGAAGAACATCCCATCCCAGTCGAGGCCTTTTTCTCGGCCGGCGATCCATAGTTAGCTCCGTCACGCGTTCCATCTCCATCTCAGGATTGCGCGAAATTTCGAGGGAGAATTATTGTTTTTTTCTAGAGAGAGAAAACGCTAGGGTTTGAAGAGAGAGAAAAAGCTTGCGTATGGCTGAGAAGATATTGAGCGGGGGGGATTTAGATGCTGCTTAATATTGACCTAATATTTGCGCCGTGTCAGTTGTGGCGAAATCCTGCCGTACACGTGGCGTTACTGCAGCCGCTTCTTTCTATTGATGATAGTCTAATGCGTTTATGGTGAAAAATGGTATATGCCATCGGAATCGGATCAAATGTTGTGATAAAATCATGTATTTATTTATTAAAAAAATAAACTCATAAATAATCATTAAAACACAACTTTCATAAAGGAAAAAAATCATGGAATTTATGATATTCATTATTAAATGGTTTTCATTTTTTTTATTTGAAATGGGTGTAATAGCAAATAAACATATATAAAAATATTATTATATATAAACTCAAATGTAAAAGAATATAAAAAAAAAATTCAATCCCTCCAAGTTTTACGTGTATATGGTTAATTTAAGAGAATAGGAAAAAGATTGTAGAATACTAAAATAACATGTACAATCAAATATCTATAAATTAATACAGTTAAGACTAACAAAAATTTATTAATTTATCGAATAAATAATTTAGTACATCTTTATTGAGTGGGGACCGATACAAATTATTATTTAAACCAAATTATTAATTTATCGAGGTTCTACTATACTTTCGAATTATTAATGACAACTCTATTTATAATTGTTAATTTGCATTATTATCTAATGGGGCCATTTAATAGGTCTCAAAATCGGGTTTGATATAAATAGTTTTGTTTGGGCCTTATGGGCCCAATCACAATTATATACATGAAATAATTTATACACACATGAATAAAGTACAAGTATCAACCAAGAAGCTGCAAGAACTATTTATTGAAATATCAAGGGTACATTACCACCATCCCTGAGTCATAGTTAAATTACGAAAATTCCTTTTTTATTTGGGTTAATTACAATCACCCATCACTTATAAATCTTCTTACACGTTCATCCTTGCAGTTTCAAATTTAGTGGAATCTTCTAGATTATATGAAATATTCTCAATTTTGGACCCGCTGTATCATATTCGAACTCCAGATATTGAAGCTAGATAATCATAAGATGTGTTTTTTGGCTTGTATATATCAGATTGTGGTGCATCAGAAACTGTATTTTCGCACAACAATACCACTGTAGAGAACAATAAATCAAGAAGTCAAAAGTCTATAGACAAGTGGTTAAAGGTGATTAGGACAACAATACCACTGTGGAGAAGCATCATAATATATATACTACACTGGCGATTACTCAATTTCGAGTAATCTTATTTATAAAAGGAGTTAACGTTGTGAGAATGTTAAGATAATTCTAACCGTATTTTTGTAATAATTTTTGTTTTGTTTTATTTTGTTTTTCTCTACTAATTTTGTAATTAACAAGCAACATCAATATTATATATTTTTTATGAACAAATTATATTGTAGATAACTTTGAAGTTGGTTAGTAGCTAGGCAGTAATTGATTGCATACCTTAAAATTATATAAAAAAAATAACAAAATGAAATATTCATGGATAAAGGCCAACAATGATAAGGCACAGGTTTCTGAGATGATGATCATCCATATGTGATTAAAAGCAAATAATTGATGGAATGGACTAAAAGTACTGAATTTATAAAACGGACAGAATCAAATGTGTTTTTCGTGAAATCAAATATGAAATCGGTGCATACTTGAGACACAAAAAATGGAAAAATTAGATGTTGTACTTAGTTATTTACAGTGGATTGATTTAAACCGTAAATCTACACATAATTACACTCTAAATTTTTTCTCAATTTATATTCATCATATTTACTTCACCACTACACCACACAATGTTCATATCTAGGGTGGACCATTTTATTTTTTTTAATATGGATAAGGAAGGAGCACCAATCTTTTGGTTTCACACCAATTGTTTTTTTCTTCTTCCCATAAATTTGTCCATTAATGCTAGTTGAAAGTTGTACAAACTCTACCTATAAAATGAAATGTAACCATTCACAAATTGCAAAATCTCAAACTCCTAACACTCAAAACAAAAAGCTCAACAATGGAGCCTCCATCACAATACATTGAGAGAAACTTCCTATTATTGGTCCCCTTGTTCATTTCATCAATCTTGATAGTTTTACTTCTCAAATATCTATCAAACAAGAATCCAACCCTCAAACATAAATCACACAAACATATTCCTGGCCCTACAAAGCTACCAATCATCGGCAACCTCCACCAACTAATCGGCAAGCATCCGCACCTCATTCTCGACTCCCTGGCAAAGAAATTCGGCCCCGTTTTCTTCTTACAGCTCGGTGAAGTCCCAACCGTGGTTCTCTCGTCCCCGCAAACGGCGAAAGAAGCGCTCAAAACCCACGACCTTGCACTCGCGACCCGGCCCGAGATATTCGCGGCCAAGATCCTCTTCTACAACTGCAGTGATATTGCGTTTTCTCCTTACGGGCCCCACTGGAGGCACGTGAGAAAGATCTCAACCCTCGAACTATTAAGCGTGAAGAGGGTCCAATCCTACGGGTTCGTGAGGGAAGAAGAAGTTTCTAGACTCTTCCAGAGGGTTCTAGAACATTCTTCATCGTCGTCGTCATACCCTAACAAGACAATAAACCTAACGAAGCTACTTAACCTCTACGCGAACGATGTTCTATGCCGAATTGTGTTCGGGAAGGATTTCTCGGTCGATGGAGAGTACGAGAGGCTAGGGTTCCAGGAGATGCTTAACGAGTACCAAGAATTGCTCGGCGGATTCGCCCTTGGTGATTTTTTTCCTTCCATGGAAGTGTTTATGCATACTTTGACGGGGAATAAGGCTAGGCTTGTGAAAGCTTTCAAGCGGTTCGACCGACTTTTCAATGACGTGATTGAAGAGCGATTACGGACGAAATCGGATTGCGCGAAGGAGAAGAAGGATTTTGTGGATATATTGCTTGAGATACATCAGGATAAAGATGCTGAAATGCCTCTCACTATGGATAATGTCAAAGCTCTACTCTTGGTAAGTCTTAATTCATAAACTTATATTCAATTAGCTCATAAGTTACTAGATGCATGCGTAGAGGACAAATGAAATTATATTATCTAATTTTTAATATTTGTTTTATATATAAATAGCTGTAAAAAAATATCAACGCAAGCTAATGAATAAAATCTTACTTAATTTGATTAAAATACATTTTTTCATTTAGCATCCTCGAAAAAAGTATATTTGACAATTTGCACCCTAAAAAAAATGCATTAGCACTTTGCACCCAAGAGAAAAAGTCAATTGAAGTGACAAAAATAGTCCTGTGTTGACAATCATAAAATTAGTCGATGTCGGAAAATATGGCCGAAAAATAGACTAGGGTGCACTTTGAACGATGAAACATGTTTCGAGGGTGAAAAGTGCCTTAAATTATTTTTGGAGGTGCAAAGTGCCAAAATGGTACTTTTCGAGGGTACGAAGTGGAATTAAGTCGTTGTTTACATCTATATAATAGAACTTGTGAACAATACTTTTAACAACATACTCTGAATCTCAAACAAAATTGTTTATATTTTGACGCAATTATTGATTTTTGAAATATTTCATTAAAATAATTTGTAAATGATATATATTCTATTATTTTATATAAATAAATAGTAATAACTAGATCTTTTTATGTTCAATTGTAGGACATGTTTGCTGCAGGAACTGATACAACCTTCATAGTACTAGACTGGGGCATGACAGAGCTTGTGACAAATCCAAGTGTACTAAAGAAACTACAAACCGAAGTACGAAAAGTAGTCGGACAAAAAAAATTCGTGTCTGAAAACGATTTACTTCACTTGCCTTACATGAAAGCCGTCATCAAAGAAATCTACCGATTGCATCCACCGGCACCCGTACTTGTCCCACACGAATCCATGCAAGAGGTCACGATCGGAGGGTTCACGATCCCCGAGAAAACACGGATCTTCGTGAACGCGTGGGCCGTGGGTCGGGACCCGGGAACGTGGTCCCACCCGGATAGATTCTACCCGGATAGGTTTGTGGATAGTGATGTCGATTTCAAGGGGAAGGATTTTGAGCTGATACCTTTTGGTGCCGGTAGAAGAAGCTGCCCTGCGATTGCGTTTGGCTCCGCAACCGTCGAGATTGCTTTGGCACAGCTTGTGCATAGCTTCGATTGGGAACTTCCGGATGGAATCAAGGCCGTCGATCTTGATATGGAGGAAGTTTTTGGCATCACTATGCATAGGAAGTCACCTTTGGAAGTAGTGGCTAAACCATATTTTACAAGCTAAGATATATAATTGGTTGGGAAAATTACAGTTTTCATCCCTCAAGTCTGTACCGCGATTTCACATTTGGTCATAAAAAACATATTTGATCTCTCATGTTTCAATAATTGGACATTTTTTGGTCATTTTCGTCAATTTGTTGTTAGTCCGTCAGTTAATGTGGTGAGAGTCTCATGTTTGATTCCGTTAGTACTAACAAAAAATTGACGGAAATGACTAAAATTGTTGAATTTTTGAAACATGATGGACTAAATGTGTTTTTTATGAATATGAGGGACCAAATATAAAATCGATACAAATTTGAAGGATGAAAGAAATATTATTTCCCATAATTGGTTAGTTGTTGTGTTTAATAAATGAGCTTTCACATAAATCCCCTTTGTGGAATAAAAAACTTGCACCAAATTCTTCTATGTTTCACTTTTATCCAAAACGAAAACGTTCTAAGAGTAAATACGCATATTTATTATTCATCGAAAAATGAAATTTCGTGCAAATAAAGATTAAGCAAATAATAATATTCATGGGCAAGTTACACTTTCCGTCCTTAAATTTTACCTTGATTTCATATTTAGTCCCTTTTGTTTAAAAAAAAAACAGATTTAGTCTCTCGCATTTTGACAATTTAACACTTTTAATAATTTTACCGTTAGTCTATCAATTAAGATATAAAATAGTGATATGCACATGCTTGGAGCATGTTTCCATTAGATGCTAACAGAAAATTGACAGAAATAAGCAAAAAATAGTTATATTTTTTAAACACAAAAGACTAAATCCGATGAGTATTTGTTACTATGCTGGTCAAAGTCTTCAAAAGTTGTGCTGGTGAGAGTCAGAGATTAATTATTGCAATAATGGAGGTATTAATATTAAGATAATCAAATTAAAAATTGTAGAATCTTCTATCTTGGCAAATTCAGTTGACTTAATCAAAGCATTAATTATTATTATTTATCCATAAAATGAGCCATAAGGAACATTGTTCATCAGTTCATGTACAGCTTTTCATACAACAACAACAATGGAGGAAATTCAATTGCACTCCTTCACATTTCCACTTCTTATTATTATATCCTTGTTCTTCTTTTTATCAATTACCAAATGGTTCAACAAATTATTACCTAGTACAAACAAGAAAAACTTGCCACCCTCGCCTAGAAAGCTGCCGATAATCGGAAATCTCCATCAACTAGGCCCGTTACCGCACCAGGACTTCCATTTCTTGGCCCGAAAACACGGCCCGGTAATGCTTCTTCACTTCGGCAGTGGGCCCGTGGTTGTTGTCTCATCGGCCGAAACAGCTCGTGAGATCATGAAAACTCATGACCTCACTTTTGTGAACCGGCCTCACTACAGTGTTCAGAAGAAGCTTTTCTACGACGGTAAAGATGTCTCTTTTGCCCCTTACGGCGAATTCTGGAGGCAGCTGAAGAGCATACTTGTTGTCCATCTCCTAAGCAATAAAATGGTTCAATCTTTTCGTTCCGTTAGAAAAGACGAAACCGCCCTTTTCGTGGAAAAGATCAGAGAATATTCTTCTTCTTTGGAGAAAAATGTGGTCAATTTGAGTGAGATGTTTTCCGAGTTGACTAACGACGGAATTTGTCGGTCGGCCTTCGGACGCAAGTACGGCGATTCGGAAAATGGCGGGAAATCGATGAGTTTGTTGGCGGAGTTTTTGGAGCTTTTGGGGATTATTAGCATCGGGGATATATTTCCGTGGCTTGGTTGGATTAGCCGTGTTAACGGCTTGGATAAGAGAGTTCGAAGAGTTGCTAAAGAACTTGACGATTTTCTCGAGGGCCTTATTCGAGAACGGATGGAAAAACCGGAGGGGGGGAAAAATGGAGGGAATTTTATTGATATTGTTCTTGAAATTTTTAACGACAAGGCTTCCGGTTTTTCGGTGGACAGGGATAGTATCAAAGCATTAATTCTGGTGAGTAGTATCAAATGTTATTTTTGTTGCAAGTTACCCCACTTCAAATTTGAATTTTGGAGCAAAGTACAACCACAATAATATTTTGGGTAAATTCCACTTTCCCTCTTATCCTTTGGTTTGATATCAGTTTACCCTTTTCTACTCTCCATTGCATCGGTTTTACCCCTTCGCACTTGAAAATTTATCTCAATGTGACGCTCGCCGTTAGTTTTCAGACATTTGACCTTAACACCGTTTGATCTAAGGTCTGAAAATTACAAAAAAAAAATACTCCTCCCAGTTTAAATAATTATAAAAAAAGAAATCTAAAAAATAAAAATAAATTGTGGTTGCCGTCGTGGACTATGTTTTCTCATCTTTTTGAAGTTTTTATTTTATTATTTTGTTTATTTTTTGTTTAATTTTTGTTTTTTAAATAATTATTTAAACGAGGAAGGGTGGCGTTTTAGTAATTTCAGAGCTTAGACCAAACGGTGTTAAGGTCAAATGTCTGACAACTAACAGCGAGGGCCACACTGAGTCAATTTTTCAAGTGCAGGGGACCAAATCGATGCAATCGAGAGTAGAAGGGTGTAAAGTGATACCGAGCCAAAGTATAAGGGAGGAAAATCGAATTTGCCCTAATATTTTTAATTTGTAGGGAGGGAGTGTGAATATGAAAAATTTATACTAGGCGAAGTGCATTTTATCCTATATTAATTTACTTTGCTTTCACAGGATGTTTATGCGGGTGGGACTGATACCACAGCCACAGTTCTCGAATGGGCGATGGCGGAACTCTTACGACACCCTAGAGTGATGGAAAATTTGCAAAAGGAAGTACGAGAAATCGTCAAAGGCAAAAACGACATAACGGACGAAGACTTAGAAAAAATGCATTACATGAAAGCAGTGATCAAGGAAACTCTTCGTCTTCACCCTCCGAGCCCGTTATTAGTACCAAGAGTAGCCGACAAAGACGTGAAAATAAAGGGCTACGATGTCTCGAAGGGAACGATAGTGATGGTTAACGCGTGGGCCATAGGGCGGGACCCACAGTCTTGGGATGAGCCGGAGAAGTTTGAGCCGGAGAGATTCTTGAAGAACTCAAAGAATGAGAATGTTGATTTTAAGGGCCTCGATTTTGAGCTTATTCCGTTTGGGGCGGGGAGAAGGGGTTGTCCCGGGATTTCGTTTGCGGTTGCCACTATCGAGTTTGTGTTGGCAAATATTGTGCATAAATTTAACTGGGAATTGCCTGATGGATTACATGGGAAAGATTTGGACGTGAGTGAAAAAGCTGGAGTTACTATTCACAAAGCTAATCCTCTTCTTGCGGTTGCTAATCGGACGAAGTAATTAATTTCGAACACTTTATCGAAGTATTTAAATTTCGAATTATTGCGTGCAGTGCTTTTCTTTTCTTTTTTTTTTTTTTTTTTTTTTTTTTTTGTGACGAAGTATGTTGAAAGATGCCTTTATAATGCATGAATGTTTAATATAGGGTAAATTACACCCACACCCCTGAGGTATACTTAAATAATTTTAAGGTGTCTATGGTATCGATAATTACACTCACCCCTGAAATGTAGTTAGAAATTCTAACGGGATAATGCATTGGATACAATATTCCGATAGGGTTCTAATGGACTATTACTTTTAGCTAGTAGTTGAGATAACATAGAGTTATGAGGAGTTTTGGGGTGATATGGCTCCCCCAATATTTCTTAAATTACCCATAACTCTTTGTTGTCTCCACCAGTTCCTGAAACCAATAGTCCGTTAGAACTCTATCGTAATAACGTATCCAATGCATTATCCCATTAGAGTTTATAACTATGTTCAAGGGGGTGAGTGTAATTATCGATACCACAGGGATCTCTAAGTTATTTAAGCATACCTCAAGGGTGTGGGTGTAATTTAGCCTTTAATATATAAAGAATGTGAAATTTACAGTTTTCACCCTTCAAGTTTGGAACAATTTCACATTTGGTCCTCCATGTTCACAAAAAACACATTTGGTATCTCATGTTTCACTAATTTCATTTTTTTGGTCATTTCCGTCAGTTTATCATTAGTCCGTCTATTACAGTAGTGATGGAAACATGTCCATTTTTCGTTAGTTTTAACAGAAATTTAACGGAAATGACTAAAAGTGTTAAATTTTTAAAACATGAGGGACCAAATGTGCTTTTTGTAAACATGGGGGACCAAATATGAAATTGGAAAAAACTGAGGGATGAAAACTGTATTTTTTCTTATAAAGAATTATGAAATTTGGGGAAATACAGGACAAAGGGGATGTGATTTATGAAGCGAACATAAGGATCAAAAATTGTAACTCGATTTTGTTTAGGGATAAAAATTGAATAACTTGTAAATATAGTGACAAATCTGATAAATATTCTTCAAGAATTAAAATCTAATTAGCAAATGCAGTTAACTGACTTCATAAATTATTCCCAAGTACATCAAGTAACTTCTAATGAACAATGTGAATATGAAAGCATCACATATTTCAAAACGAAAACACGAATCCAACAGAGCCTAAAACGAACCCGAAAACGGGTAAAAAAAAACAAATAAAACGAGAGTCCCGCATAGAAACTAGAATATAGTTATATCTTGAAATGCCGATTAACTTGCACGAAAACTGCGTTAATACACTATCTCAATGTCTTTGAAGCTGCCTTCGGTTTGAAGATTTATCGTCAACAATCCAGTCTCGGAACCATACGTGAAATCCTCGTTTTTGTTATCAACTTTGCAAGAACTCGGTTTAACGCTCGAGTATGCTCCGAATAATCCGGCCCCTTTGGCCTTGATCGTGATTGTGTCGTTATAAATGCATTCCACGACTGCTCCTCCCGAGTTGTACATGTTAATCAAGCCAATAGGGGCAAATTTGACATTTTCGTTGAGTTCCTGTTTGCAATGTTCGACAAATTTCTGTTAGTAGTGATGAAATACGAACATCGAAAATCGAAAAAACGGAATCAAATTTATATATAACAGCTTTTATTTTTTTAGTTTCTAACCTTTATCGGGGAGACGGTGAATATCTCGCATTGCAATACGTCTAAAGAAACTTCGACGGTTTTGTTCTTTGCCACTGTGGTAAGAGATCCTGTAACACGAAATAGTCGAAGGATTAATGTTTCGAATTTTATTTTATTTATTTAGGGACTAATTAATAAATAACCTGAGTTGAATGCATATATAGCAAAGTCTCCGGTGCAGTTTTCGCTGGTAATTTCGTCGAGAAATTCTACGTCTAATGGACTAACACGGCCTGTGATAGATGTGGCTGTCGTTTTAGCGGAGTTTTCGGTCGATTCGAGTGGCTGTTTCATTGGCCAAGTGCCTGCTCCTTGGCAGTTGAAAACACCTACTACTCCAGTTAGCTTATTCAAGTTCCATATCTTTAGCAAGCTGTTGAAATCAGTTACAAATGTTGTCTTGTAAGTTATGAGAGAGAGAGAGAGAGAGAGAGAGAGAGAGAGAGAGAGAGAGAGAGAGAGAGAGAGAGAGAGAGAGAGAGAGAGAGAGAGAGAGAGAGAGAGAACCTCTTGCCATCCATGACAGGATCGACGAATAGGCAGTCTCGTGTAGGCCTTCCGGAATATCGAGCCCTCAAGACGGATCCATCGGGAAGAACAAGTTTCCTAAGTATCTTGAAATCATGTTTGCCTGGCTTGTCACTGTAATAAAACACACAAGTTTTATGTATAAGATGGTTTTTCATTTTTTATGTATTTATTTTTACTTCCAAAACGAGAATTACGATCGAAACGTAAGGTTACAAAATTGTCTCTACCTTACGTAAACGGGACAACCCCCTATCGCTCTCGCCGCACCGTGGAATTCGGCCGTGCTATGGTTGCTCTTCAATCAAGAAACACGAAAAACGGATCAATATTCTAATTAATTATAAACATGGTTTATTGTAATAATTAAAAAAAAAATACTTACATGGAACATATCCCAATCCGGGACCACGACTTCGCCCAAGAGAAGACTATTGAACGACACCGATGCAATATGCAACGTCTGAAAAGTCGGCTCGTTCGGCATGAAATCCTCCGAGGCCCTAGCGGTTGCGCTATTCTTGGAACTGAAAATCGAGTCTGAATTGTGACACATGCAACAAATCAAATTGTTGTCCTTGAAATTTTGTTCGATGGATTCGTCGAGCGCTTCGTGGTACTTTTTAGTAATGGACACTCTTCCACCGTACCCGGATCCTAGAGTTTCTAGAATGTTCTGGACATCAACCTTAACGCCATCCACACCACTATCAGCAAGATAGCTATGCATGTCGTTGTAGAAGTCGAAGATCTTTTCAGGGTCGATTATTCCGACTCCGTACTTCTCGACTATGTCCATGGCTATGTCTCGGATATTCCCGATATTTCCGGGTGATTGTACCGGATACACGAGCTTCGGGTTGTACTTCTTTAGTGGCTCGGATGAAGTTAATAGTCCGCCCCAGTATCCGACTAGAGCGTGCCACATGTATACATACCTGGATCATGTACAAGTTCAATTTTTTTTCGAAATAGAAGATTGATGGAAAAGATAAAAAAAAATCGCAAATGAACATTCGATTCCGATTCCGGTTTTGGAAATTTCGGAAAATGAAAATCGATTCCATTTTGGAAATTTCGTAATTTTCAAAAATCGTGTTTGCTTATATATTTTTGGAAAAATCGGAATTTTTTGGAGAAAATGTGAAATTTCAATTTTTTTTTGAAAGATGATCATTTATCTGCAGCTCCAGCCTATATAAAACTAAGATTCATAAAAAAAAAAGGCGGATTAAGCCTACCCATGAGATAAGGTTAAATTACGAAAAAATCCTAAATGTTTGGAAAATTACAACTACCCCTCAACTATGTATTTTCTTACGAAAAAACCTCTCCTTCAGTAGGAAAATTTTACACCATAAACGTGGACGTGCAAGACGATACGGGAGGGTGGGGGGGGGGGGGGGGGGGTGTTCGTAATTTAACCTTACCTTAAGGGGTTGACCGTAGTTTGCCCTAAAAATATAAAGTTTTCTATTTATTATTTCACTTTATGTATTTATGTATAGTATATATTTACATACATTATATTTAAAATATACATAAAAGCATGCAATAATATTCATAATATAAATATACTTGTTGGAAAAAAATTGAAATTTGGAAATTAAACCGGGTCGTTCGAATTCCGATCCAAAAAAAATTGGATTTAAATTCGAAGAATTTTGAAACTTACTTAAGTCCATAATTCTCTTTGATGTGATGTATCAACTCTTTGAGATTTGTGGTTGAACCATCTGATTCTTCTCCCTTAAATTTGCTGTTCTCTTTGATACCAGTTAATCTTGTTGCACACCTATACCAAAAGAAGCATCATTAGTGAACTTACAAAAATAAAATAAATAAATAAATAAATACTAATAATAAATAAATAAACATGACCAACTTTTTTACTGAGGTAAAAACCATGGGACTTACTGTATTCCTTCGATTTCGGGCTCGCCTTCTTTCCGGTATTCGTTTTCCGTTTCTTGCCAACCGTCGTCTATGATCAAGAACTTTGGAGAAATCCCTCCATCTTTGAAGCTGTATTAAAGCAAAGTGAAAACATATTATTCTAGTATGTGTATTGTGTGAATATAATTTAGTTTATAAACTTTGTTTTTGTTTAGAGAAAATTATAGTTTTTACCCCTCTAGTTTGCACCGATTTCACATCTGGTCCCTCACGTTTCAAACATTCAACACTTTTAGTTGTTTTCGTCAATTTTCTGTTAGAACTAACGCAATCAAGTGCGTGCTTACACTGCCTTAACTGACGGACTAACGATAAATTGATGGAAATTACAAAAAATATTAAATTGTTGAAACATGAAGGACCAAATATATGTTAATGAAAATATGGAACCAAATGTGAAATACATGCAAATTTGAGGGGTGAAAACTATAATTTTTCCTTTTTATTTATCGAACCTCTGAAGACCCTCTTTGATTCCATTTGGAGTCACTTCAGTGTAAAAAGCATCCCATGTACACCAACCAAACCAGTCTAAATGTGCTGGTGTCTGAAAATTTTGAACCATAATATAACATCGATAAATTAATAATTTTGTTTGATAATTTAATATTTCACTAAATAAATAGAATTTTGCTAGTTCTAATTGTATTAATGTATAGAGGTTTACCTTTTTGGTCTCAAGGTGGCTAAATGTACCTTTATGCTTGGCCAATATCCTGATTTCAAATCAAAATTTCCAAACATGAATTAAATAAATAAATTAATTAATTAAAAAAATCCTAATTAATTCAAAAAAACAGAGACCAAAACATACTTAATTGAATCCTTAATGAGCTCAAAAGGGTTGTCCCCAGAATTGACAAAAACACCCTCCAATGCTTCACTAGTCTGAATTTCAGGATCACCTTAAAACCAAAAAAAAATAAAAATTAATAAAATAAATTTTAACAATCTTTTTTAATTAATTACCAAAATGGAAAAAAATATTATATGTGATTTTAAAATTGAAAAGAAAACCAACCACTTTCATAGCAGAATTGGAGATCATTTGATGGAGTCCCTTGTAGAGTTGTCCTAAAAGCTCCATCAAGCACTGGCAAAACGAGAACGTAAAACTTATTCTCGTTCGCTGCCTCGAACGAAGCTTCTACGTCCGATGCACTGAACACGGATTCTTCTCCTACTTCCAATAGAAGCATCTGAGTTTCCATCGGGATTTCGCTACCCGATTTTCCAATTCGCGGTATCATCCACCATATCTTGGCTATGAAAAGACACACGAACTTGCAATCTCTGCCCAAAAAAACAAAATAAATAAATAAATTATTTCGACGAAAAATTAAAGAGGTAGTAACTATTGAATCAAGAACATGTGTCGAAAAATACTGGTCTTTAAGAACAATCATGTATGTAACTGTATGAAAGTTGTTTGGGAACTGTGATTATGCTTGATAGACTATATAATCAAGCTTTATCAAATGTTTGATGTCCGGATTTCAAAATCAAACCTATGAATTAAGGATATTCGGTTCAAAATAAACCTATATTATTACACAATCATATGAAATATATGTAGCTAATACACGGATTCTATAATCACAAATCTCAAACAGAAGATAATCACATATTACCGTATCATGGACAATATAATCCCAGATGAGGACTAGAGAGAGAGAGAGAGAGAGAGAGAGAGAAGTTACTTACTCGAGAACTCCAAGATTGAAGACATGGCGAGAACTCGATGCGGTTGAGTTGGCTCCGACGAAAGCTGATCCTGCATTTGCCGGAGAAACGAAGATATTTTCTGGAACTCCGGTTAGGACAACTTTACCCCTGACCGTGAGGCAGCCATTCTTGATAACCGGCGTAGCAGTGATAGTCATATTGTGCTACAATCTTTTATCCAATGAGTAATCTGCATAAAGCACAGAAGAACAAAATAAGGAGAAAAAAAACAATTTTTTTTACGAATTTATTGACGTACTTAACAACGTAGATCAAGAAAATGTGGTTGACGAAGTTATCGTAATAAACAAGAACATGTACATAACACTTAACGAAAGATCGGTTTCTTTTTTACCTATATATAAAGTAGGTGTGAATTGAAGTGTGAGGAACTATGTTTCAAGAATTGGTGTTTTTATAGCTAACTAAATCAGGACACAAACAAACAAGCATACAAACTACCCTTTAGGATGCAGCAAAAGACCATAGGTAAAAACGAATGCAATTATATTTTTTTTAAATTTCGTTTTCGGTAAGATTTTGGCTTGTAATGAAAAACAATAATTTGGATCAATAATGTTTTGAGTTAATGATAAATGGGACCGATCCAAGCAATATTGACATGGAAATGAGTCATCGTTCGGTGTTTAATCAAATATTAATTATTTGCAATATCCCGTCCCACATCGCTTATATACGTGAACGAAATAATTATTTAACGAAATAATTATTTGTTGCAAGACTGTCGTGTAAGATTAAGCCTATTCAAAGTGATATGATCTACTTAGGTTTGATTTATTTTTCTCAAATTTCATTTTTTTTTATTGTATTGAAAAACAAGGGGCGTGACATTAGTTGTCATGTAACCTTTCCATTGTTTTGGGAGTCAAGAAAACATGGCCACAGGTGAAGATTGCAATTAAGATAAAAAGTTATAAAAAAGTAGACTCAGATGTTTGTGTCCTGATGCCCAAGCGATCGGAGCAAGTGAGCGCATGTCAACTAACCAAATCCCGAATTCTATTGTCAACGATCGCAAGGTGACACTTGTCACCACATGGTCAATATAAATGTGGTTTACGTTTCTTCTATAATTTGCAAACTATATACGAGAGTGTAGGTTTACCTAACTAGTACACTTATATGGCTGATTGCAAGTTCCTTCACTAAAAAAATTAAAAAAATAAATGTTTGAATCTGACAATATATAATTGTGGTTTTAATTGAGATCTTTTTTAGAGCTGTGTTTTTTTGTTGATTGTATTGAGAATCTTTGGAATTATTATTCATATATTGGATCTTTTTGGCATCTTTCAATGCCACAAAAAATAATTTTAATTTTGAGGGTTAGCAATTTTTTTAGAAAGAAGGGGGTTTAGTAATTTTTACTTAAATGATAAAAATAGTAAGAGAGACAAATGATTTAAATTGAAAATTGACTAGAAACTAAAATACAGTACAATTACTGGTCACGAATCACATGCATATTTAATTATTGTCCTTTTGTTGGTTCTCTACAATTACATCATCAGTTGAAATTTTACATATCTCACGAGTCAGGCAAAACGACACCGTAGGATCACGTGCTTTTGATTTACCTAACAGATACGCCAAACATTTATGTAAAATTAAACCCATTATAAATTAGTAGATCCTCAGATTCTATATTAATAACATTATCTTAATTAATAATTATTATCAATTAGCGAATAATTAAGTAATTTATTAAACTTTGGACGAATCCTAGATGGTGAAGAACTCAAATCTAATCACAAGTGATGTGTGATACGAACCTGAATAATAATTAGTATTATCAGATTTTTTTGGTAACATATACGACTAATGCCTATCATGCTTTTCAAATTTCAATTTATCAAAATGTTACAATTACCGGAGTGATTTTAAACCATAGATCTATACAATTAACCGCACACATACACATGAGTGTGTGTTATTATGTGTAGATCTATTATTTAAAGGGTAAATTACAACCACCCCTGAGGTATGGTCGAACTACGAAAACCCCCCCTCTTGTTAGAATAATTATATCTACCGTTTCAACTATGAATCTTCTTACACCTCCACCCTTATGGTGTCAAATTCAACATAATCATCTGCATTCCGTGAAGTGTGCTCTGGTTTGTACTCATTTTGTGTAAAAATACAATTTCTCATGCACCACAATCTGATAAATACAAACCAAAAAACACATTTTATGATCATTTTGCTTCAAAATGTAGAACTCGAATGAAATAAAACAGGTACAAAAGTGATAGTATTCCATATAGGGGGCAACTATTTTGAATACTAATTTTTGCTTAGTTGAATACTACCAAGTTGAAAACCACAATTGAGTACATATTTATAAGTTTTTTCTTACTTTAATACCAAAATAAAAATAAAAGTACAAAAATACCCTTTCATACAAAATACTAATTACATCATTTTTTCTTTGAAATTACCTATTTGAAAACCAAATAAAAAAAAAAGAAAAAAAAAATTCAAACACAAAAAAACCTCCTTCCGTCCACCCCTCCCTCCGTCCACCCCTCCCACGCCGCCCGACGCCACCGCCGCCGCTCCAACCATCGCCGCCGCCGGACGCCGACGCCAAACACCGCCGAACGCCGCCCAACGTCGCCCAAAGCCGCCGCCGTCGTCGTCTTCGAATAGTAAGTTATAGTTGTTTCGATTTTTTTTTTTAATATTTATTTAAGATTTGATTGTTTGATATGGGTAATTAGGATTTGGTTGTTTTAGGTTAGAATGATCGTTAATTAGTAATGGGTGCATCTGATTTCAGTCGATTTGAGCATTGATTTGAGATTCGTGGGTCGGTTCTTCGTTCACCATTTTCGACCTGTATATGTCGATTTTCGATGAATTTTCGACAGGTTGATGTCGAAAATTCATCAAAAATCGACATGTAGCTGTCGAAAATTCAACCAATTTCGACAGGTAGGTGTCGAAAATTCAACCAATTTTCGACAGGTAGCTGTCGAATTTGAACTCTGAATTTTTTTTTTTTTTTTTCCTATTTTTATTTGCTTGTGTTTATATTATGTATATTAATTTTTATTTGTGTGTTATTTTGCAGTGGAAGAACCACGTGAACCTCGTATACCTCCGACTTTCTCGAACCGTAAGAAGAGGAAGGAATTATCCGATAGAGGCAAGGGCATACCAGTCACGACCAAGAAAAAGACCACGACCAAGAAGAAGTCTGGAGAGGGTTCTTCGTCAACGAATCCGGTGCCGGCTCTACCTTCGACTGTAGAAGTTGGTGATTCGAGCAACGAACCGGTCCGAGGTCCCGAGATACCGGAATTGTACACAAAATTTGATAAGCACATTGCTTATCATATTGTGAACGGAGGGCCAGATCGTTCGGAGCGCGGCTCAGAATTTCGAATACGAAATCACACAGGAACTTTGAAAGGTTGGGAGCCGGCGCCGTTTATTACAGAGGTAGTACAAAGATGTGGTTTAATGTCAGTTGTACAGGCATCGTACAATACTGTGGACGGCCATCTACTTAGAGCCTTCATAGAGAGATGGCAGCCAGCTACCAACACATTTCACTTACCTGTTGGAGAGATGACCATCACACTTGACGATGTGAGTACGTTGGTCGGTTTGCCAGTTGTTGGGCGTACCGTAGCTTGCGAGCGTTTGGTCCGTGATTCCAAAACGATCCCCAGTACTTTGATGTTCGAGTTGCTAGGTGAGTACCCGGACGATGTAAACAAGAAGAAAGCGGTCAAGTTGGAATGGTTGAAGGCTAAATTTAGCAAAGTGACCATGAGAGATAGTGCGGAGAAGAGGACATACGCCATTCGGGCGTATTTGTTATTTTTGCTCGGGTGTACTATACTGTGCGACAAGACAGGCAACATGGTAAGCGTTGAGTACCTAAATCTTGTATCTGATTTGGATCGGATCGGCGAGTATGCTTGGGGCACTGCATGTCTTTGCCGGTTGTACGATGAGCTTTCCTCAGCCTCACAAAAATCAACGAACTCGATGGCTGGCTGGCTGACGCTCTTTCAGTCATGGATTTACGAGCACTTTCCTTATTTGGCGGGTGGCACATTGAAGACGGAATTCGAGGGGCCATTAGCGAGCCGATGGGAGCCTCAGTCAAAGACTACTTCAACGCCTGAACGAGCGTCGTACCTGCGATCTCGATTAGATGATTTGATCCCCGATCAGGTAACATACCAGTTTAATAATTTGTTATTACTACTTAAGTAGGTTTTTAAATCTAATTTTTTATTTATTTTACTAGGTTTTATGGTCACCGTATACGGCTATTCGTGATCGTTTCCCGATGCCAGATTCTGCTTGGTTTAGTGGGATGATATGTTGCATGGACCACTTCGAGGCATATCATCCGGACAGAGTGTTGAGGCAGTTCAACCGGGTGCAAATCATTCCAGGTCGTGCATACATGTCAAAAGATATTTACAAAGCTCTAGTTAGCAAAGGTCGACCGGTCCAGAACTCAATTTTCGTTGCGTACGGCGAACGATTCTCTGATCGGTGGGAGGAGTATTGTCTGGACGAGGAGTCGAGGTCCGTTGAAATTGAACTCGGGGAGGCGGACACTTCGCCGGACTACATGAATTGGTTCCAACCCAGATGCATGTTACAACTGAGTAGGCATGGAGCCCATCCACCTCGACCCCAGGCGGATCGACCTCGACCCCATGAAGCTCGTCCAGAGGGTGGTACCGATAAGGAGGTCCAACTTTCACAAATTTTGGAGTTGGTGAAGGGTACACTTAGCGAGGTGCGGGGACTTGCGCCATCCGACGCTCATACGGTCATGTGGGGGACCCTAAATGATATTGTCAGATTGATCGAGCCGGATGCCCCACTTCCACCTCCTTCGAGCTCGTCGGATGCCCCACCAGCACCTCCAGGTAGCTCGATAGGGCCAATTCCACCGCCATCGAGCTCGTCCGATGCCCCACAGGCGGGTGTGAAACGCGTGTTTAGTAGGAAGAAAAAAACACAGGATTAGTCTTGTATTTTTTTAGATGGATGTTGTTTGATGGATTTTATTTGATTTATGTTTAGTAGGAAGAAAAAAACACAGGATTAGTCTTGTATTTTTTTAGATGGATGTTGTTTGATGGATTTTATTTGATTTACTTGTTTTTTAATTTAGTTTTATATGGATTTTGGTTGTTTTAAATGAAAATATTTTTGATAATTTGAAAAAAAAAATTTTGTCCAAAAACACTTAGAATATGTTTTTTATCTTTCATTGCAATATATTTGGGGTTAATTTTGGACAAAAAAAAAAATTGCAATTTCAAATAAAAACACAACACTTAATAACATTGAAAGTAGCACCAGTAACTTTACATATTTTTGTTGGGAGAACTATCACCATTGTCTGATATAGTAATAATCTCGAAACTCTCTCGCGTGGCAACATTTTGACCTATTAATTCTCGAAATGCTGTAATCCGACCATCCATTCCTGCAGGCTTCCAACCATCAGCTTTAGGATCATGACATCGGTACCAATAATCGGCGATAGGAGGTATTGGACAATTCTTGTTCAAGACAACATGCACGAAGTGACAGTTGTCGACGAATGCCATTCCGTGCTCTTGTCTCTCGCTGAAAAGCTTTGGATCGCTCGATAGAGGAAGGAACGTGAGACATTGATACTTGGATAAGTAGACAAGCACAATATTGTATGTTGAAGCAATTACATGACCCATATTTGGAAAGGACATCCAATGATCACGAGTTGCAGGAACATCCCAGTTACTCACAATAGCTTGCATGCTTCTAACGGTTTCTTCGCCACGGTGCATGATCGTGTAAGTGGAAAAATTAAAAGTCAACTCCCGTAGCATGTCATCTCGCACTCGACCCCATTCATCTTCTCCAAATCCCATCATAGAGGCAACTGCCCGAAATCCACAGTGTCCATCTGAACCGACATTGATGATTTCTCGAACGTGCATACGAAATCGTGGATGAATCGTGTCAATGTACTTATTCTTGCCGATCAAACCTGGTGGCAATCCCACATCTGCATCTTCAAATAATGGTTTGAACGACTCTTGTGTCGGTATAGTGCTTTTTCCTGACTCTTGAGTTGGTATAGTGTTGAAAGAATCATTCGAATGCCCTCGTAATCTCATCAGTACAGGTATAAGCTGCAGTATATTACACTTCATTACTCAGCACAATTATAAAATACAACTTCAATGAAATGAGACGATAGTAGCGACATTTACCTTTGGAGAACAACTAGCTTGCTTCGATTTTTTTTTCTTTGGCTCCACATACTCAAAATGTGATTTGTCCCGGGTGCTTGATTTGTCTTTCCTACTTTTTGCCGGTCGACCTTTGCTAACAACTTTTTCACTTGGCTCCGTAAGGTTAGTCTTCTCTGGGTGGGTAAAATGTCTCAAATGGTTGCGCAATCGAGTTCTTGCATCGAGATCGGCACATTCAAAGAGCTTCTGGTATTCCGATAATTCTTCGTCGATGGTTGGTAGGATGACTTGGCCTGTGGTCGCGACGGGCTCCATACTCATGTGTTTCCAATACGAGCCTATTAACTCAAGTGGGATAGGACATTTGTTCACAACAACATACTCATGAAGTTCATGGCGACATGGTAGACTGTGGGTTGTTCGGATGGCGCAACTACAACCCATATCGCTCGGTTGCAATAGTTTCGCATTGTCCACCTCAACTTTGAGTAGTTGCAGAGCGTATTTTGAGATACTTCCACGAAGCTCATTGTATATCAACGTTTTGAAAGTGTGCTCGTAAGTATTTTTACTTACTTCAAAGGAAGCCTTGATGTCATTGTGTTGTTCGACAATTTGATTGTGGACTTTCGTATACAAATCCACAAATGTGCCAGTTGAATTACGCACATCCCTTTTCATTCGTCCGTGTGCCCCCTCCACCCTATTAGAAGTGTACGTTCCAAAATGAGTATACTTATTTGTCCACACCGATACAAGTCTCTCCTTGTACGGATCCAACCATGAATTAACTACATACTCTATAGCCGGGAGATAACCCATAAATGTTCTTTTCAAATCCTCCCAATCCTCATTGAACTCCTCTATGGTATTTCTTTCAATAAGAGCCGAAAAACTCGACTGAAATTGCTTCCATTTGGTGATGTCCTTTGGGAACAATTTCTTACAATTGGCCACTATATTCTTGTTCACATGCCACCGACACAGCAAGTGATGACTCGATGGATACACATTGGCCACTGCTTTCATTAAACCCAAATCTCGATCTGTTACAATGCAATTAGGCCGAGGACAACTGGTCATGGCCTCCTTCAAACAACGCAACGCCCATTCAAAATTTTCCGTCTTTTCGTGGTCCAAGTATGCAAAGGCAATTGAGAACGTCTTGTTGGTACAAGTAAAACCCACAATCTCAAGAAATGGGAGTCCGTAACGATTGGTCTTGTACGTGCAATCGATGACGAATACGTACGGATACGACTGTGCCAACTTAATGCATTTCGGGTGGATCCAAAACAAGTCGGTAATCGCATTCAACTCGTTCGATCTATGGTACGAGAGGTATTCATCTTCTTTCAACTTGACGAACAATGATTGCAATTGAGATCTCCCATCCAATTCACTGAAATTTAACTTAGAGATAGTATTGTAAACTGTCTTCATACCAGTTACATTAGACGGGTCCTTTTGCTTCAATGCTCTTAGAATTGCCCTTGGTTTCACCATTGCTTTCTTCATAGTGTGAACAAAGGAAACATCCTCCTTTGATAATCTTCCGGCATAAGAGTGTCCGTGCAAGTTTTCGAATAAGTTGTGGTTGTGAATACCACAACTAACATCCAATTTCCACTCAACCTTTTCATCATCCTTGTGTTCTCTTGTCCCCTTCAATTTAAACGGACAATTGCATTTCTTTGAACCGGTGCTCCTTTTTCCCAGTCTTTGATCATCTTCACCTGGTACCTTCTTGCCAACATAATGGCCCCCACGCTCACAACGAACAATCACATACGGTGTCCTACGTCCTCTATCCCCGTCACTCGAACCCCCAATCATTAACACCATTCCAATTCTTTTACATACTTCACGAACCCATGCCATTAAAGCTTCTTTTGTTGGGAATTTTTCTGACGTGGTAAATGAATGGGTGCAATCGATCTACACAAAAGTGTCGAAAATATAAGACAGGTGTCGAAACTTAAGGGTATTTTCGACACATACACGTCGAAAAATAAGGGTATTTTCGACCTGTATGTGTCGAAAATACATGGCGAGTTTTAAAAAAAAAAAAAATTCAAAATCGATGTTTTAGCTCAAAAAATACATGAATACATACCTGAATGGGTTCTCCTTGCTCGTAAACTACCATTCTATTGTCATTTGAGGCCATTTTGCAAGTTGTGTAAGGTTTTGATTTCTTTTGTTTTGGGGTTTTTTAGGAGGGTTTTTGGGGAGGGAGAAGAAGGAGGTGGAGGAGGTGAGGGGTTTGTGAGTGAGGAGGGAAATGTTTTTTTTAGGTATTTGATTATTTGGTTTTTAAGAAAGAAAAATAATATTTGTAATATTTTTTGGTTTTAATTTTCATTAAGGGTATTAAAGTAATTTACAATTAATTATTTATTTTTTATTTTTTTGGTATTCAAGTAAGCAAAAAATAGTATTTGAAATAGTGAATCCCTTCCATATAATCAAGAAGATTCCACTAAAATTGAAACCGCAAGGGTGTACGTGTAATAAAATGTATAATTGAAGGGATTATTGTAATTACTCAAACAAGAGGGGGATTTTCATAATTTTATCATACCTCAGGAGTGGTTGTAATTTACCCTTATTTAAAATAACCCGGTGTATTTCACCAGGTGTAGCATCTACTTAAATAGATTTATTCAGTACAATTCAAGAAATGAGCAACTTATCGGAACACATTCTACATCCAAAAACTCCGTTTTAACTAAAGAAACTCTCAACTCATAGTCGAAAAAGCTATAAAAAAAAAATTGGTTATCGGAGAAAATCATGAAGAAATATCTTTACCAAAGAGTTCGGTTATTCCAAATGTTGGGTCTTTCTGTTTAACAATTGACTCGCCCACCAGCACCTGTTCAAGACACACGAACATATGAAGCCGCATTCACTGTGTGGGTACGTGTGTGTGCGTGTGAGAGAGAGAGAGAGAGTACTTGCTACTTGGCTATATCGGCCCCACTCGTATTTACTTTTTAATAATTTATACTTTTCATATTAAAGAGTCGAGTATTTTAGATTTTTTTAATTTTCTGTTCGATTTGAAAATTTGGAAGTTTTTTTTCTCAACTATAAGACTTATTTGATCAACAGAAATGAAAATTTTCCGACCAGAAGTACTTTTATTATATAGTCGTGCGTAATTTTATAAAAATAATTAGTGCTTACCGCTTTAACACCAGCTTCTTGCACATATGCAATATCGGCAGGAGTAAAAAGTCCAGACTCCCCGACCACCTGAAAATTCATGTAATTTAAATCACAATTACAAATATAAAAACAAACCGAGAAAACGAAAAATAAAAAAAAGATGGATCGAGTTTATAAGATCACTTACAATAATGCCTTTCTCGTGTATCCTTTTCCCACGCTCACCTTCAAGTAGCTTTCTCGTATTGCCAATATCAACCTTAAATGTTCCTACACAACATTAGAAATTGAATTTTAATATGTGAATATAAGTCAACGATAAATAAATACACGTCATTTTTCGTTTCTATTTTATCCCTTTTCTCCTAAAATAAAAAAAAAATAAAAAAAATTGTAAATGCTATTTTGTTGAAGCTAGGGAAAATACCAAGATCACGATTGTTGATTCCAACTAGTTCAATTCCCTCGATTTCTAATACACGATCCATCTCTCTCTCATCGTGTACCTAAAGAGATGGGGGACCACAAAAAGGGGATAAAACATTAACGAATGATACGAGTTGATTATATTATTATAATTACAATACAACCACACAAAACGAGAGATGCTTAGCAAGATTAATACATGACATTGCAAGTAATTGATAGCAAAAAAGTAAAATTAAAATTAAGAAAATAATAATAATAATAATAGCCAAACCTCAACCAGTGCTGCTAAACCGAGCGATTTGCAAATCTTAATCAAGTAGTTGATTTCAAAATCAGGTAAAACGGCAGCAATTAATAGAACTGCGTCTGCACCTTTGGCTCGGGCATAGTAGATTTGCCAAGCATCTACTACAAATTCTTTACACAAGAGAGGGCACTGAAATCAAAATATTGCAAGAAAAAAACTCAGTTATAATAATCGAAATAGTACGTAATATAATTAAAAAAATTGATCAACAATACAATCAAACTTAGTCACATGTTTGTGGTTTAGGATATTTAATCAAGCATATGAAGGATATCTAATCCGAAATTAACCCATGTTATTACACAACCCTATAAAGAAAATTACCCAATACAATGTATAATCACAAATCGATAATCACATATTACATCACCATATACAATGTCATTTTAACTAAGTAAATTACTCTTAGGAAATACCTGCACACCCGAACTTCTTATTGCCTCCAAATTCTCGAAGCTTCCCTATTTTATCCTCAAAAAGTTAAACCTTCCACATAAGCGTTTTTAAAATGAGAAGATACATTTATATATATACACTCTTACCTGAAAATACTTCTCATCGGTCAAAACGCTAAGGCACGCTGCTCCACCTTTCTCATAAGCTTTGGCAATCTTAACCTGTCGTGATAAAACACAGCATTTTCTTTTCACTCCTTTTTACCGATTTTTCTTTTTCGTTTTTTTGTGGATAATTTTTTAAACAAAAATCCCTCACTGCTAAAATTATTTTATATTAATTACTCGTTTTATGTGTATACTATAAAAATCACTCGTCAAAATCTCGGACTGCAACATGCATATGTTTGAAGCTTTTTCAACACTATGGTTAATGCATGTAACAGAGTAAAAAAAGGACTAAAAAATAAATAAAAATTGACGACTTACGGGATCAAAATCTTCCCTTAAAACCCCTCTACTCGGAGAAGCCTTTTTCACTTCAGCAATTAAACCGGGAAATCCAGTCCGTGAATTCGCACTCTTAAGAGCTCCAACAAAATCTCTAACAGGTGGAGCATAATCGAGCAAATCTTTCAACACGGGTAGCGGTTTTCTCTCTTTCCTCTACTAGTCAAAAAAACCCGATAGTTATGTATATCGTTTTATTGATGATTTTCTATGTATGTAGAATATATATCCATTAAACTGAAATCAAGGAGTACCTGAGAGACTTCAACATCCTTGTACCATATAATTTCTTCAAGAATATCGCGTGGGGCGTTTCCGTCATTTTGCAAGTGAAATTCAAACGGGCCCACGTAGTTAAGAGGCGGCCCAGTTGGAGGTCGCCGCCTGATTTTTATACCTTGGCTCGCTGCAACTTCTTCTTGCAACATCCCGATTTCCCAGTCTTTAACTTTGAGTGCATCTCTGTCTGAAATTCTAGTGTCTGAAAATGTGGCCGGTCCATCTTTCAATTCGTACTAATAATACAGTATGTAAAATAATATGTTAGCTCAAGAAACTCAGTCACGCGTTACATGCCCGTAAAAAAGTACCGATCTTTTTTTTTTTTAATCTAAATTTTGATTCAGTTTAGGAAATTAATGAGATCGGTCTGATTGGAAACTCCAGTAAAATAAGCATCTGATCACAAGAAACTCTAATCGGATAAATATTCCGTTCACACGCATGAAAAAAAAAAAAAAAAGACAACCTTTAAGTAACCGAAACCCGACACTAGGGCCTTGTTTGTGAAATATGATTAGGTTTGATGGTATTATGATCAATCTTTGTCAAATGCTAATCCTAGCAATCCAATCAATCTAATCAATCCCATTTAGATTAAAAAAACAAAAAAACAAAAAAAAAAAACACAATCCTGTTTACATTCCCAAACAAGGCCTTAGAAGATGAATGCACTCAAGCCAATTAGGGTTTGGTGGTATGAATCACATTCTTACAGGGGAAGCCGAATTCTGTAACCCTTGATAATTTAATCCGCACACAAACAACATGGACAAAATTAATCAAATCAAAAGGCCCAGAAAAAAAAAAAAGATAAATGGGATAAATTTACCTGTTGAGATTTAACGGAGAAGACTGAAAATTGATTCGGCATGTGGGTCAGCGGCGAAGTTCTGAAAAATGTCGATTTGGGGAGTATCAGACTGAGGGATCGCTGAGAAGAAGAGCTGTGTTTTGAAATTATTGCAGGGGATGATGATACTCGTAGGGATATCACACCTTCCATTGTGTGTATGTGTGTGTGTGTATATATATATGTGTGTGTGCTTGTGTGTATATGTTGCAATGCTTTTCTCTTGCGCAGAGAAACCTGAAACAGAGTCGACTGATATTGGATGCTTCGGTCCGTGGGGGGCGAAGGGGGGGCCGGGGGTTTGGGGGTGGTGGTTTTGAGGATTTTGGTGAGCACGAGTGACTTTCCTGCAATTCTCTACAGTTTGAACTAAAGTCGTTGAAAAGAGGTAAATTAAAGAATTAAAGGAAAACAAAGGAATTTGGACATTTGGGATAATTACATTTTTAGTCCTTATACTTGCCGCTTAAAATGATTTTAGTCCTCAAATCTCAAACTTTTAAGTTCACGAAATTAGTCATCAATCTTATCACATTTTGACACTTTCTGTTCGGCCGCCAACTTTTACACAGTTAACTTGGAATAACTTGACCTAGAGCAATGATAGAGAACAAAGATGAAGTGAAGCTTGTGGAATCGGGATATCATGGCAATTATTGGGGAGTTTATTCGAAATGTTGAGTTTATATTAAGACTTTATGCCGTGTTGCCCATCTCAATTCTAAATTTGTTACATGTTTTAGAGATTTAGGCTGGAAAATTTAGGAAGATATAAAAGAAAATGGTTTGGGGAAGACAATGAGGTCGACGTGTCTCTTCCAACTCGTTTTCTGAATGCCACTTGGACGTCACATGAGGCGCACATGACATTTCCGTCCAAGTTTAACTGGAAAAGTAGACCGCCGAACCAAAATTGTCAAAATGTTGTAAGATTGATTGACTAATTTCGTGAACTTAAAAGTTTGGGGACTAAAATCATTTTAGGTGTCAAGTATAGGGACCAAAAATATAATTATGACATTTTACAATTTGCAATGAATACTGAATAGTAAACACAATAACCGCATTTATTCCAATTCATTATTCCTAATTAAGGTTGTTCCTCTCTCACACGTGACAAACAAAGCACAGCGTGTGTGTGTGTGTTATTTGGTGTGTTTTCCCTCTCAAACATGTATAAACCTAATCCAGTGGGACCTACTAGGGATCCCACCGTTAACAACAGTAATCATATAATACCCAGCCGGCGCCACCTTGGAAGACGGCGGCGCCACCACATTGGCCCTCCACAAACCACCGTCACCCCTCACCAACTTATTGCACCTGAGTACAAGCAGCCTCTGGTTCATGGACATTCCATGCGTGTTGAACGGCGGCGCGTATGCAGTGAACACCACTTGATCATCGTTATTGTTTCTCCTCACCTTCTCGTTCAACGAGAACTCGACATCGAACTCCTCCCCGTACCCTACCCACTCTTCGTTCCGCCGCCCCTTTACCGTCACGTTGCGGGCCCTGCGGTGATCGAAGTCCCTCGCCATGTTCGCAGGCGAGAACGCCTGCAGACGGAGCTCCGTCGGGTGTGGAACGCCCCCGAAGGCGTACTGGTGATTAGGGTTACTCCCGGCGACGAGAACCCTCCCGTCCGGCAAAAGAACGGCCGACGAGTGGTACATTCTAGCAATCCTCGTCGATGCTAGGGTTGTAAACCGGCTCCCCGTAGGCCTCTTCGGCTTGTATAGATAGGGTACGAGAGAAGGGTTCGACCCGTAATTCGATCCGGAGCACCCATGCCTCGCCCCGTTAATGATGAGGATATTCCCGTTGGGTAGAACGATCATGTCGTTCATCACACGTGGGCCCGGCATGCTCTCCATCTCCCACCGGTGGTGGTGCCCCGTGATCACCATCCTCCCGCACGTTCTCTTGGCGGCCAAGAAATTTCCCCGTTGGGCGGCCGCCAACGCGCCGTAGGCGGCACCACCGCAGATCATGACTTCGACTTCGTCGAAGTTATTTTTGTGAGATAAAGGGAGGATCACCGACGAGCCGCTGCTCGGGTAGCTTCTAGAACCTCTCCCGGGAATTCTCGGGTAGGTTTTCACCACCTTGTCTCGTTTGTAGTCCAAAAGAATCGAATCCCGGTTGGCAAAAACGAATAGATTCCCGTCCGAAGCGAGGTGGATAATAGGGTAAAGATTGTTGCCCCCTTCATTTCTCTCATAAGTGTTGTGCAAGAAAGGTAGGTTAAATGGCCTCTCATTCGGCACCCTTTTCGGCACAAACTCGTAAGAGAACACATTGTCCCCACCGAGGACAATAACCCTATCATCGTTTTCGGGCAATCTCAAATTAGACGCAAACCATCTATCTTCCGACAAGTGGCTCCGCTCCTCCCTCCAATCGCAACGGCCGTTCCCGCACGACCGGAAGAAACGGATCCTCCGCGAACCGGACCCAAACCCGCCCGTCTGGATCAACGACCCGTTGCTCAGGATCGAGCCGGACGAGCACAAGGTGTCGCTCTCGATTTCGATCGGCCTGATTCTGTTCCTCAAGAGGTCGTACTCGACGGAGTGGGCGTAACGGCGGGGCCCGTTACGTCGGGCCGGAAGACGGTAGCCCGTCGGGCCCTGGCCCGTTTGATCGAACATTACGACGGTGTTGTGGTGGGTTAAGGCCATGTGCATTGCCACCACACCGGTGCTGTTGAGGAGAGTGTCCCATCTGCCTTTGGTTGCTTCGCTTGCATTTGTGGAATGCCATAGCAAAAGAATTGAAAGGGCTAGTAGTAATACTTTGTAGTGGTGATTTAAGCCCATGAGAAATTTTGTGGTTTTTTTTTTAATTGATTTTGGATTTGGTGGTGAGGGAATTTATAAAATGGAAATGAATGAATTAATTAATTTATTTATTTTTTATTTTTTGGAATAGGGTCTGGTTTAGGGGAGTCATGTTATATGTGTGTTTTGAGGTTAATAAGGTGTAGCACAAAAGATTGGTGATGTGTGTGTGTTAGTGTAGATGATGGATCTTTGCATGAGCACAAGTGTAGGAGAGTTCACACAAAGGTTTCCTCCAACAAACCATTGACAATTTCGGGATCAAATTTCGGTTGGCTGTGGAAATTGGAACGAAATTTTCAGTTTTGGTCGATTTTGATTTAACAATTCCCGTCATTGGAAACATTCGATTTTTGGGTTTTCAAAAAATTGGGGATGGTAATTGGAATTTGTATTTTTATTTGATTTTAATTTTCGAAAAATAATTTCAAAACAATTCTAACATTTTCAAGAAAATTACATTATAGTAATATGTATTTTATACAAACAAGAGAAATTATTTCGTAATATAGTACTCCCTCTGTTCCATAATATCTGTCTCTTTTGAAAAAATAAATTGTTCCATATTATCTGTCACTTTAGTACTTTACAATTCCAATGCTGTATTAATTGCTTATTTTTCAATTTTACCCTTATTAACTCTATAGCAGTCTTCATGCATTAATTAATAAACAAGGGTATTTTGGTCATCAATATCTATTTTCCTAAAATCAAGACATATTTATTGAGATTCTTAAGATTTGTGACAAGGTGAAAAACGACACTTATTTAGGAACGGAGGGAGTATTAACTAGGAAATATTCGTAACGTGTGTAACGGTATGAGCATCTCCAGTGGGAGTATTAAATATAAAAACCACATTTTTGATACCCAAAACTAAATAAAGAAATTCCTCCAATGGAAGTATCAAAAATAGATAAGTATTTTGATATTCTACATCCTCGATATTTAATTATCAAAGAAATAACCACTTAAACATTCAATTACAAAATGACATATGTTTATTACAAATAAAGTCACCGAAAACTTCCAACTTAATTAGGGTTAACAAAAATTGAATATTTTAAATCCCATGCACATTATTCCCAACTTAATTTAGAAAGTTAGGTTTTTTTAGCAAAGAAGTTGGGGAATTTAAAAAAATTAAAAAAATTAAAAAATTGGCCATATAAATAATCAACAAAATTAAATGTGTTCATCTAAGAAAATTAAAGTGCGAAGCTTTCAATTTCTGCCAAACCCTTGCTCTAGAGTTCTGTAAGGGGTCAGATATATTAAATATTTATCGCCATTGAAGCAAAACTAATAATACATTTTAGGGGGTATTTAGTATGATTCGTAATTAAGGGGTGTGTGTGCGACATGTCCCATAATTTAAGGGTGCAAAGTGAACTTTGCCATATTTTATAATGCTACATAGAAATAGAATATCAAAATTAAATACTATACAAATTCCACGCCATCGCATGGCAGAAATTTTCCCATACGTTCGAATCGATACACTCCAGCTTTTCTTTCGATTTTAGTATTGTTATGTGACACTTTACGTAATCGACTATAGTTGATTAATAAATTAACTATGTTTTTTACAGTCGATTTTTTTTTGGTCCAATATATGCTTCAATAATTTAATCAACTATTGTCGATTAATAAATCAACTATGCAAATAACGTAGTCGATTTACAACCAGTTTAAACTAGAATTTCGCGAAAAAAACATAAGGTAAACTAGAATTTCGCGAAAAATATGAAGGGAGTGGGGCACTAATTATTTTCAAAGAGTGGCCCTTTCGCAATGCAATTTCAAAATGGGGGAGTTTTTACTAATTTTTCCTAATATATATAAATTAGGAAATATATAAATGAATTTAAAGATCAAGTTGGTGTAATGTTTAATCAAATAGAGTAGAATAAATTGACAAACAACACAACGTGGTTCCAACCTGCACATATTCTCAGTTGAAGAATAAGTTAAGTCTACAATTATCTTATAATTAATTAACTGATTTAAATCAAATTAAATTAAATTATAGAGTTAACCTCACCATCATTAATTAATTAATTAATTAATTAATAATAACCACATGCATGCCTTTAATTGCGTTCACAAGTTGACTTTCTCATATCCCAATTCCACAAGTCAAAAGAGCTCACAAATCCTCAACTCTCTCTCCCCTCTTTCTCTTCACAATTTGGCCATTGCAACTTATCACAAAGAACACAAATTAAGGTAATTTTCCAATTTTTTTTTTTAATTTTAATTATTTTTTTCCTGCAGTTTTACTATACAAATTCCATATCTATACATGCTTAAATAATTTTTTTTATCTATTTTAGTATCATTCGATCGAGAAAAAATATGCATCGTTTGTCGTCGAGTTATTCTGCTGCTAAAGCATCCAACGATGAGTTCTCGGTGAACTTTCTCCCCGATGCTTCGAAGGATTTAGTTTCCGATGATTTCTCGGATAATTATAACAATAATAATAGTAGCAATAATTATAATCCCATTTCTGATGATATTGCAAAGAAGGACATTTCTCCAAAACTTTATTCAGGAGAGAGAGCTGTTCATCTAATCCCACTCATCTTGATTATGTGTGGTTTGGTTCTTTGGATATTCTCCAATCCAGTTGACCTGCATTGACTTTTAGCCTTATGTTTCATTCTTGAATTTTCATCTTAAAAAATGTGTCTTTTTTTTTTAATAAATAATAAATCTTGTTCTTTTGTTTGTTTAAAGTGATATGTGAAGTTGGAATACTCAATGCAATTGTTTGTTGGTTAATTATATTGATGAAATTAGCTTGCCTTTGATTCTTGATTTGTGACTTTTTTAATCCGAACTAACGCATTACTACGATTTACTTGATTTTTTTGATCGAGATACAAAAATTGTGTTCGAATTTGATTTGGTTGTTAATTGAGTCGAGCTCAAATATATATTTACTCGAGCAACATGATCCTTATCGTACACAAATTGAACTAATTAAGTTTCATATACAATCGAACGAAAAAAACGTGTTCGATCAACAAAAAGTACTTATTTTCACATTGATTCATCACATCACAAAACTCAAAAGCACTAATTTAGAGTCGCAATTGCAAAGAGCGGAGTAGCTCTCCGGACCGTAGCGCCGGGGCTTTCAGTCATGTCCAAATCTTTCCCCTGTAATCCATCTGGCAATTCCCAATTAAATTTATGCACAATATTTGCCACAACAAACTCAATAGTAGCAACGGCAAATGAAATCCCGGGACAACCCCTTCTACCGGCCCCAAACGACATGAACTCAAAATCGAGGCCCTTAAAAGCAATATTGTTATCATTCGAGTACTTCTTCTTCAAGAATCTTTCCGGCTCAAACTTCTCCGGTTCATCCCAATACTGCGGGTCCCGCCCTATGGCCCAACCATTTATCATCACCGTTGTTCCCTTCGAAACATCGTAACCCATTACTTTCACATCTTTGTCTATTATTCTGCGAGTTAGCAAAGGAATCGGTGGGTGACAACGCAGAGTTTCCTTCACCACGGCTTTTAGATAGTGCATTTTCTCCAAGTCGTCGTCTTTTATGGCGTGTTTGCCTCTTAGGATTTCTCTGACTTCGTTTTGCAATTTTCCCATCACAATTGGGTGTCGAAAGAGCTCCGACATCAACCACTCCAGCAGTGTGGCTATGGTATCCGTACCACCGGCAAACACATCCTACAACGATCGATAACATACAATAAAAAAGAGTTCTATATATATAATTATCTGGAATGGGGATTATATGGAAGTATATACTCCCTCCGTCCCATATTAATTTGTCTTTTTATATAATTTTTTTGTCCCAGAGTTATGTCATTTTAGATTCTCAATCATTAATTGTATTATTTTTAATTTTACCATTTATCACTCTTAATTAATTATTTAGGAAACAATTAATATCAAGGGTATTTTAGTAATTTTTTAGTTTTTGCTATAATCTGCATATCTATTGATTTTCTTAGTATGTGCCCAACAACCCAAAACGGCATTTAAATTGGGACGGATGGAGTACTTTGTAAAGCATATCTTGATCCATAGTTTGACATTTAGTTGTTTTATCTATCTCAACATTAGTAGATCACTTTTAACGAGCGTAACTTATACGACACTCTACAATACATAACCATGATTAATAATTCAACAATACGAACAAACTATTCAGCATTTACTGGTAGCAGGTTCCTTCATTACCTAAAAAAAAATTAAAAACTATTAAGCACCTCTGTTACACAGATACGGCTGAAGGGACAAGTTTCCCCGTGTCAACTACGTTTCTGACACGAAACGCGATGATACGCGTACTATACGCTTGTGGGGCGTATCTGTAATATTTAAATACTTGGACACGGGTATCCAAAATTGACACCCGTGAAAGAAGGAAAAAAAGGTTTTTTTTCTGAAAAAGCCCAAACCTATTCTACTTCTGTTGTGCCCTACTGCAGTATTATTCTTTTCTCTTTCCAACTATTCTGCCTCTATCTATCTTTCGTTGGAAGAAAACTAATAATATATATATATATATATATATATATATATATATATATATATATAAGTTTTAATATTGTAAAAAAGCACAAAAAAACTTTTTTAATAATTTACAAATAGACCCCTATATTCTTTTATATTTACACGTATCCCCCACGTTCCCGTGTCCTACTTTTTTTAATAAAATGTTTCCCCGTGTCCGTGTCTGTGTGTCGCCGTGTCCCCGTTCCCGTGTCTATGTAACATAGTTAAGCACTTACCAGAAGCAGTGCTTTGATGCTATCTTTCTCAAGAGTGTTGTTATCACCGCAAATTTCAAGCAAAATATCGAGAAAGTTTTCTCCGTTTCTCTCCTTCGAAGCTTCCGTGTGTTGTCGAATCACGTCCTCAAGGAAACAATCCAATCCTCTCGCCACATCATCCACTCTCTTATCCAATCCATTAACACGATCAATCCAACCGAGCCACGGAACAAAATCCCCAATACAAAGAGCTCCTAAAAGCTCCATCAAATCTTTCAACAACACCAAGAACTTCTTCCCGTTTTCCGAATCGCTGCACTTCACTCCAAAAGCCGATCTGCATATCCCATCGATAGCTAACTCGGAAAACATCTTGCTCAAATTCACCACCTTATTACCCGCATTACAAGATTCTCTAATAATCTTTCCGATCAAATGATCGGTTTCTTCTTCTCGTATATAACGAAAAGATTGAACCCTTTTGTTGCTAAGAAGTTGGTGGACGAAAATACCCTTCATCCGCTTCCAGTATTCGCCGTAAGGCGCAACCGCTACATCCTTACAGCCATACAGAAGTTTCTTGAAGGACTTAAAGTCGGGCCTGTTCGAGAAGACGATGTCATGTGTGGTCATGATCTCACGGGCTGAGTCAGCAGATGAAACAATTATAAAGGGCACCGTGCCGAAGTGGAGAAGCATAAACGGGCCGTGTTTGTTGGCTAGGGTTTGGAGATCCCGATGAGGTAACGAGCCTACTTGGTGGAGATTTCCGAGTATCGGCAGCTTTCTTGGTGATGGGGGCGAGTTCTTTTTGTTTGCAGCAGATTTCTTGATGAACCACCATTTTGTAATAGACCAGAGCAAGAACAAAGATACAAGAAATGGAAATATGAAGGGATGCAATAACTCCATTGTTGTTGCTGTAATAGAAGCTTAGGCTGTTTTAGGACAGGGGTTTAACTCATGTGTTCTGCTTATTTATGGATTAGTGATTGTACATAGTGATTAGCAGGGGCAGACCCGGGGGTTTCTGGGCAGACCCAGGGGGTTTTCTTGGGGACTGAAATATTAGAGAAGATTTTTTTTTTTGTTTTTATGGACTAAAGTGTAAAATTAAAAGGTTGAGGGCGAAAATACATTAATTAATACATTAATAACAACAATCAAAAAATTGCTTAAAAAAAAATTCTTGCTGGGCGGGAGCCACCCCAGCCATATGCATGGGTACGCCCTGGAATGACTAGTCAAATCGCATGTGTAGCGGGAAAAATGCATTTTAGCCCCTTATGTTTACCTGAATGTCACATTTGGTCCCTATGTTTAAAAAAATGCATTTGGTCAACGGGACTAACAAAAAATCAACACATTTTGGTCATTTTCTTCAATATTTCTTTAGAACCTAACGGAATCAAGTATGTTCCTGCCACTGTCTTAACTAACGTATTAATAGTATATTGACGAAAATGACAAAAAAAGTTAAATTATCAAAACGTGAGGAATCAAATGTGTTTTTTTGTAAACATAGAGATCAAATGTGGAATCAATGCAAATTTGAGGAATGAAAACTAAAAGTTTTCCTGATTTAACTTATCTGCTACGCTTATTTATGGATTAATGATTATACAAGTGATTAGTGAACCCCGCATGCATGTGTCGTAATTTCTTAATAAAGTTTGAATCTCACTAAAAACAAAAAGTGAGAAGAGAGAATCTTGATTCCTAGATAAGCTAAGATGCCTCCATTGTTATTTTATTTAGTTTGTATTTTAACCCACCAACTCTCGATGACATTGTTTATCAATTATATGTTGGGGATTGGCTGTAATTTGCCATAAATAATATATTTTTATTTTTATTTTTATTATTATTTTAGAGAAGAATTAAAAATGAATTTACCATGGTTTGTATATTGTCGTTTCTAAAAACCAATCGTGATTAATCTAGAATTACAATATTGGAAAAATATAGTTTTTGTCCCTCAAATTTGTATCTACTTCACATTTGGTCCTTTATATTTCAAAACTTCAACACTTTTAGTCTTTTACGTCAATTTTCTGTTAAAACTAACAGACTAAAGCGTGTGCCCATCACTGCCTTAACTAACAGACTAATTGTAAATTGATGGAAATGACAAAAAATGTTAAATAATTGGAACATGAGGGATCAAATGTGTTTTTTATGAATATGAGGGACCAAATGTGAAATCGGTACAAACTTGAGAGATGAAAACTGTAATTTCCCCATTATAATATTAATATAATATATAAAATTTCAGAAATTGTGTAACCGTATCTACAATCAAGTTCTACAAATGGCTGCCTTTGTTTAATTTTGAAAAAAAAAAAATCAAACTTTGTTAAGGGTGTGTTTGGAAATATTATTTGCACGATGATCCATATAAAAACAAACTGTATATATTAAGCACAAACTATATTAAACATAGTCTCCAAATTAAATTAAATATTCATAGTGGCAACTGCAAGAAGAGGAATAGCTTTATGTACTGTATTCCCGGGACTTTCACTCACATCCAAATCTTTCCCTCGTAATCCATCAGGCAATTCCCAGTTAAATTTATGCACAATATTAGCCAACACAAACTCGATAGTAGCAACCGCAAACGAAATCCCGGGACAACCCCTTCTCCCGGCACCAAACGGAATAAGTGTATAGTCGAAGCCCTTAAAATCAATACTCTCATTCTTTGAGTTCTTCAAGAATCTCTCCGGTTCAAACTTCTCCGGTTCGTTCCAAGACTGTGGGTCCCGCCCTATGGCCCACGCGTTAACCATTACTATAGTTCCCTTTGAAACGTCGTACCCCATTATCTTCACGTCTTTGTCCGCTACTCGTGGTACTATTATTGGAATTGGTGGGTGGTAACGAAGACTTTCCTTGATCACGGCTTTTAAATAATCCATTTTCTCCAAGTGTTCGTCTGTTATGTTGTGTTTGCTTCCTCCGATGATTTTCCGTACTTCTTTTTGCAATTTGTCCATTACGCTAGGGTTTCGTAATAGTTCGGTCATCGTCCATTCGAGAGATGTGGATATGGTATCAGTCCCGGCTATAAATACATCCTGTCGGGACATTACATGAAGCAGAAAGAGGGCTTGAAATATTTTACTGTATGGTTTAAATGGGGAATGCATTAGTATGTATAGTAGAATATAGGGAAAGATACAGTTTCATCCATCAAGTTTGCACTGATTTCACATTTGGTCCCTTATGTTTACAAAAAACACATTTGGTCCTTCATGTTTCGAAAATTCAACACATTTAGTCATTTTCATCAATTTTCTATTAAAACTAAAGGAATCAAACGTGTGCCCATCACTACTGTAACTGACGGACTAACAGTAAATTGACGGAAATGACCAAAAGTATCAAATTATTAAAACACGAGGGACCAAATGTATGTTTTGTGAATATGAGGGACCAAATAGGAAATCGTTGCAAACTTGAGGGGTAAAAACTGTAAATTTCCCGTAGAATATAATTACGTTATTAGTTTAATACTCGATTAATATACAATTTCGTTCGAAATAATATTTTTGGATGGTCCCAATTTAAAGGATAATTCACTAAATTTATAAGACGATACATTTATGTGAATTCATATAGATTCGTTGATATATAAATTAAAATCTCTTATTACATAGTCAAATTCAACTATATTCTAATTAGGCAGTTCTTTTGTCTAACTTCCATAAATTAATAATTATTATTTAGCAATTATTTCAACATTTTGTTACCAATTAATGCATTAGTTTATTGATGTTTAACTGTATAATATATATTTGGAACTATAACGAGGACTTACCAGAAGTAATGCTTTGATGCTATCTCTATCAAACGACGAGAAATCGGCATTGTCGTCGTCGTAAATTTCGAGCAAAATGTCAACAAAATTTTCGCCATTTCCCCCCTTGGGAGTTTCCATGTGTTCTTGAATCACACCCTCAAGAAAATCATCCAATTCTTTCGCAACTCTATCCATTTTCTTGTCGAAGCCATTAACACGATTAATCCAACTTAGCCACGGGATAAAATCTCCAATGCTAATCGCACCCAACAACTCCGCCAAATCCGCTAACAGCATCAAAAACTTCTTCCCGTTTTCCGAATCGCTGTACTTGTGCCCTAAAGCCGATCGGCAAATCCCATCAATAGTCAACTCCGAAAACATCTTAGTCAGATTCATCGCGTTACCCTGACAAGAATATTCTTCGATCCTTTTAACGAAAAGGGCCGTCTCTTCTTCCCTGATTTTACGAAAAGATTGAACCCTTTTGTTGCTAAGAAGCTGGAGGACGAATATGCTCTTCATCTGCCGCCAGTATTCGCCGTAGGGGGCGGTGGCTACATCTTTGCAGCCGTAGAGAAGTTTCCGGAAGGCCTTTATTTGGAGCCGGTTCGCGAAGTTGATGTCGTGGGTTTTCATGATTTCGCGTGCTGAGTCAGCCGACGAGCTGATTAAGACAGGGACATTACCGAAGTGGAGGAGCATAAACGGGCCGTGTTTCTTGGCTAGGGTTTGGAGATTCCGATGAGGTAATGTGCCTACTTGGTGGAGGTTTCCGAGTATGGGGAGCTTTCTTGGTGAGGAAGGTAGGGTTTTTTTGTGTAAACTAGGTTTGTTGAACCATTTAGTAATGAGAAAGAGAGAGAACAAGAACAAGGATGTGAGAAGTGGGAATGTATAGGGGTGAAACTGAATTTCTTGCATTGTTGTTGGTTTAATTTGCAAATATGAGAATATTATGATAAAGTTCTGTTCGGGATGGTATTTATTGCCATGGAAGTGGACTTTTTTGCTAACTAAAGCCAAGAAAGTGAGACGAAAGAATCTTGATTTTGGGATGTAGCTTATATTCCTCTAGTGTTACAATTTATATAATAAGAAATGGGAAAAATATATAGATTTCGTCCATGAAGTTTGCACTGATTCCATATTTTAAAAAATTCAACATTTTAATCATTTCCGTCTATATTCTGTTAGTCCTAACGGAATGAAGCGCGTGTCCTTTGCTGCCTTAACTCATGGGCTAATGGTTGCTTGACGGAAATGATAAAAAATGTTAAGTTATTGAAATATGAGGGAGAAAAATGTGTTTTTTGTAACTATTGGGGACCAAATGTGAAATCAGTGCAAACTTGAGGGGTGACAACTGTAATTTTCCCGAAAAGAAATAGTTAAGTATAGATTGATGGGTGCATTTAAGAAAAAGTTTGGCAGGAAAAGTGTAGTCACTAGTTTGATGAAGTCAAGTTGATGACCTAATCAAATAGAAATTAACCATAGACGTGGATTTAAAATCCATTATCGAAACCATCGTGTTTAGTAACGGTTGCGGTCAAGTAAATATTAGATGTGTTTAAAAGTCTAAACCCATGGATTCGATATCGACTGTAAATTTTGAAAACATAAAAGAAATAAAAGGGGGGTAAATACCACTTAATCCCTTTGTGGCTTGAACATTTTGCACATGACCTCCTTATGGTATGAAATTAGGCATATAATCCCATTGTGGTTTGGATATTTTGCACATGACCCCCTTATGGTATGAAATTAGGCACATAATCCCCTTGAATAGAAAACTGTAAAAGACTATATTACCCCTAAAGATTAGCCAAATTGCAACCATACTAACTGTTTGTTGGTTATTCAAGTCAAAATTTCTTGTTTTAATTTAAAAATAACTATTCTATAAAATGAAAAGTTGAATGTATTTTTTTGTAAAATGAGAAATATAATATATTATTGTGTTTTTCTAATTTTACGACACAAAATGTATATAATACTAGTTATTGTACGATTACAATTTATTCAATTTTAGAAATCAATTTGAAATTTCATATGTTACAAATTAAATATAAAATGATTAAACTCGATATAAAATTACGAGCTATCAATTTCTTTGTTCAATTATAATTCGGTAAAATAATTCTATTTCAAAGTTTTAATATTGTTATTCATTATGATTATTGTTTACTATTTTAAATATAATATATTATATTATGGCTGTTATCGAATTTTATTTTTTAAATAAACAAAGTCTTTATTAAAGAAAGTGCGCGAACAACGTCTTTCGATCACATTTTTTTAACACAAACAGTAAATTAAAAAAAAAAAAAACAATATTAATATGACACTGCAAAGAGTGTCTAATTATTTCTTGATGAACCAGAGCAAGAACAAAGATACAAGAAATGGAAATATGAAGGGATGCAATAACTCCATTGTTGTTGCTGTATGAGAAGCTTAATTAGGCTGTTTTAGGACAGGTGTTTAACTTATGTGTTCCGTTTATTTATATATGGATTAGTGATTGTAGATAGTGATTACTGAACTCGCATGTGTACTGGGAAAAATGCATTTTTAGCCCCTTAAATTTACCTGAATGTCACATTTGGTCCCTATGTTTAAAAAACGCATTTGGTCAATGGTACCAACACAAAATCAACACATTTTGGTCATTTTCGTCAATTTTTCATTAGTACCTAACGAAATCAAGTATGTTCTTGTTACTGTCTTAACTAACGTACTAATAGTATTGACGAAAATGACCAAAACTGTTAAATTATTAAAACATGAGAAATCAAATGTGTTTTTTTTATAAACATGGGATCAAATGTGCAGTCAATACAAACTTGAAGGATGTAAACAATAATTTTTCCTGTTTTAACTTATCTGCTATGCTTAATTATGGATTAATGATTATACAAGTGATTAGTGAACCCCGCATGCATGTGTCTAATTTGTTAATAATTTTTTAATCTCACTAAAAACAAAAAGTGAGACGAGAGAATCTTGATTCCTCAGATAAGCTAAGATGCCTCCATTGTTATCTTATTTAGGTTGTATTTTAACCCACCAACTCACTTCCATAACATTGTTTAGATTTATATATAATTATCCAAGCAAGATAGAGTTTTTCATAATTTGATCTTATTTTAGGGATTGACTGTAATTTGCCATAAACAATTTTTATTTTGTTTTTATTATTTTAGAGAATAACTAGCATTTTTCCCCGTGCGATGCACGGGATCGAATTTTAAAAGTGAAAAAAAAATCAATTTAACAAATTGAATTTCTATCTTTATTTCTTAAATTTTGAGATATATTGATGAAAAACAGGAGGTTGAAGCCGGAAGTATTTTTCACGATTCATCATTTTTGATAATTGTTGAAAATATAGCTAGAAAATTAGTAAAACAAAATTTTAAAAAATAAATAAATACAGAAATGCCATTAGGGTTTTTTAGGGTTGTCCAGTGTTTCTTTCTTTTATATATAAGATTAAAAATGAATTTATCGTGGTTTGTATATTATGTTACAAATTATCGTTTCTAAAAATCAATCTTGATTAATCTAGAATTATAATATGGGAAAAATATAATTTTTGTCCCTCAAGTTTGCATTTACTTTACATTTGGTCCTCATGTTCTAAAAAAACACATTTGATCCCTTATGTTTAAAAACTTCAACACTTTTAGTCTTTTACGTCAATTTCCTGTTAAAACTAACAAACTGAAGCGTGTGCCCATCACTGCCTTAACTAACAGACTAACGGTAAATTGATGGAAATGACCAAAAGTGTTAAATAATTGGGACATGACGGACCAAATGTGTTTTTTTGTGAATATTAGGGTCCAAATTTGAAATTAGTGCAAACTTGAATTTCCCCATTATAATATAAATATAATATATAAAAATCCAGAAATTGTGTAACCGTATCTACAATCAAGTTCTACAATGGCTGCCTTTGTTTAAGTTTGAAAAAAAATCAAAATTTGTTAAGGGTGTGTTTGGAAATATTATTTGCACGATGATCCATATAAAAACAAACTGTATATATTAAGCACAAACTATATTAAACATAGTCTCCAAATTAAATATTCAGAGTGGCAACTGTAAGAAGAGGAATAGCTTTATGCACCGTATTCCCGGGACTTTCACTCACATCCAAATCTTTCCCTCGTAATCCATCAGGCAATTCCCAGTTAAATTTATGCACAATATTAGCCAACACAAACTCAATAGTAGCAACCGCAAACGAAATCCCGGGACAACCCCTTCTCCCGGCACCAAACGGAATAAGTTCAAAGTCGAAGCCCCTAAAGTCAATATTCTCATTCTTTGAGTTCTTCAAGAATCTCTCCGGCTCAAACTTCTCCGGCTCATCCCAAGACTGCGGGTCCCGCCCTATGGCCCACGCGTTAACCATCACTATCGTTCCCTTTGAAATATCGTACCCCATTATCTTCACGTCTTTGTCCGCCACACGTGGTACTACTATTGGAATTGGTGGGTGATAACGAAGACTTTCCTTGATCACGGCTTTTAAATAGTCCATTTTCTCCAAGTGTTCGTCCGTTATGTCGTGTTTGCTTCCTCCGACGATTATCCGTACTTCATTTTGCAATTTGTCCATTACGCTAGGGTTTCGTAATAGTTCGGTCATCGTCCATTCGAGAGACGTGGATATGGTGTCAGTCCCAGCTATAAATACATCCTGCGGGATAGATATAACAGTAGATGAAGCAAAAAGAGGGCTTGGAATTTTTTTACAATATGGTTAAATTTCAATGGAGAATGCAATCTATAGTAGAATTACCTTATTGATTTAATACTCGATTACTATAAAATTTCGTTTTAAATAACATTTTTGGCCGGTCGCAACTTGTCGACCACGTGATTAATTAATAATTCACTAAGGTCCCGTTTGGTTGGCAAGATAAAATTAGCCAAGATAAAATTAAATAATCTAATGAGACTCATTTATTTTATTGGAGCTTGAAACGTCTAAAAAAAAACTTGTTAGAAAGCAAGATAAGCCAAGATAATGCAAGATAAGTCATTATTATATAATTTTGGCTGGTCGACCCGACAATTTATTAAGAATACCAAACATCAAATTAGATCCAACTATTTAGTTAATCATGGCTTATCTTGACAACCAAACGGGGCCTTAAATTTATAAGATAATAACATGAATTCATATAGAGTTGTTGATATATATAAATTAATATCTCCTTATTATAAGTCAAACCTACCAGTTTCAATTTAATCACCACTATCAATTTCAGTGATATTCTCTACTATATTGTAACTAGGCACTTCTTTTGTCTACGTCCATAAATTAATTATTATTAGTTAAGTAATTATTTTAACATTTTTTATTGATTAATACATTAGTTTATAAATGTTTAACTGTATAATATATATACGAAACTATAACGAGGACTTACCAGAAGTAATGCTTTGATGCTATCTCTATCAAACGACGAGAAATCGGCATTGTCGTCGTCGTAAATTTCAAGCAAAATATCAACAAAGTTTTCGCCATTTTTCCCCTTGGGAGTTTCCATGTGTTCTTGAATCACACCCTCAATAAAATCATCCAATTCTTTCGCAACTCTATCCATTTTCTTGTCGAAGCCATTAACACGATTAATCCAACTTAGCCACGGGATAAAATCCCCGATACTAATCGCACCCAAAAGCTCCGCCAAATCCGCTAACAGCATCAAAAACTTCTTCCCGTTTTCCGAATCGCTGTACTTGTGCCCTAAAGCCGATCTGCAAATCCCGTCAACAGTCAACTCCGAAAACATCTTGGTCAGATTCATCGTACTACCTAAAGAAGAATATTCTTCGATCCTTTTAACGAAAAAGGCCGTCTCTTCTTCCCTGATTTGACGAAAAGATTGAACCCTTTTGTTGCTAAGAAGCTGGAGGACGAATATGCTCTTCATCTGCCGCCAGTATTCGCCATAGGGGGCGGTGACTACATCTTTGCAGCCGTAGAGAAGCTTCCGGAAGGCCTTTATTTGGAGCCGGTTTGCGAAGTTGGTGTCGTGGGTTTTCATGATTTCGCGAGCCGAGTCAGCCGACGAGCTGATTAAGACAGGGACATTGCCGAAGTGGAGGAGCATAAACGGGCCGTGTTTCTTGGCTAGGGTTAGGAGATTCCGATGAGGTAATGTGCCTACTTGGTGGAGGTTTCCGAGTATGGGGAGCTTTCTTGGTGAGGAAGGTAGGGTTTTTTTGTGTAAACTAGGTTTGTTGAACCATTTGGTAATGAGAAAGAGAGAGAACAAGAACAAGGATGTGAGAAGTGGGAATGTATAGGGGTGAAACTGAATTTCTTGCATTGTTGTTGGTTTAATTTGCAAATATGAGAATATTATGATAAAGTTCTGTTCGGGATGGTATTTATTGCCATGGAAGTGGACTTTTTTCCTAACTAAAGACAAGAAAGTGAGACGAAAGAATCTTGATTTTGGGATGTACTCCCTCCGTCCCAATTTAAATGATGTTTTGGGTTGTTGCACGCATATTAAGAAATTCGATAAATGTATATAGATTATAGTGAAAAGCATAGGAAAATACTAATATATCCTTGACATTAATTATTTTACAACTAACTAATTATGAGTGATAAAGGGTAAAATTAAAAATAGTGCAATTAATGATGCATTGAAAATGTAAAATGACAAATAATTTGGGACAAAAAAAACTCTCTAAAAAGACATATAATATGGGACAGAGAGAGTACCTTATATTCTTCTAGTGTTACAATTTATTTCTAAATTTATATAATAAGAAATTGGAAAAATATATAGTTTCCGTCATGAAGTTTGCACCTGTGTTACACACAGATACGCCTAATCTGAGAAGTGTCCACGCGTCGGATACGTTTCCGACACGAAACGCTATGCTTGGGGGGCCGTGTCAGTAATTATTAAATAGTTGGACACGCGTATCCAAAATTAATACGCATGTCAAAGAAGAGAAAAAAAATTTGCAAACCTTTTTGAAAAGTCCAAAAGGCAAAAGTCAAAACCTATTTTACCTTTTCTATTATTAGGATGTACCCTAGCCTAAATTTCTTTCTTGCAAATTTGCAAATTACTCTGAAGAAAGCCAGAAACTAATATAATAATATTATATATTAGTTTTTAGTTTTTAGTTTTTACTTTTTTGTTTATACTAGTATTTGAATAAATATATATATGTAAATTTTAAATTGTAAAAATAAATATTTTAACAATTTACAAATAGACCCCTATATTTTTAATATTTACACGTATCCCCACGTTCCCGTGTCCTACTTTTTTTTATTAAAGGTTTCTCAGTGTCCGTGTCCGTGTGTCGCCGTGTCCCCGTTCCCGTGTCTATGTAACCTAGGACTTTGCACTAATTCCACATTTTAAAAAATTCAACATTTTAATCATTTCCGTCTATATTCCGTTAGTCCTAATGGAATGAAGCGTGTGTCCGTTGCTGCCTTAACTCATGGGCTAATGGTTACTTGACGGAAATGATAAAAAATATTGAGTTATTGAAATATGAGGGATAAAAGTGTGTTTTTTGTAACTATTGGCGACCAAATGTGAAATCAATGCAAACTTGAGGGGTGGCAACTGTAATTTTCCCAATAAGAAATAGTAAAGTATAGACTGATAGGTGCATTATTTAAGAAAAAGTTTGGCAGGAAAAGTGTAGACACTAGTTTGATGAAGTCAAGTTGACCCAATCAAATATAAATTAATGATCTACGTGGATTTAAAATTGGGGAAAGTACAGTTTGCACCCCTGAACTATGGGGTCTGTCTCGAACACCTCCCTAAACTATAAAACGTAACAAAATAGTCCATGACTTTAACAGTCAAACATTAGGAATTTAACACCGTAAGAAATAATGTGCATTTACATTTTTACCCTTATTATTTTATGCTGCGAAATTAAATTATGGGAGTCCAACTGACGTGGCATCATCCTCACCATGGAGATTATTATCTCTCCAAAGAGTGAAAAAATGTCTGACTCTAATTTTCAATTTTCCTTAATCCACCGTCTCCACACAAATAAGGAACAAACATCGCAAGTTCACAAATCCAACTGAGGCAGCGACTGTTAATCATTATCGATGACCCATTTCGTGCCGATGGATTTCACCGGAGTGAGTAACGGAAGCACTGGCGTTGGATGCATCGGACTTTCTAGCGCTGCTGTTGGATTTGGTGGGTCACCGGTTGGCTTGGGTGCTATCTGTTGACCTTCGGGTCGGAACCTTCAAAAAGCAGTTCACCACTCTTCCTCCGCTACTTTCCCTTGAGAATAAGCGGAGGCTCTCCCTTGAAAATAAGCCGCCGCTGACGGATAATCAGGTAATCAGCACAGTCACCTCGTCGCAAGCCAATATGATGCGCGTGGTCGTGAATTCGGATTTGGAGATTGAGAATTCTAGAGTGGAACTGCTCTGTGTGGTGAAGGCTGTGTTGAAGAAAGTTAAGATGCGAGTGTTTGTAGGGGAACTACAATTTGGGGGTTTTTTGATGGAACTTTTCTTCGGGTAAATTGCACATCCAAATTGTAGGATTGAAAAGATAATGTGTTCTTCTATTCTTTAATTTATGTAAGCTTTTTTTTTTTTTAATTAAGGAGAGTTTAATGGTTGTGGTGAGAAGAAATAGTTTGCAGACTCTGTTTTCTACAGAGTGTCGAGAGAGAGAGAGAGCACCATCTGCATATATGTTCCCTTTTCCTTTTTTTTTCTTTTTTCTTTTTTCTTACTTTTTTTTAAATAATTTGTTGATTTTTTTTATGGTATTTTGATATTTAAAAATGAAAATATTATTTACCAATTAGTAATATATATATTGAGGGGTAAAAACGACAAATAATAAAAAAATCAATTATAATTGAGAAAGTCAACATGCCACATCATCATCAACTAACAGACTGTAAACGGAGGGGTCATTTTGTTACGTTTCATAGTTCGAGGGGGTGTTTGTGACAAGCCCTATAGTTCAGGGGTGCAAACTGTAGTTTCTCCTTTAAAATTCATTATCGAAACCATCGTGTTTAGTAACTATTGCGGTCAAGTAAATATTAGATGTGAGTCATGTGACTAAAAGTCTAAACCCATGGATTCAATATCGACTGTAAATTGTGAAAACATAAAAGAAAAAAAAGGGGGTAAATACCACTCAACCCTTTTGTGGCTTGGACATTTTGTACATGACCTCCTTATGGTATGAAATTAGGCATATAATTCCATTGTGGTTTGGATATTTTGCACATAACCCACTTATGGTAAAGTTTAGGGACATAAACAGTAATTTTCCCTCTCAAACACACTTAAATGGAAAATTGCAATTTGAACCTCACAAGTTAGCACTGATTTTTCATTCAATCTCCCATATTCACAAAAAAATACATTTTGATCCTTCATGTTTTAATAATCAAAATTTTGGTCATTTTCGTCAATTTACCGTTAATTCTGCAGTCAAGGCAGTGACATGCACACACTTGATTTCGTTAGTACCAACGAAATTTGACGAAAAGAACCACAAGTACTGAAATTTTTAAACACGAAGGACCAAATGTGTTGTTTGTGAACATGAGATCAATTAAACATGAAATCGGTACAAACTTGAGGGATGAAAACTGTATTTGCCATCAGACTTAAATTATTAAATATAGCTTACATCCCCAAAATAAAATAATCATTGGGAAAAATACAGTTTTGATCCCTCACATTAGCATCGATTTCACATTTGGTTCCTCATGCTTACAAAAATCACATTTGGTCATTCATGTTTCAAAAATTCAATACTTTTAGTCATTTTCATCAATTTCGTTAAAACTAATGGAATCAAGCCTATGTCCATCAACGACTTAACTGATAGACTAACGGTAAATTGACAGAAATAACCAAAAACGTTAAATTATTGAAACACGAGGGACTAAATGTATTTTTTATGATAATAAGGGGACCAAATGTAAAATCGGTGCAAACTTGAGGGATGAATACCATATTTTTTCCAATAATCATTATATTATCGGGAAAAATACAGTTTTCATCCCTCAAATTTACAGTGATTTCACATTTAGTCCCCCATGTTCACAAAAAACACATTTAGTCTCTCATATTTCAAAAACTCAACACTTTTACTCATTTCCGTCAATTTTCTGTTAGTACTAACGGAATCAAGTGCGTGTCCGTCATTACCTTAACTGACAAACTAATGGTAAATTGATGGAAATGACAAAAAAAATGGAAAAAATACAATTTTCATCCCTCTTGTTTGCACCGATTTCACATTTGACCCCTCGTGTTGACAAAAAACACATTTAGTCCCTCATATTTAAAAAAAAATCAACATTTTTAGTTATTTTCGTCAATTCTCCGTTAAAACTAACGGAATCAGACGTGTTCCTATCACTGTCGTAACTGACGGACCAACTGTGAATCAACGAAAATGACAAAAAATGTCACATTATTGAACCATAATGGACCAAATGTGTTTTTTATGAACATGGGAGACCAAATGTGAAATCGTTTCAAATTTGAGGGATGAAAACTATAAATTTTCCCATTTTAAATCATTGAACATAAACGACCAAATTTGTATTTTGTAAACATGTGGGTTGAATGTAAAATTACTGCATACTTAAGGGATAAAAACTGTAAGTTTTCCCTCATATTATTTAATTCATTTTTTTGTTCGGACTAACTTGCCCCTAGCAAGTTGTACAAATTATCGAGTAAGTTGACGAACTTTGTATTATTTTTCAATTGCACAAAATATATATTTTTTGTTAATCTTCTTTGCTCTATTTTTACAAGTTCATCAATCCTGAGTCCTGACTCGTTCTACTGGTGTTGATCCAGAGGAAATTGACGTAATTACCCTTGAAATTGTTCTAGCAATTAATAAACACACGGAAGTTCTACAATTTACTTGTATACGCATTGTTAGTTATTTCATTTTTATTTTATTTTTCTTAATTGTACTTGATACGGGCTCAATTGTTCTAAAACCCATATTTTATGAAAAGCCCTAAGCGGGGCCCACAAGACCCAAGCCCAATGTCGCCTTACGTACGAAGTTTGATAAAGTCTACCGGCACCCTCACATGGGATAGTTATAGACGGCGGACGTGACTACATTCGACCCAATGCCAGAGACATGGCGGAAAGCCTATACCATGATGCGAACCAAAGGGAGATCCACTAGCCAGAAACGATTTGTCGAGCGAACCAACGTAGGTACTCGCAGGAAGTCTCCGCAGAGCAAACGAGACTGTTGTATGAGGAAGACGATTCGCCTTAAGAGAAGCGTGGCCCGCAATTATTACATCACCACCACATGCACTATAAGCAACGACATGAGGAGGGTCCCACAACCCTCTCCTTGTGACATATAATGGAAAAAAAATACAGTTTTCATCCCTCAAGTTTGCTTCAATTTTATATTTGGTCCCCCATATTCACAAAAAATACATTTCGTCATTCATGTTTTAAAAATTCAACACTTATAGTCATTTATGTCAATTTTGTTATAAAACTAGCGGAATTGAACGTGTCCCCATCACTACCGTAACTGACGGATTAATAACAAATTGACGAAAATGACTAAAAGTGTTGAATTTTTGAAACATGAGGCACCAAATGTGTTTTTTGTGAACATGGCGGACCAAATGCGAAATCATTGCGAACTTGTGGGATGTAAACTGTAAATTTCCCGACATACAATATAAATACAATTGCTTGAGGCACAAGGGAAATGTGATCTGGTTCTTACATCTAATATACTATTTTCACTCTCTGATACTTACATTTTTCGTTATTTTCAACCGACTTGATCGTCGAAATGTTAACGCCGAAAAACTCTTTCCTTGTAGAGTGATGGGTGCACTTAAGAAAAAGTTTGCCAAGGAAAAGTGTGGACACTAGTTTGATGAAGCCACGTTGACCCAATCAATACATATTAATGATCAATTGAGTTTAAAATCCGCTGTCGAAACCATAAGGTTCCGTAACGACTTTGATCAAGTAATTATTACGTGTGACTAAAATCATGGATTCGGCATCGATTATAAACTGGAAAAATAAGTCTTGAAGTACACAAACAACAATTTATTTCACATTTATTCAACACAAACAGTAAATTCACAAAACAACATTAATATGACACAACTTATCCAAACAAAGAACCAAACCAAGTACAATAACATAAATTCATCCAATAAGAATGTGCCACATCATATACTCCGAGTGGCAACTGCGAAAAGAGGAGTAGCTCTATGCGCCGTAAGCCCCGAGCTTTCAGTATTGTCCAAATCTTTCCCCTGCGTTTCCCAGTTAAACTTCAGCATAAGATTCGCCAACACAAACTCAATGGTAGCCGCAGCAAACGAGATCCCGGGGCAGCCCCTTCTCCCGGCACCAAAAGGAATAAGCTCAAAGTCGAGGCCCCTAAAATCCATACTCTTGTTCTTTGTGTTATTCAAGAATCTCTCCGGATCAAACTTCTCTGGTTCATCCCAAAGATCAGGGTCCCGCCCTATGGCCCACGCGTTAGTCATCACCATCGTTCCGGCGGAAATATCGTACCCCATTATTTTCACGTCTTTATCCGCTACCCTCGGTAATAACATCGGAGCCGGCATGTGATAACGGAAAGTTTCCTTGATCACGGCTTTCATGTAATCCATCTTTGCCAAGTCATCATCTGTTACGATGCTTTTGCCTCCGACAATTTCTCTCACTTCGTTTTGCAATTTCTCCATCACGTTGGGGTGTCGTAGTAGCTCCGTCATCACCCATTCAAGAACCGAGGATATGGTATCGGTTCCACCTACGACAACATCCTGCGAAATATATAATATAGAAGAATAAAAGAAGAAAAAAACATTAAGAAAAATACTTGCGCTTTTCGCCATGTATAGTTATTACACTAACTAAACATCAATAAGGAGAGACCTAATTGTTTAACTAATGTATGCATCGGTCATCGATCAGTACTTATTCCACTCGCAGATAAACCGGTGTCTTGAGTTAGACTAACACAATCACGAAGATCAATTCATCGGCTCTTATAAAATATGAAAATATTAGTTCATAAGATGGAAGAAGAACAACCATGGGAATGATTTCCAGTCCGATTTCAATATCCGAAAATAATTACTAAAAATTCAATTTTGTCCGAAAATTACACATATAATATCTATATTTATTCTGCACTTTACATTTTAGGCGACTAATAGTTAGAATTTTCCATATGCTGCCGATTTCGATCCGAAAATATCTAATTCTCTGGAACGAGTTCTTTTCCTTCCTACCCGATTTCCCATTTTTTGTGATTTTTTTTTTAAAATAACCTGAATTAGTTTTTTAGTTCCCAAAAAAAAATGAATTTCCCCAGAGGACACTAATTGCGATCCGATCCATGAAGTTCCCCCTACATATAATATTTCAATAGTATGACTTGATTACTCTAAGTTAAATTACTGTGTTATTTGTTTTGAGTTTATTATGCTAGTGTAGTTGATTTGCATTGAATGGGACCTAACCAACTTGAAATAATTTATTTCTAACACGAATTAAATGAAATAAATTATATATATATATATATATATATATATATGTGTGTGTGTGTGTGTGGTTACCTGAACTAATGCTTTGATGCGCTCCCTGTCAATTGAAGAGGCATCACTACTATAATTCCTGAGCAGAATATGAACAAAGCTCTCACTATTATTTCCCGCCTTTTCTGGATTTTCCAAGTGTTCTTGAATAACACCTTCCAGAAAATAATCCATATCTTTCGCAACTCGTTCCACTCTCTTATCAAACCCGTTAACTCGGCTGATCCAACTCAGCCACGGGATAAAATCACCGACATTAATAGTTCCCAACTGCTCCATCAACTCCGTCATCGACTCCACGAATTTCTTCCCATTCTCCGACTCTCCGAAAGCAGACCGGCAGATCCCGGCCACGCTCAGCTCCGAGAACAGCCTCGTAAGATTCACCGGCGCCGCCGCTCTGCCGCCGCCCGAAGAAGAAGAAGAACAACACTCTTCGATTTTTTTAACGAGGAGGGCCGTCTCTTCTTCCCTGATCCAACGGTAGGATTGGACCCTCTTGTTGCTCAGAAGCTGAAGGACGAAAATGCCCTTGGCCTTCCGCCAGCTCTCGCCGTACGGCGCCGCCGACACGTTCTTGCAGTCGTAGAGGAGTTTCTTGTAGGCCTTGTAGACGGGCCGGCTCCCGAAGTTGAGGTCGTGTGTTTTCATGATCTCGCGTGCCGCCTCAGCCGACGAGGCGACCACGACCGGGACGCTGCCGAAGTGGAGGAGCATGAGGGGACCGTATTTTCCCGCGAGGAGATGGAGGTTCCGGTGGGGCAGTTGGCCGAGCTGGTGGAAGTTTCCGATTATCGGCAGCGTTGGCGGTGACGGAGGGAAGTTTTTCGGTTTTCCGGAGGGTTTGGTTAACCATTTGGTGATTGACCACAACAAGAACAAAGATGTTATAAGAAGCAATATTTGAATAGCCTCCATTGTTTGTTGAATAAATAATGCTAACGCTTGGATGTGCATATATAGTGTTTTTTTTTACTTCTTCGATACTACACCCAGTGATAAGCATTGAGTAGATCTTGTGTTGCTACGTGTTCTTTTTTGTATTTTATAATATATTCTTCCGCTTGAATTTACTTTTTGGAGTTATAGAAAAATAAAAAAAGAACACCTGGCAGCAGAAGACGCATCCGATGTTTATCACCGGGTGTAGGCTCGAAGGAGCCATGTTTTTGGTGTGTGTTTTTATTAGTTTATTATTTGGCAAATTGCATGTTACCTCCTATAAATTTCAACATTGAAAAAAATTAATGTCCATCTTCAAAACTTTTTACTTGTTGCACATTACCCCGATATCAAAATTCTGATATTAAACGTAATTGAGTATTTTGTTTTTCCACATTACCCTTTAAATGTTATTTTTGTTGCACGTTGCCTTTAAAACATTATTTTTCTACACATTGCCGCTTTAAAATGTTATTTTCGTTGCGCGATGCCGACTGAAATTAGTTTATGGGGCCAAGTGCAGCCAAAACAATATTTCGCTGGAGGTTATATATCTCTTTTCTGAATTATTAGGGGGGAAAGTGCCAAAATGAAAAATTTATAGGTGGTAAAGTGCATTTTGTCCAATTTTATTATTTTTTGGGCAAATTGCACGTCACCCCTAAAAAATTCTAATTTTCGCACTTTACCTCCTCAAAATTTTAAAAAGTGAATGCTCCCCCCTTCAAAATGTTATTCTTGTTGCACACTGCCCCGATAGCGAAATTTCGATGGATTATTAATCGGCATTTGAGTACTTATGTTGCACATTGCCCTTTTATATGTTATTTTTGTTGCATGTAACATTATCTTTTTCCACATTACCCCTTTAAAATGTTATTTTTGTTGCACCACACTCTCCACATTTTGACTTTCGGGTTACAGTGCAATCAGAACAATATTTTAAAGGGGAATTATCCAATTTTTGAATTTTTTGGAGGGAAAGTGCGAAAATAAGAAATTTGTAGAGGGTGTGTCCTTATTTTTTTGGGGGACGACATAATGCAATGGCATACACGTGAATAATCATCTTGCCAAATTGTGGTCGGAGGGACGGGACCTGTAATTTCTAATATGGACAAAGACGGATGCTATAAAACTATTCATCTTAATTAGCTTGTTTTTTCTTTTTTTTTTTTTTTGGCAAATATATTTTATATAATTCCAATTCCAATCCAAAAAAATCGGAAAAATTCGGAAATCGGAATTTCGGAAGTCGGTATGAAAAAAGTTGTTCCAAAATCGGAACTTTTCGAATCGGAACCGGCGGAAATTGGAAATTATGTTCCAACTTGCACCCCTAGCATTGACCAACCACAGAAAAAAAAAAATTACTGTGTCAGTACTATTATTGTATTAACCGGTCTACACGTCAATTTTTTTTTTGTTTTTGAAATAAAAATAATACTAATATTACTGTGTAACAGAGTATTATAACTGTGAATAATATTATGTGTACACAAAAATTGTTAAATCATTATGTAAGTTATCATATATATATTAGAAAATAAATTAATAATTAATTTCATATTTCATTTTAGTAATAAATATATTCGGCGTACGTCAACAAATATTGCATATAAATATATAAACAGCAATATAATTAGGATGACCTCCCAAATTCAGCATTGACCAATTTAGGGTAATAGAATAAAGTCATAAACAGCGATTAGGATGGCCTAACAATTTCAGCATCCATCAATTTTGTCTTTCACAATAAATATCTGGGTAAATTACAAACACCCCCTGAGGTATGGTCAAATTACAAAAACACCCCTCTTGTTTGGATAATTACAACCACCCCCTCAACTCCTCAAATTTAGTGGAATCTTCGAGATTATATGAAATATTATCACTTTTGTACACATTTTATTCCATTCAAATTCTACATTAAGAAGCAAGATGATCATATTATGTGATTTTTAGCTTCTATATATCAGTTTGTGGTGCATCGGAAACTGTATTTTTACACAAAACGAGTACAAACTAGAGCACATTCCATGAAATCTAGATGATTATGTTGAACTTGGCACAATAAGGGTGGAGATGTAAGAAAAATCATAGTTGACGGGTAGATGTAATTCCAAACAAAAGGGGGGATTTGGTAATTTGACCATACCTCAGGGGGTGTTTGTAATTACCCTAAATATATTATATGTTAGGATGATTTGCATGTTCAACCATTGTTAAAAAATTACTAATTGGATAAATTAGTATTAATATTTTGATTTTGGGACTTTTTAGATACAAATAATAAAATTTGGGACTTTTTGGTGAGAAGAGTTTTTAAATAGGACTTTTTGGTATTTGTCCCTTTTCTTTGTTTCAATAATGAAGGAAAAAGTTTTTAGAAAAGCTCAGTGATGGGCCAAATTAAATCAAGCCCAACTAATTCGAATACACATGGGCTGCAAGCCTATTAAGGAATTCGGTTAGAAAACAAGTAGGGTAAATTACCACCGTCTCCTGAACAAATGTTTATTTATAAAAAAACCCAAACTTTTCAATAATTACATTCACCCCTACAATTTGTTTTTCTCACATTAGCACCCTTTTGTAGGCGGTGTTTGTAAAAAACTTACAAACTGTAGGGGGTTCGATGTAATTTCTTGAAAAGAAGAAGGTTTGTTATAATTATACTTTATCTTTAGATAAAGAGGTGGTTGTAATTTATCCTAATAAGTATAAATTTCAATTGAACTATTCAACTCTTCTCTACAGTCTTCGTATGAGCACAATATTTGAACTCTTTCTTTTTTTTTTTTTTTCAATTTAAGATGATGCGTCGCCGGGCATGGAGAATGAGGGAGGCGACGGCTGAGAAGGGAAGGGTGGTGGTGACGGCTAGGTTAACCTAGTCAGGGGCGGAACCAGGATCAAAATGTAGGGGGAACTAGCTAAAATTTTGGGGTTCGGGGCAACGCCCCGAAAAAAAATTTAGATTCACAAAACATTGCAAACAATAAGTTTATATTACTAATTTTTAATTAAAATATCATATATATAATAATTATATCATATTTTAATCATCACATAAAATTCTAAATTAGTTCAAATTATTGTAATAATGTATTGCACTTAATATTTCAAGGATTCAGGGCACGACTCAAGGCATTGATAAAAAAATTCAAAAATAAGTAATATTCATAAAATAACTCGGATGTGACTACATTCTACCCAATGCCAGAGACAAGGCGGAAAGCCTATACCATGATGCGAACCAAAGGGAGATCCACTAGCCATAAACGATTTGTCGAGCGAACCAACGTAGGTGCTCGCAGGAAGTCTCCACAGAGCAAACGAGACTGTTGTATGAGGAAAACGATTCGCCTTAAGAGAAGCGTGGCCCGCAATTATTACATCACCACCACGTGCACTATGAGCAACGACATGAGGAGGGTCCCACAACCCTCTCCTGTGACATATCATGAAAAAAAAATATAGTTTTCATCCCTCAAGTTTGCTTCAATTTTATATTTGGTCCCCCATATTCACAAAAAATACATTTGGTCATGTTTTAAAAATTCAACACTTATAGTCATTTCTGTCAATTTTGTTATAAAACTAGCGGAATTGAACGTGTCCCCATCACTACCGTAACTGATGGATTAATAGCAAATTGACGAAAATGACTAAAAGTGTTGAATTTTTGAAACATGAGGCACCAAATGTGTTTTTTGTGAACATGGAGGACCAAATGCGAAATCGTTGCGAACTTGTGGGATGTAAACTGTAAATTTCCCGACATACAATATAAATACAAGCTTGAGGCACAAGGGAAATGTGATCTGGTTCTTACATCTAATATACTATTTTCACTCTCTGATACTTACATTTTTCGTTATTTTCAACTGACTTGATCGTCGAAAGTTAACGCCGAAAAACTCTTTCCTTGTAGAGTGATGGGTGCACTTAAGAAAAAGTTTGCCAAGGAAAAGTGTGGACACTAGTTTGATGAAGCCACGTTGACCCAATCAATACATATTAATGATCAATTGAGTTTAAAATCCGTTGTCGAAACCATAAGGTTTCGTAACGACTTTGATCAAGTAATTATTACGTGTGACTAAAATCATGGATTCGGCATCGATTATAAACTGGAAAAATAAGTCTTGAAGTACACAAACAACAATTTATTTCACATTTATTGAACACAAACAGTAAATTCACAAAACAAACATTAATATGACACAACTTATCCAAACAAAGAACCGAACCAAGTACAATAACATAAATTCATCCAATAAGAATGTGCCACGTCATATACTCCGAGTGGCAACTGCGAAAAGAGGAGTAGCTCTATGCGCCGTAAGCCCCGAGCTTTCAGTATTGTCCAAATCTTTCCCCTGCGTTTCCCAATTAAACTTCAGCATAAGATTCGCCAACACAAACTCAATGGTAGCCGCAGCAAACGAAATCCCGGGGCATCTCCTTCTCCCGGCACCAAAAGGAATAAGCTCAAAATCGAGGCCCCTAAAATCAATATTCTCGTTCTTTGTGTTATTCAAGAATCTCTCCGGATCAAACTTCTCCGGTTCATCCCAAAGATCAGGGTCCCGCCCTATGGCCCACGCGTTAGCCATCACCATCGTTCCTGCGGAAATATCGTACCCCATTATTTTCACGTCTTTATCCGCTACCCTCGGTAATAGCATCGGAACCGGTATGTGATAACGGAAAGTTTCCTTGATCACGGCTTTCATGTAATCCATTTTTGCCAAGTCATCATCTGTTACGATGCTTTTGCCTCCGACAATTTCTCTCACTTCGTTTTGCAGTTTCTCCATCACGTTAGGGTGTCGTAGTAGCTCCGTCATCACCCATTCGAGAACCGAGGATGTGGTATCGGTTCCACCTACGACAACATCCTGCGAAATATATGATATAGAAGAATAAAAGGGGGAAAAAAACATCACTAAACATACTTGCAATTCCATGTATAGTTATTATACTAACTAAACATCAATAAGGAGAGACCTAATTGTTTAATTAATATATGCATAGGTCATAACTTATTCCACTCGCCGACCTTCGCCAATTTTGATCCGAAAATTTTCAATTTCGGGAACAATATTTTTTCTCTAAACCTGAAAATTCTAATTTCGAGTTTACCACCTATACTCTCGTATAATAACTTGCAATACGAGAGACGCGTAAATCACACCAGATTAACAATATCTTACAAGCACCATCTATCGACCGTTAACAAGGAGATTCGAACTTGTGTCAGATGACACATGCTCACTTTCTCACTGCTAGGCCATCCCTTACGGGACTAACTTTGTGTTATTGTTTGAGTTTATAATGCTAGTGTAGTTGATTTGTATTGAAAGGACCAGGTCCAACATGATATATAATTTATTTCTATCACGAATTAAATGAGTGACAAATTACGGTCACACTCATAAGGTAATGTCAAATTATGGAAAAATCATTAATGGTTAGGTAATTATAATTACCCTCTTAACTATGTATTTTCTACGAAAAAAATTTCCTTATTTAGTATGTGAGTTTGACACCTTAAAAATGGACGTGGAAGACAATACATAGTTGATTGGTGGTTGTAATTATCCAAACATGAGGGAGATTTTCATAATTTGGCCTTACATTAGGGGGTTGGCCTCAATTTGCCCTTATTTCATATATGGCAAACATACAGTTTCCGTCCCTCAAGTTTACATCGATTTAACATATAATCCCCATCTTCACAAAAAATAAAAATGGTCCCTCATGTTTTAGAAATTTAACATTTTTAGTTAATTTTGTCAATATTCAGTTAGTACTAATGGAATCAAGCTTGTACCCATATATCACTGTCTTAACTGACAGAAAAATTGTAAATTGACGGAAACGACCGGAAAGTATTAAATTATTGAAACACGAGGGGCCAAATATGAAATTAGTAAAAACTTGAGGGGTGAAAACTGTAATTATCCCATATATATCAACCATATATAAATATATGTAGTGGTTACCTGAACTAATGCTTTGATGCGCTCCCTGTCAATTGATGAGGCATCACTGCTATAATTCCTGAGTAGAATATGAACAAAGCTCTCACTATTATTTCCCGCCTTTTCTGGATTTTCCAAGTGTTCTTGAATAACACCTTCCAGAAAATAATCCATATCTTTCGCAACTCGTTCCACTCTCTTATCAAACCCGTTAACTCGGCTGATCCAACTCAGCCACGGGATAAAATCACCGACATTAATAGTTCCCAACTGCTCCATCAACTCCGTCATCGACTCCACGAATTTCTTCCCATTCTCCGACTCTCCGAAAGCAGACCGGCAGATCCCGGCCACGCTCAGCTCCGAGAACAGCCTCGTAAGATTCACCGGCGCCGCCGCGCTGCCGCCGTCGGAAGAAGAAGAACAACAACACTCTTCGATTTTTTCAACGAGGAGGGCCGTCTCTTCTTCCCTGATCCAACGGTAGGATTGGACCCTCTTGTTGCTCAGTAGCTGGAGGACGAAAATGCCCTTGGCCTTCCGCCAGCTCTCGCCGTACGGCGCCACCGCCACGTTCTTGCAGTCGTAGAGGAGTTTCTTGTAGGCCTTGTAGACGGGCCGGCTCCCGAAGTTGAGGTCGTGTGTTTTCATGATCTCGCGGGCCGCCTCTGCTGACGAGGCGACGACGACGGGGACGCTGCCGAAGTGGAGGAGCATGAGGGGACCGTATTTTCCGGCGAGAAGACGGAGGTTCCTGTGGGGCAGTGGCCGAGCTGGTGAAGTTTTCCGATTATCGGCAGCGTTGGCGGCGAGGGAGGGAAGTTTTTCCGGTTTCGGGAGGGTTTGGTGAACCATTTGGTGATAGACCACAACAAGAACAAAGATGTTATAAGAAGCAATATTTGAATAGCCTCCATATTGTTTGTTGAATAAGTAATGCCAACGATTGGATGTGTATATATAGTGTTTTTTGAACTTCGTCGATTCTATACCCAGTGATAAACATTGAATAGGTCTTCTACTGTCACGTTGTTTTTTTTTTTGTATTTTATAATATATTCTCCTGCTTAGGTTTATCTTTAGGGGTTTTATAGAAAAATAAAAAAAAAGGACACGTGACAGTAAAAGACTCACCCGGTGTTTATCACCGGGTGTAGGCTCGAAGGAGCGATGTTCTTGGTGTGTCTTTTTATTATATTACTACTGGGCGAATTGCATGTTACCTCCTAGAAATTTCAAAATTGAAAAAAATTAATGTCCATTTTCAAAACTTTTTACTTGTTGCACATAATTACACTTATATCAAAATTCCGATGGATTATTAAACATAATTGAGTATTTATTTCCCACGTTTTCCTTTAAATGTTATTTTTGTTGCACGTTACCCTTAAAACATTATTTTTCTACATAATGCCGCTTTAAAATGCTATTTTTGTTGCGAATGCCCACTGCAAATTAGTTTATGGGGCAAAGGGTAGCCAAAAACAATATTTTGATAGAGGTTATATCTCTTTTTTGAATTTTTAGGAGGGGAAAGTGCCAAAATGGAAAATTTATAGGTGGTAAAGTGCATTTTGTCCAAATTTTTTTTTGGGCAAATTGCACATCACCCCCTAAAAAATCTAATTTTCGCACTTTACCTCCTCAAAATTTTATAAAGTGAATGCTCCCCTTCAAAATGTTATTCTGTTGCACACTGTCCCGATAGCAAAATTTTGATGGATTACTAATCGGCATTTGAGTACTTTATGTTGCACATTGCCGTTTTATATGTTATTTTTGTTACATGTTACCCCTTAAACATTATATTTTTGCACATTGCCCCTTTAAAATGTTATTTTCGTTGCACAACACCCACCACATTTTGACTTTTGGGTTATGGTGCAACCAAAACAATATTTTGAATAGGAATTATCCAGTTTTCGAATCTTTTGAGAGGGAAAGTGCGAAAATAAGAAATTTGTAAAGGGTGTGTCCTTATTTTTGATGTAGACGACATAATGCAACGCCATACACGTGAATAATCATCTTGCCAAATTGTGGTCGGAGGGACTGGACCTGTAATATCTAATATGCTTCTTTCACACCTCAATAATTAGCTTTTCATCTTAATTAGCTTCTTTCACACCTCAATAATTTAAGTGCTTTTTGATAAGTAACTTTTTTTTGGTAGTGTTTATTTTATTTGGAAGTCCTCACATTAACTGAGTTCACTCATTTAATTTGTTCTCTTTCGTACATAATCGCATCCCTTCAACATGCATGCATGTATTGTAAATAAAAATAAGGGCCCCTCATGTATACATTGTATAATTAAAATGTGTTCAAATTATTTTTTTCCTTTTAAGATAAATTTAAAACGTTTTTAATGGGTCATAGATAATTAAATATTCCGATAATACTCCTTTCACATTTTTTTAATCTAACCACCAGGTCTCTTTTTCTTGCTTCTCTTCACGCTTCAACGTTTCTTCTCTCGTCTCCGCTATCACTGTCATGCCCTTGTTTCTTTTCTCTCCCCTTCTCTACGCAACCTATCAAGTCACCGCAACCATGGACGGTGGATATGGTCGGCACATGAAAAGTTGAAATTGACTACACAAAATTTAATTTTTCAACTAAGGTTGATCGATCCTGGCAATATAACTTTTTTTTTTGTATTTTTCGTAAAAAAATATTTAATTTTTTTACTGCATTATCGTGGAAATTGCTAATTAATTTTTTTCATTAATAGTATGAACCTTGAGTGTTCTATTGCATATTGTTAACCACAATTATCAGCAATATATGTTTTTTGTATTAGGTAAGAGGGATCTTATTTTCTTATGATGTTTTAGTCTCCACAACTATAGTTTAATTAAACTGTGTTTGATTGAAAAAAATTCCTTAGTAATTTCATAAATTACAGAGTGATTTTCTATAATTACATAGTGAATTTTGTAATGGAATTCGTTGATTATACAGTGGTTTTCGTTAATTACATAGTGGTTTTCATTAATTACATAGCCATTTTTGTTAATTGATAAGTTTTTAATGATTTTTTTAATGGAATGTATTAGTTACATAGTGATTGTCGTTAATTACAGAGTGATTATCATTAATTATAGAGTGAATTACGTTGATATTAATGTGGATTATGCTTATTTTATAGTAATTTTTACTTTAATTTCATAGCGGCTTGCTATAATTTCTATAAATTTATGCTTATTTTATACTAACTTTTACTTTAATTTCATAGTGATTTTTGATGAATTTAGTGATTTTCGATGAGTATGTAGTGGATTTCAATTTTTTTTAAATAAAGGCGATTCTACTATTTATGATAAAATATCCCAATTCTTTAAATCCAATTCATCATTTTAGACCTTAATTTAACCCTAATTTCACGAATTCACTAATTTTGACCCTTAGCTGATTTTGCCGTTTCCTTTTCTTTTTTCTGGAAATTGCTTTTTCTCGTTTCTGTTGTATTTTTTTATTGTATTGACTAGTTAATATATACTAATATTTTTATTTATTTATTTTTTCTCTGCGTTGACCAACCACAACAAAAAAAAAATTATTGTGTCAGTACTATTATTGTGTTAACCGGTCTACACATCAATTTTTATTTTTATTTTTAAAATAAAAATAATATTAATATTACTGTGTACAAAGTATTATTATTGTCAATGATATTAGTTGTACATGAAAATTGTTAAATCATTATGTAAGTTATCATATATATATATATTAGAAAATAAATTAATAATTCATATTTCATTTTAGTAATAAATATATCCGGCGTACGTCAACCAATAAATATATAAACAACTATTAGGATGATGCCCGCATGAGTGTAGCTCAACTAGTTACGGAGGTGGTAAGTTAGTGCAAGGTCCTAGGATCGAGAATCCTGGCAGCCGCAGTGTGGGAATTTCAACTCCAATGAGGGTTGGTTCCTTGTAGGCACCAGGTTCGGGTCCGCTACCTTAACGGGTGTTGGGTACCCGTTGAACTCTAAAATTATTACAGACCAAATAATAATGATTTAATAACAAATAAATACCTATGGGAAATGGGATTAGGGAGTACAGATATTTCTACGAAATAAAATACTAAACACAAATAGAAATTACAATAAATTATTATAAATATTCGTGCTAACCCAACTGATTCGACTTGCGAATCAGGGAAGACGACGGTCCTTTCCGGCTCAGTCCTCAAAGCTGTTCTCGTCCAAGTCCCTGTCCAGGTGCCTCCAGCACTCCAAGAATCGAGCCACACCACCACGAACAGCCACCTTCCGTCAAAACCCGTACTTACCCGAACCCTCACTCAGAAACCCAAAACCCAAAGAACAGATACTCACACAGACTGTATCCGAGAAAAAACCCACAACCTGATTCTAGACACACAGCCCAAAGATTCTCAAACACAGCAGAATTTTGGGAAGAAAAGGAAGTACATAATTGGTTTTTCGTCCCTCTCACTATTTGGGGCCAGAAGAATAAATAGGCCCTCAAACGAGCAACAAGAAGCGAAGAAATCGCAGAGCAGATCAGATTCGCCATGAAAGACGGACCAGAAGAAAAAACCACCGAGAGAAGAAGCGGCGGAGAAAGAGAGGAGAGAAATTAGGTTTTGCTGAATGAGAGAGAGAAGAGGGTTTTATATGGTGGAATGTGTGGCTGAGATTAGATTTGATAATCTAACGGTCATAATAAAACCTGTACTCAAAGTGGTGATGGGCTGATTCCTTTTGAGAGTGGGCTGCCATTTGGAAGTGGGCTTGGGCTGGTTTTAAGTTAACCATCTGGGCCCAAACACCAACAACGGGCCGTTGAATTACCATGATTTGCATTCTTCCATTAAATACTTGTCGGGCCAGGGAATGTGGGCCCTGGGGCGAGAGATTTCGCCTTTTTGTGCAAGCTATTAGGATGACCTCCCCAAATTCAGCATTGACCAATTTAGGGTATTAGATAAATAGAATAAACAACAATTAGGATGGCCTAACACATTCAGCATCGATCAATTTTGTCTTTCACAATAAATATATTATATTTTAGGATAATTTATTAATTTGACCAGTTAAAAAAATTACTAATTGGATAAATTAGTATTAATATTTTGATTTTTGGGATTGTTAGATACAAATAATAAAATTTGGGACTTTTTGACGATGAGAGGTTTTAAATAGGACGTTTTGGTATATATGATATATCCCTTTATTTTTTTTAATAATGAATGAAAAAATAAGAAACAGAAAAGCTCGTTGATGGGCCAAATTGAAGTAAGCCCAACTAATTTGAATACACATGGGCTGCATCCTATTAAACGACTTCGATTAGATAAATAAGTAGGGTAAATTACAATCGCCCCCTAAGGTGACGTCTATTTACAAAAAATACCCATTTATTTTCATAATTACGTCCATCCGTAATAATTTGTAGATCTCTTATATTAACACCGATTTTGTGGGGGTTGATGTAAGAAATTTACAAAATACAAGAGGCTGAATGTAATTTCTCAAAAGAAGAGATTTTTTAATACTTTCTTAGGAAGGTGATTGCAATTTACTAATAAGTATAAATTTCAATGGAACTCTTGAATTCTTCTTTATAATCCTTGTATGAGCTCAATTTTTGAACTCTTTTTGGAACATGATCTTTCTTGTTTTTATTGGAGAAAGTATGATTTCAATAACTCTTTTAGATAAATTGGCAAATTTATTTATCATTCAAAAGCAATTTAAATAATCCATGATTCCCAAATTTGTAATTTATAGTTAGTTTGATTTGAATAAATATAATTTTACAAATGGGTGGCCATAAATGCAGGACGGATTTTAGTTAGTATACGATATTTTATTTTAAAAATCCAAACACTATTAAATATCACATTTGATTTTGTCAAATCTCTTTTTTTTTTTTTCAAAAGTTTTCAACGATATCATTTTGGGGGAAATATCACACGATGACTTTTAATAAACGTAGATACTTTAGTTAAAATTCAAAACCTAATACATGTCATCTTATTTTTTCTAAACTCTTTTTTTACAAGTTTTCATTGACATTATTTTGGGAGAAATATCACACCGTTAATCATCACTAATCGCCAAGAACATGGATTTATCGGTTTTGAAGGATGATATTAAGGTTGAAAGTGAGGTAAGAATTTAGTTATACTCAATATCGAATATAAAAGACAATAACTTCAGAGTTTTTTTAAGATGTGTTTGAGGGTGGAAATTGTAGAGAATAAATGTAGTCACGTAGACAGTTAACAATAAAAAAGAACAATAATTAATTTTTATATTAAAATTTCTATAGCTACTAAAATTATTTTAAAAAAAAATGTCTTACACTTACTAAAAATCGTTCTGCATTAATCATTTCCCTCCCTTTTACAAATAGAAGAATAACTTTTATAATTTAAACATATTTCAAAGGGTTATTATACTATTTATAATTTCTATTGCTTTTGTTTTATACATGAAAAAAAATTAAATCACCTTATTTTATTGGAAAAAAAGAAAATAAAAATGTGGAAAAATTACATTTGTCGTCCTCATACTTTACCCGCTTTTTCAAAACTGTCCCCAAACATTTTGGAGTTACAATAGTAGTCCTTAATCATGCCATTTTTTGACAGAATTGGTCTGCCGTTAATTTTTGCCGTTAAGTTGGATGGAAATGGCATGTGCCTCTCACATGCCTTCAATTTAAAACGCTACATGAAAATGGACTTTCAACAACACGCATTGCGTCTTGTTAAAACAAAATTTTCATAATTAAAACTTGATTGAAATTCGAAATTATATAAATTCCAAAAAAACAAAATCGATATATATTGTTTTAAATTATTTTGAGAAATATTCTTTAAACAATTGAAACATTGTTTTAAAAAATGAAATATTGCTTTCAAAATCAAGATTTTCGGAATTCAAATGAAAACATTGTTTCAAAATAAAATAAAAATTTGATCCGCATAGGTGGGATAAGAAACCTCCATTTCAATCTTCACCCTAATTTAATAATGTAAAACTCAATAAATTGTTTCAAAATATTTTGAGAAGCATTGTCTAAAATAATAATATAATGTTTTAAAACCGGAATTTCTTGAATCCAAATGAAAATTATTGTTTTAAATAAAATAAAAATCTGATCGTAGTAGGGAGAGTAAGAAAACCCCGTTCCAATTTTCACCCTTATTTAATAATCTAAAACTCGATATTTGTTTTCAAAATAAATTCAGAAATATTGTTTAAAAAAAATATTATTGTGTTTTAAAATCGGAATTTTTGGAAATTGAAAGAAAATATTATTTTAAAATAAAATAAAAATTCGATCAAACTTGGCGGCATAAGAAAAATTCTTTCCAATTTTCACCCATATTGAATGATTTAAAACTCGACATATTGTCTCACAATTGAGATTTTTGGAATTGTCTAGAGGTGAAAATTGGAATGGAGATTTCTAATTCCCAATTCCTATGGGGTTTTTTTATTTTGGTTTGAAACGATATATTTTAATTGAATTCCAAAAATGCCGATTTTGGAACAATATTTTAAAATTTTAAACCATATTTTGTTTTTTAAATAATATTTCCGAAATGAGTTGATTTATTAAATTTTAATTAAAAATAATAATTATAAAAAATATGTTTTAACAAGACGCAATGCGTGTTGTTGAAAGTCCATTTTCATGTAGTGTTGTAAATTGAAGGCATGTGAGAGGCACATGCCATTTTTCATCCAACTTAACGGCAAAAATTAACGGCGGACCAATTCTGTCAAAAAATGGCATGATTAAGGACTACTATTGTAACTCCAAAATGTTTAGCGACAGTTTTGAAAAGGTGAGTAAAGTGTAAGGACGAAAATTGTAATTTTCCCTAAAAATGCCAAATTAATTTTCCTCATTTTTCTCCTTATATACATATTTACTGTTTCTTCTTGACCTTAATAAAACTCCCCTCTGCCTCCTTCACTTCACACACCCTTATCCTCAAACCTCAAACCCTTCTCCAAAACCCCTCTTCCTTCTTCTTCCTCTCATCCCACATTATCTGCATCAAGAAAACAACCTTAAAACAATGTCTTTCTCCGCTAAAGCTGTACTAAACCCTGCTTCAATGGCGACAAACGCCTGTTTGATTTCATCCCCATCGCTCTTCACTGGTTCGAAGGTTTCGTACAAACCCATTAAATTCCAGGCTGCTTCTTCTTGCAAGAACATTTCCTCTTTGTCGCTCCATTCTTTCTTCTCTCTTACGAGAAAATTGCGGCTGTCTGTTGTGTCGGCTCAAGAAGAAGGGAACAACCCAGTGATTCTTGAAGAGAAAGAAGAGGAAGAGGTTGAGGGTGGGTTCAAATGGGGTGCGAACGTCGTCGGCGAGGCGGCGGGTGAAGGCTACGCGCAGCCGCCGGAGGGAGCCAAGGTGTACGTCGGTAACTTGCCGTACGATGTTGATAGTGAGAAATTGGCTCAGTTGTTTGAGCCGGCTGGTGTTGTTGAGATTGCTGAGGTATAATTGTTGGCGTTTGAACTTTAAAGATTTGATTTTTATTTTTTAGTTTTTTTTGTGAGGATTTAATTTATGGATTTATATGCGAAATGGATTAATTTTGTGCAATTGGTTAAAAAGATTTGATTTTTGTGTGAAAAATCTTTGTTTGTTTTGTGGGTTTTGGCTTAAAATGGATTAATTTTATGCAATTGGTTAAAAAGATTTGATTACTGTGTGAAAAATATTTGTTTGTTTTGTGGGTTTTGGTTTAAAATGGATTAATTTTCTGCAGCATTGCTTTAAAAGGAAAAAAATGATTGAGTAGTTGTATGTGTTTTGTGCAGGTTATTTACAGTAGAGACACTGAGCAGAGTCGAGGGTTTGGTTTCGTAACAATGAGCACCGAAGAAGAGGCGGAGAAGGCAGTGGAGATGTTCAGCCGTTTTGTGAGTTTTTCGTTTCTTTTATAAGACCATAAATAATTAGTTGTGTTTGCAATTTAACTTCGTTTCTTGATGAATTGTACTCGAAACACGAATAGCATATCTTTTTGTTAACGACAATCCTCGATATTAATTCTTCTTTCAAATTGATAGTTTATTCCATTATTAATATCTGCTGTAAAGCTTTACTTTATTATGCGAACAATTTATGAGAAGTGGTGGGGGGCCATCGGAGCCCACCCGCCTAATGCAAACACTCATTTTTTTTTTCTCCCCATTTTTTTTCTTTTTTTTTTCGAAACAGGATATGGGAGGGAGGCTGTTAACAGTTAACATCGCAGCTCCAAAAGGATCAAGAATCGAACGACCTCCACCTTCGTTCGAACCTACTCACAAGATATACGTAGGTAACCTTTCATGGAATGTGGACGACTCGAGCCTCGAGGAGCTATTCAGTCAGCACGGTAAAGTTGTGAGTGCTAGGGTTATCTCCGACAGAGAAACCGGAAGGTCCCGTGGTTTCGGCTTTGTAGTAATGTCGAGCGCCTCCGAAATGAACGATGCCATTGCCAACCTTGATGGAGAGGTAATTAAAAAAAAAAAATAGTTTCATTCACAGAATAATCGGGTAACTATTTATTTAGAGTCGAGGTTTTTTGGTATTAATGGTTTTCGATGATGGACTTGATTATTGCAGAGTTTGGATGGGAGGGCGATCAAAGTGAATGCTGCAAGTGAAGACAGACCGAGGCGCAGCAGATTTTGATTCGATTACAATTTAAAAAGCAAGTGTTTTTTTTTTTGGTTCCGGTTTTAGTTTTTGTACTGTCGAATAGTTAAGAATTTTGGCAAAGACATTGGGAGTTGATATGCTGAAGCATCGTCGTGAAATTTTGATGCATTTTTGTTGCACAATTGCGTAATTGTTTCTTACTGCAGTTTTTGTTACGAATCTTTTGCTTCGTTTGTCGTCGGGTTATGCAGTAATATTCGTTTAGTTTATTCATGTGGTTTATTAGTCTGTATTGGCTCATAAACAAAATATATTGGTTTAACATTTCAATTGAATGAAGCTACTAAGCAATACTTTTTAGTGTAGGGTGCGATTTGCACGCCCGTAAATTGTACCCAACGTACGGATCACCACCGCCTGACTTCAAAATTTACCAAAATAACCCCTCTTGATTTTGTGTCAACGCCGAAGATTCTCTATAAGTGTATAATTTTCAAAAGTTTTCTCTCTCTAGCGTTTTAAAATTCCTTATTTTTACCTCTCCACGACCAAAACGGGTGCGAAATAGACTTCATAAACTACATTTTCGACGGAAGATAAAATAAAAAAACATATAAATTAAATTAAAAAAATGATTTTTTTTCTTCATAATCTGCAATTTTATGTACAAAAATAAAGTTTTTGTAATAGGGCAAAAAAATGCTAAAATGAAAAAAAAAATTACGTAACAAAAAAATCCAATTTTTCTTAGTAAAGAAAAATTCAACGAAAAACAATAAATGCAATAGCAAAATGCTAAATCCAAATGAGAAATTACTGATGGCAAATTTTGAATTTTTGTGAGGAAGGTCAATTTTATAATGGATTTTACTAAGAATCTGTAGCAAAATTACGAAGAATTTTTGTGAGGAAGGTCAAAATCTGTTTAATTTTTATATTTCGAGCATAAAAAGACAATCATCATTAATTCATACTACAATATATGGTAATAATTGGGTTTGATATTGATGTGCTACAGCTTATAGTTGAGTAGTGAGTCTCTCTACATGAAATTAGAGTGTAACATGTAATTAAGCAATTATTTGCAAGGAATTAAGCCAAAAAAACCACAGTAGACAGAAAAAACATATAAGTTGAAATGTTTAAGACGAAAACATGCAACTTACCTGACGATAACGTATTCGATTATTACGAGCTTGATCAATTGTTCACGATTCGCATCCGGAACCAACGAAGAGCTGGAATCCAACGCCCCATCGGACTTTTTGTTCATGTTCTTGATCTTTCTTCTTCAGTTCTTGAATAGCCCTAGCAGACTCGGTGGCGGATTTTCGGAGGAAATATATATCCAATCTCTGGAGGTTTTCCGCCAGCTCCAGTGGAATTTCTTTGAGTCTTCTGCATTTCTTGATCGAGAGACACGTCAGACTAGGGAAATGTTCCGCCGAGGCCTCCCAGATAACGAGATCCGCGTTGTCCATGAGCAAGAACTGAAGACTCGGAAATACATCACTAACCATCCATTTGATTCCGGTGAATGCTCCCTGTTTCAACTTGAGTACCTCGAGCTTTTCAATCTTCGCCAGTGTAGACATATCGCTCCATTGTAGGGATGTTTTCCTCAAAGTCAGCCGCTTTAGATTTCTCGGGAAGAAGCTCGTTTTAGGAAGGCTAATTTTCCCCGATATCTCGTGCACCAGCTTCAACTTTTCGAGGGAGAGCAGTTTCTCCAAGAACTTGGCGTCGAAGAGCGTGTCCAAATTCCCGCGAACACCCAGTTCCTTCACGTTGCGCGCGTTTTCCGCCACGGTTTCCGTGCAAGATTCCGGCGACAGCGTACTCAGTGTTTGAATGTTTTCGCCGGCGTTGCCTTTCTGCTCCTGGTCAAGAACCATGGCTGCCTTCGTCTTGAGATGCCTCAGCCGAACCATACTCCATAGATTCCCATTCATCGCAACCGTATTCGAGTTCGTCTCGACTAGAAGCGTCTGCAGGTTCCATAGCTTGGAGATGGACTCGGGAATAAACGTGAGATTGTGAACGTATAGCGTGACGTACCTCAAATGACACAACTCGGCAACCGTCAGCGGGAATTGATGGAATCTGATCGAGTTGGAATTCAAAACCCTGAGCAACTTGAATGCGTCGGGGATCGACGTGATGTATTCCGGCTTCAACTCCACGAGATCCTTGTAGAAAGACAGAAACGAACGAACGCTCGGGTAAGCCTTTCCTTCGGAGAGGAATCTGGAGAGATCGGAGCTGAAACAAAGACGATGGTACTTTTCCGTAGCGGGAATCGGAGGCAGAGATACTCCTTGGCTCGACGTTTTGATCTCTTGGAATATATTCTGCTCCGCGGCTTTGGTAGTACAGAAAAAGTGTATCACATCGTGAACATAGCATGTTTTATTTTCGCCCATCGCATTAATTCGACCAACCATCAACAAGTTCCGGTTGATGAGGTCATTCAGATACTCCTCCGCAGTTTCTTCCAAGCTTTGCCCTTCCTTCTGTTGTATGAATCCTTCCGCAATCCATAAGCGTGTCAATGTCCAAGCCGAAATCTCGTGATCTTCCGGAAATACCCCCATGTAGATAAAACACTCTTTCAACTCATCGGGCAATATATCGTAGCTCAATCCCACAACATCGGTTATGTGGTTTTTCTTGTCTGTTTTTGCAAACTGAATCACATTCGCGGACACCTTGACCCATTCGTTTTTTATCACGCCAATTGGCCGTTGTCTCAAGAATTGTGCCATGAGAATTCCTCCGATCACCACTATCGTGAGCGGCAGTCCATCGCAGTTGTGGGCCACTTGTTCGCCGATGGTTATCAACTCCGGAGGACAAATGCCGACATCCTCGAATATCTCCAATTGAAGGAGTTTCCAACTCTCGTCTTTGGTAAGGAACCGTAGTTTATACGGTCCTCTAATACTAGCACTCATACCAACTTCGACAAAACGACTAGTTATTATGACTTTACCCAACCCGTTGCCCATCGGCAAGACTTTCTTGATGGTTTTCAAGTCGTCTAGATTCCATACATCGTCCAAAACTATCAGAAACTTTTCGTCTTTCAGACACTTCCGAACTGCCTGCTCGAGTTCGAATATGCCCTTGTGGGACATGTCTTCGCCCGTAAACTTTTTGAGAATATTGAGAAGCAACTCCTTTTTGTTGAACTTTTGAGAAACGTTAACCCATATCCGTATGCGGTACGTGCGTTGGATTGTGTCGCTGTCGTAGATCTTCCATGTTAGCGTTGTCTTGCCCAGGCCGGGCATACCGATGATGGAGATAACATCGAGTTCTTTCGTTTGTTCCATGAGAAAGCCGACGATTTTCTCTTCCTCGTCTTCGAAACCTACAACTCTGTCTCGCCTGATTGTTGGATCCTGTCGTTAAAACAGTTGCACCTGATGATTAGAAACAATTGTGCACAACTAATTTCTTTTGTGAAGCTACTATATAAGCATGCAAATAATTTATAGGCAATAAGAAATAGATGCCCTTCTTTTTTTCAAAATAATTCAAATTTTGCAGAAAACTATAAAACACTGAAAATAATTTTACAATAATTCAGAACTTCAATATTTAGAAATATATTTAATTCTTTTCTGGCACATTTTACTTCTCAATATTTCCAAAATATTTCTTATTTTTCTAAAAAAAAAATTAAATTGTCTTTATTAATTTTTATTATTTTTCATTCCAAGCTAAATTTTAACAGTTTCTTTGACGAATAACAAAATTCTATTGTGCTTCTTTAATTGCTAGAAACTCTCCTGGATGGAAAGATTTGAGGGGGATTTAAAATATTTATTAACCGTGGACCCACGGTTCTTTCGATCCTACACCAGGAGATAAACATCGGATGAGTCTTGTACCGACAGATGTTATATTTATATATTCCCCCACTTGTGTTAATCTGTAGGTGTTTTAGAAAAATACAAAAAAATACACGTGTCAGCAAAAGTTCCATTCGGTGTTTATCACCGGGTGTAAGGTCGAAATAGCCGTGAACACACTAAGCACGTATAGAGTTAAACCTCTATAAATTAATACAGTCGGTCGGGACTAGTAAAATCTTATTAATTTAGCGAATATTAAATTATCGAACTAAAAATTTAGTATTTTTTTACCGAGTAGGGACCGGAATTAATTATTTTTTCAACGAGGTTATTAATTTATCGAAGTTCTACGGTAAAAATGGGTGTGTGTGATTATATGCAGATCTACGATGAATAATTGGAGGTTTGTAAATAATCCGTTGTAGCATAGAAATTCATATAGGGAGATAGCATTTTACCCTTTTAATTATCGTCCTAGATTCCTCACCGGCGGCGGCGGAGAAAGATCCTCCCCTGTTTTTCATGTTCTCAAGTTCCGTCGTCGCCTGTAGGGTATCAAACTGCCAAGCTCCATAAAGCCACTGTATAATATATAAGTTCCCCTTTTGCAGTATTGATTACTGCCAAGGAGAATATATATATATATATAAAAAAAAAACAGAAAGATAGAACTAGGGGTGATTAAATTGAAAATTAAATAGATAAAGGATATCAGCTCAGTCTTCCAATTATCACACCAGAGATTCACACTTTCTATATACACCACCAGAGTACCTCAGAGAAGAACGAATCTTCTCTCTCTCTCTCTCAAATACTCAAACCCTAGTTTACCCAGGAAACAAAGGAAGAACAGATCAAGCACTCAAGCTTACCCACTCACCAAAACCCCAATTTCAGAACTCACAAATAGAAAACTGAGGGATTTAGGTCGGATTAGGGTTTTATCTGTGTCTCATCCTTTTCCAGCCTTCATGCCAATATATATAGAGACTGAAGTCAAATAGAGTCGGTGAAGGCTGTACCGGAGAGTCAAAGTCAGCACTGTACCATGCTCTTTGACCTCCAGCCATAACTCAGTCAAGGTAGTACAAGGGAGGAAGAAGACAGAAGCAGGAGCGGCGGAGAAGAAGAGAGAAGAGCTAGGGTTTCAGAATGAGTGAAATTAGGAGAGAGAAGAGGGTATTTAAGTGAGGTAATAAACGGTCCAGATTTAGCCAGAAATCCAACGGATGGATTTGACTTAGATCTGGACTTGGGATCACTTAATGTTTTGGGCCTAACTCAAATAGTGGTGTATAATAACTGATGGCAATTGGGCTCCATGGCCCAAAACACATTTGGGCCAAAAAACCAACAATCCTCCACCTTGGACCAAATGTGAATTATAAGTGAAAATTTCTAAAAAAATCATCATTGCTGATTTTTGACACACCAGTAAGAGCACACAGTTCATACAAGTATATCAAGTTGTGTTCACTCAGAATACAACTTATATGCATTTAGAATAAAATGCAGTAATGCAATCACATAGACAGCACAATCTCATTCACACAGAAAAAGATTAAACAAGCAATCACAAAGAAAGCATAAATATCAAGTCACACAGACTACAAACTAGCACACAGCAAGTCAAGGTTTGGAAAGAATGTTCAAGTTTTTCAAACAAGAACAAAATTTTTCAGAAGGCACACATTTTGTTCCCATGTCAGCTGGATTGAACTCAGATTGGGATTTTCTCAAGGTTAATAACCCCTTTTTCAACTACATCCCTAATGAAATGGAACTTCACATCAATGTGTTTAGTTCTGACATGAAAAACAGGGTTTTTGCACAGTTGAATGCCAGATTGACTATCAGAAAATACTACAACTTTGGAATTAAGAATATCAACTTCCAACAACAGCCCTTTAAGCCAAATGGCTTCTTTTATAGCTTCAGTAGCAGCTACATATTCAGATTCAGTAGTAGACAGAACAACAATGTTTTGGAGTTGAGATTTCCAACTAACACAAGCACCATTTAAGGTGAACACATAAGAGGTAGAGGATTTTCTATTGTCCCTATCATTGGCAAAGTTTGAGTCCACATAACCACATAGTTCAATTTCAGTTTTGCCTTTAGAAAACATCAAACCAGTATTAACAGTACCTTTCAAATATCTAAGCAGCCATTTTAATGCCTCACAATGAGGCAAACTGGTTTAGACTAGGGGTGTAAATGAGACGAGCCGGCTCGCGAGCTTCTGAAGCTTGCTCGAAAAAAGCTCGTACTCGAACTCGAAAAATCGAGCTCGAGCTCACGAGCCCGAGCTTTCGACGAGTCGAGCTTGAGCTTCATTTTAGTTGTTCGACAGCTCGCGAGCAGGCTCGCGAGCTTTACCTTTTCTCTATATTTTTTATACATAGAATAATATATAATAATGAATATTATTAATAATAAATAAAAAAAGAATAATTTTACTTTTTTAATTGAAAAAATAAATTTTATGGATGGATTTTTGGTTGTGCCGAGCTCGAGCTCGAGCTCGGGCTCGTTTCGTATACGAGCTCGAGCTCGGCTCGTTTACACCCCTAAATTAGACATATATCTACTCAAGCAACTCAGAGCATATGCAATGTCAGGCCTAGTACTAACCATCAAATACATAACAGACCCAATGGCATTGACATATGGCACATTCTTCATTTCAGAGATTTCGGGTTCAGTCTTGGGAGACTGATCCTTACATACTTAACAAAAAATGAGAAGCAAGAGGAACAGATACAGGTTTGGCAGACAACATAGAAAATTTATCAAGGATTTTCTCAATAAAGGAGTATTGATTCAGAAACAAAGTACAACCAGGTATATCTCTGATTATGTCGATGCCAAGAATTCTTTTGGCATCACCAAGACGTTTCATATCAAACTCATCACTAAGGCATTTAATCACAAAATTAACAGTTTGAATGCAAGGACTAGCAAAAAAACATATCATCCACATAGATAAGCAAGAACACAGGAATTTTTGCAGATTCTTTAAAATTCTAGCATGGATCAAATGAACTTCTTTTGAATTTTAAAGACATCATGCATGCATCAAATTTCTTGTTCCATTGCCTAGGTAACTGTTTCAGTCCATACAAAGATTTCTTTAGCTGGCACACATAACCAGGATGTTTTTTATCAATAAAATCCTCAGGCTGGCACATATATATTTGCTCATTTAATTCACCATGCAGAAAAGCAGTTTTCACATCCATTTGTTTTAATTCCCAGTTAAAGTGAGCAATTAAGGCAAGCATGATTCTAACAGTGGTGAATTTTACAACAGGGGCAAATATTTCAGTGTAATAAATACCTTCCTTTTGGGTAAACCCCTTAGCCACTAGCCTAGCTTTGTATCTAACAGAGTCAGACTCATGTTTGACCTTAAACAACCACTTACAGTTAACCTTAATCGATACCAGAGCATAGTCGATTAAGAATCTGCTACTAAATATAACAAATCACAACTGCGAAAAAATGCAAAATCACCTATATATTACAAAAACAAAAAATATACAAACATTATAATTGATTTATAGAATTGGAATCAATAAACGAAAAATCCAAAAAAACTAAAAAAAAATTGGAGTCGATCAACCTTAATCGACTACCAGAACATAGTCGATTAGCTTGATCGACTATGAATATGTACATAGTCGATTAAGGTTTCAGCCTGCGCGAAATTCTCTACACGCGTTATTATCCGCTCAATCCACCAAAAAACCCTAAATCTGCTTCCCCATCATCACCACACCGCTGCCACAATACACTATTCAACCAATCCCTAACAAGAATAAAATAAATAAATTAAATAATTCATAAAAAAAAACACAAATTAACATTTCAATGTCAAAAAAAAAAAAAAAAAAAAAAAACCTTCACCAACATCAATTGCAACAGTGATTTTCTCATGCCTCATCCTCGTGGGCGTCAACCCACAGCGTGGCCAGTCGCCGGTGGAAACCACCGCCGCGAAATACAGATCCATCACCACCCTTCATGCGGCGGCGGGAGACGGTGGCAAACACTCTCCACCGCCACCATCACCATTGGTCGATGTCTTGGTTTTCTTTCGAATTTCAGTCGAGAAGAGAAGAGAGAAGACGAGAAGAGAAGAAGAGAGAACGGCAGAAGAGAGAGGACGAGAAAAAAAAAAAAAAGGGCAATGGGTTAGGGTATTGAAGAGATTTAATATTAATAAGGGTGGTTTGAGAATTATTAAATAATATTTGAGTAGAACATTAGGTAAAGGAATTTTCTTTAATTATTTGTAAAATGAGTGTTTTCTTAACTAATTTTTCTAGATGAGGGATTCTTGCTAATTATAACTATTTATTATAAGTGTACACGCACTTCTTGTAAAGTCAATAAAGAAAAAGAGTCAATTATTGCTAATATTAACTTTATGCTTTACAAGATGGCATTAACGTGTGAACTCGACGTAGTAATATATTTTACCTTTTTCTAGAGTGCTTTTTTTAAGAATTTTTTAAAGTGCTTTTATTTAGGACATCTTCAATAGACTAAGCAATAGGAGTCTCCAAATTTTATTTTAAAGACCCAATTAGAGACTCAAGGTCTCGAAAAAAGAAAATCATTTTCAATGAAGAATTCTATAAACTTAATTTCGTTTATTAATTTATTATGTCATACTATAACTATATTTATAGTTTAGTTTTGTACATTAAATTTTCTATAATTATTTTTCATTTTCATTATCTTACTTTATTAATATATGTCTCACCTACAATTTTTCTTCTTATTTTCAACAGCAAAAAAATAAATATTTTAAGCAACAGAACATAAATATTTCAACTACAAAAATATAAATTTGATATTCTCAATTTTTTTTAATTAATTTACCGTGGGGCAACTTTAGATTATAGTCTCTATATACAATCTCAAATATAGAAGAATATTTAGAAACTTTAGGTATAGTCTATATTTTAAAGACTCTAGAATCTCTATTGGTGTTGGTTTTTTACCGAAGTCTGTAGAATATGGAGACTAATTGAATTTAGAGACTCCATTGGAGATGCCCTAAGAGGTTAAATATTTTTTTATTTTTTATAATGAAGGAACATGCAACCAACCATATATAGATGTACTAGGTAAATCTACATTCTAGGTTGCGAACTATACGAGAGACGTAAACCACACTAGACTAATACATGTATGCCAAACTCCACCTAGAGACCGTTGACAAGGAGATTCGAACTTGAGTCAATTGACATAAACTCACTTACTCCAACAGTTATATCGTCACTTACAAAACAACGTAGTATATCTTACCTTTAATTGCAACTAAATGTAGAAATCGTACTAAAAACAAATTTAATTTCATCAATTATGATAATTGAAAGATCTTATTATTTTAGTTTCTATTCAATTCTTCCCATCCAATCATTCGTGATATAAATTCTAAAAAGATTAGATATTGACATGTGAACACTGGCTGGATATAATAAAGTTGGCATGTTATTTAATGCAATAATAATATCTAAAATTCTACTCCAAAAAATTAAAGTCGCCACGACTAAAGTTTCAATAATAGTTCATGGCTCCGAAAAGAGAAGGTTTCTTTGTCTCTTAATTAATTTATTTTTCTTAAGAATCTTAACCTTTATAAAATCTTAGGGTAAATTACAACTACTCCTTAGGTATTGTCAAATTATGAAAATTCCCCTCTTGTTTGGATAATTACAACCATCTCCTCAATTATAATTTTTTTTACACGTCTATCCTTGGGGTTTTAAATTTAGAAAAATCTTCTAGATTATATGGAATATTCACAATTTTGGACCCGTTTTATCCCATTCGAGCCCTAAATTTTGAAGCTAGATGATCATAAAATGTGTTTTTTGGCTCGTACTATATCAGGTTGTGGTGCATTAGAAACTGTATTTTTGTACAAAATAGGTAAAAACTAGAGAACATTCCACGAAATCTAGATGATTATTGAATTTAACACCATAATAGTGGAGATGTAAGAATATTCATAGTTAAGGGGTAGATGTAATTATCCAAATATCAGGGGATTTTTTTTAATTTGACCATATCTCAAGGGTGGTTGTAATTTACCCAAATATTTATGATTAAGAGATTGAAAAAGATGGATTATGAACTGATATATAGAGGGGATAATTAGCAATACCCCCCTCATCTAGGTAAATGAGTTAAGAAAACCCCCCCTCCCAAAAATAATTAGAGAAAACCCCCTTACCTAATATCCTACCCAAATATTATTTAATAATTCCCAAACCACCCTTATTATCCCTAACCCATTTCATTCCACCATGGCCGCCCAATCAGCAGACTCTGCATTCTCGAACGGCCCACTCCCACCAACACTCAGTATGCCTACCTGCATCATCCAAAATAAAATAATGCAATTAAAATTTTGAAATTTGGGGATGTTCAAAATAATAATTCAAAATTCATCATTTAAACCCTAGAATTTGAGCAACATGAAAATATCTCTTCTTCTTGGCAATTATCTCGTGCCGTTGCATCTCTCCAACATCTGATGTCAGATTTCGAATCTGGACACGCCTAAATTTCGTCGTCGCAATGAGGTTTCCTCGTAGGATCCATATTTGTTCTCTCATTGGGATTTGGGAGAAAGTCTTTTTTTTTATTATTATTTCATTAATTAATATTATTATTCATTTTTTTAATTAAATTTCTTGTTAACAAAACAAAGTGATCTGAATCGCGACGACGTGGTGACGATGAAGAACAGATCTAGGGTTTTTTGGTGGATTGTGGCGGAAGACGGCGCAGAAAAATTAAATTCGCGCAGGCAGGGCCGTTAATCGACTACGTGGTTTAATCGACTATGTTCAATAGTCGATTAAGGCTTAATCGACTATGTTCAGTAGTCGATTAAGGCTTAATCGACTATGTTCGGCAGTCGATTAAGGTTAACCGACTCCAGTTGTTAATTTTTTTTTTTTTTTTTTTGATTTTTTGTTTATTGATTCCAATGTATAAATCAATTACAATGTTTGTATATTTTTTTTAAAATATAGTTGATTTTGCATTTTTTTTGTAATTATGATTTGTTATTTTTAATAGCTAAAATTTTAATCGACTATGCATTAATAAACCTGATAGAGAAAAAAATTAAAAAAACCAAAAAAAATGAAAAAAAAAAATTAGAAACAAAAAAAAATTAAAAAATTAAAGATTTTCCTTAATCGACTATGAAGCATAGTCGATTTAAGACTAATCGACTATGCTTCATAGTCGATTAAAAAAACGGAAAAAAAAAAAAAATCGCTGGAGCGCGTGCCCAGCTGTGATGAGGTGGCGGGCGGGGTTAAAACTGGGAAACACAATGGCTGAATTGGATCATGGGCTTTTCTCAAATGGTCTAAAATATTTTGGGCCTCCCTCAATTAAAAAAAGTATTGAGGGGGTTTTCTCAAAGAGCCCCTATATAGAGATGCTAATTTTTTTTTAATGGTTCAATCATGACTACTAATTAATTCCATTATTCTCGCCATGAAAATTAATTAATTAGCTAACGACATGGACTTTTCTCATGAGAATTAGATTACACTGTAACTTTTCTTTATTTTAAACAAGCGATAACTCTTATATAGTTATATTTGATAATCTGTATATTATGTCTTATTTTTAGAATTAATTTTTAAAGTGTTTGGATAATGATATTATAGGTTATTTTTACATAATATAAAATCCTACGTAAAAATGTGAGGTAGATATATTTAAAAAAAAAATTATTTGCTCTCCAGCAAATTATTTTTTTGAATTTTAGCAGCATATTTGTTTTTGAACTTTTAAAAAAAAATTACCAAACACTTTAGATGATAGCTTATAAGCTCTTAAGTATCTTATAGTTTTTTTTTAACATTTTATAAGTTTAGCTACACACCTTACACCACAACAAGAAGGATTAGTTTTAAGACAAAAGTCCAAAAGGGTTGAAAAATTCATTACATGTTAATGTACCTCGACCTTTCCTATATTTTTATCTTTGATCAATGTCTTTGCATTTGACCGACTAGTTAAACGAAAACCGAATTATTCGATTTGAGATGGATATATCATGGATCGTAATTTTTTTTTAAAATTAATTTATTATCCTTGTCAATTTAATCTCATCCACGATTAATAATCATCCTGTGTAAATAACAAAGTGTAACATCTAACTCGCCTATTATTATACGTGTTCAATGCCATACATCCAAAAATCCCACGTCTATTTGAATAAAATTCACAAGATTGCTTTTTATTTATTTAATTTTTTTTTTCATCTTAGATTTAATTTGGGTGAGTAAAGTAAGACAATGAAAACATCTGTAACTTTTATATTTCGAGCATAAAGAAATTCATCATTCAAATTACAATAAATGCTACAAATTGGATTTGAAATTGATGCACTTGCCCAACTTAGTTGAGTATTATATATGAAATGAAGGGTAGTTGACTTTTAATTTCTTTTATGGGATTCATTTTTGGGCGTTTCGGTTTAAGAGTAACTATATTTTTAGGACTCTGGTAAACCTGTAACTCACTCGTATCTCGAAAAATCACGACTCCACCAGTGTTCGTGTGTCTGATACCGAAGACAAGTCGAGCACCGCAACCTTCCCACCTGATGCCATACAATTTGGCTTATTTTATAAACGAATACGAAAAGATTCCAATTTGATATAGATTAATGCAATAAGCTCAAGTAGCGTTTAGACTAATATTTGATGGTAAACTTATTAAGTAATTAATAATTATAATTATATTATTTCCTTTTCTTCCATGGAAATAATTTGTAGGAAAAAAAATGTCAGCTTGACCAGAATAGTTCCACTGTTGACCTTTCCAGGAACCAGCAAGATAGGGCAATTTCCAAGCAATGCCCTGGTGAAGAGTATAACACAAATGATAAATTAGAAATTAGAAATTATAATCTTATCTTTAAAATTCAAAATTTCAACTCATTATTATTATTATTTTTATTATTATTATTATTAAAAAATAAATAAAGAAAACAAAAAAGTCATAATATATTCCCCAACGACTCAGTCGATCCCCAACTCGCTCACCACTATCCTTCATTCCCACAGCTCATGAGATGAGACAACTGAAAGCAAATCCCACCGCCGCCGCCGTCGCCGCCGTAGCGGCTTTCTTCTGCTGTTTCCTAGCCATTGCAGAAGGTGGGAAGCTCGAAACGTTCAGCGGATCGTACGGTCCGTTCGACGAAACACACTACCAAATCTTCGAAGTCGAAAAGCCGGCAACCATCACCAACGGCGCCCTCCAGGTGACCCCCGACTCCGCCTCCGCCGATTTCAACCTCTACAACAACTCGGGGCGCGTGCTCCACAGACGCCGCTTCAAGCTCTGGGAGGAGGAAGGCGCCGCCGGAGGAGGAGCTCGATTAGCTTCCTTCAGCACCTCCTTCCTGATCAACATCTACCGGCCGACGAACGCGACCCCCGGCGAGGGCCTCGCCTTCGTGATTGCGCCGGACCTGAACCTCCCGGCCAACAGCTCCGGCCAATTCCTCGGACTGACGAACGCGTCCTCCGACGGGAATCCGGCGAACCAGGTGGTGGCGGTGGAGCTCGACACCGCGAGACAGGGCGGCGACCCCGACGACAACCACGTCGGAATCGACGTGAACAGCATCAGATCCATCAGAACCGAATCCCTAACCCCACACAACATAACCCTCGCCCCCATGGGGGCCAGATTCTACAACGTCTGGGTTGACTACGACTTCGCCACCCTAACAATGAACGTCTTCATCGCCGAGCAGCCGCTGAAAACCGGGCCCACTCCCCGGAAGCCCGATTCTCCGATCCTCTCGGCCCCGAATCTTAATCTCATGAACCACGTGAACCAGTACTCCTACTTCGGTTTCGCCGCGTCCACGGGCCACAACACCCAATTGAACTGTGTGCTGAGGTGGAACTTAACCGTCACCTCCTTCTCCGAAGGCGGCAACGGCAAATGGCTGAAGATCGGGCTCGGAGCAGGCATCCCCGGGGGGTTGCTGCTTTTAATCGTGGCCGTCGGATTAGTGCGCTATTACAACAAGCGTCGGATCGAGAAAACGTACCCGAGATTGAAGGAAAGGATCATAACTTTGTCCGATACGCCACAGGAGTTTCATTACAGTGCATTGAAGAAGGCGACAAACAGCTTCGACGAGAAGAACAAGCTCGGGCAGGGCGGTTATGGCGTGGTCTACAAAGGCGTGCTGGCGAAGGATAATTCGGAGATTGCGGTGAAATGCTTTTCGAGGGAGAGCGTACAAGGGCAGGACGATTTCTTGGCTGAGCTCACCATCATCAATCGTCTCCGCCACAAGCATCTCGTCAAATTACTCGGTAATTTATACTAACTCCATTTGCTCGTTTAATTTTGCGATCGATTTATTTATTATGAGTTCGTTATTAGTCGATTGCTCGATTTACTATTTCGAAATGCTTTCAACAAATGCCGTATCTGAAAAATTTGATTCAAATCCTCCCAAGTAATGGAGACCATTTGGTAATTAATTTCAAATAATGTAGTAACGTTGGCAAAAGTGATTAATATATCAGTCAAACAACTGGGATTCCATTAGAGAGAAATTAGGTGGTGTTTGGAAAAACTTATTTAAAAGCAAGAAGTTAGTGATTGTGAGTTAAGTTGAAATTAAGTGTTTATTTCTAAAAGTTGGGGGTGTTTTCAAATGAGGTTGAAAATCAACTAAGGTGGTGTTTGCAAAAGCTTTTTGAAAGTGATTATGAGCTTTTTTTTTGCTCATAATCTGTTTTCAGGTGTTTGCAAAATCAACTTTTGCTTTTGCTTCTATTAAAATAATCTGCTTTAAGCTATTTTTTTAAAAGCACCTCTAGCCCTGTTTTTTCTATTTAAGTTCATTTTCTGGAATGTTTGCAAACACCCCCAACTTTCAGAAATAAGCACTTAAAACTGACTTAACTCACAATTACTAACTTCTGCTTTTAAATAATCATTTGCAAACACTACCTAAAATAGAAAAAAACAGGTACATGGATGCTTTTAAAATTATAGCTTAAAACAACTTATTTTAAAAGAAGCAAAAACAAAAGTTTATTTATAAAAGCTTTTGCAAACACCACCCTGAAGTGGATGCTTTTTAAGTCAGACCACCAATAATGGGGAATAAGTTTTTGTTCTCATATGTTAAATCTGTAATAAATGTGAAGGACATTTTTGTCTTATTACGTTTTCTTTATTACGCGTTTAACCTTAAACGCCACTTAATTCGAAGTCCAACTTGAGAAAATGTCACATGTTAATGGTGTCGTAAACAAGCATCAGCAGCCCTTTGTCATGGTAGTTGAATTATCTTTGCTCATGATTTTTTTTTTAAGAAGCTTCCTTCTTGATTATTAGTCCTTAAATATATATATATATATATATATATATATTGAACTCAACTTGTGTACATGAAAACGACTATTTTGGCTGACTTTGAATATTTTTAACAACCAACTAGGCCCTTTTGAAAGTGAGGTGTAATTTTGTTTTCAACTTCAACAATATTATTTACATTATATTGTCAACTGCACCTTTCTATTATAACCATTAATCTTCAACTAAAAAAAATTACTCTCCTTTCGGGACACTTTCGAGGGTCCCGGTTGATGTTAGAAGACGTATTTATTAAAGACTAGAGTCAATAAATATTGATAAGTGTTGAGTCATTTTTTTATGGCGAAACACTAATTACCATCTTTGTTTTTTGTCCATTAACTAATGGGGAAGCCAACATAGGGTTGGGGGCCATGGCCCCCCAACGATTCTTAAATCCCTAGTATTTTATTTAGGTATTTATTATTATTCATGTATTGTAGTGCACCCATAGACATAAAATCTTGGTTTCGTCACTGCCCTTAACGAAAATGATTTTAAAATTACAGGATGGTGCCACAAAAATGGGAAGCTACTACTTGTGTACGAGTACATGCCGAACGGAAGCCTCGACAAGCACCTCTTCGCGGGCCCGAAGGCGGACCCACTCGGGTGGGCCCTACGGTACAAAATTATTTCGGGGGTCGCCTCCGCCCTGCAATACCTCCACAACGAGTACGAGCAGAAAGTGGTCCACCGCGATTTAAAAGCGAGTAACATCATGCTCGACTCGAACTTCAACGCCCGTTTAGGAGATTTTGGGCTTGCTCGGGCCCTAGACAACGAGAAGACCTCGTACGTAGAGGCCGAGGGTGTTTTGGGAACAATGGGGTACATTGCCCCCGAGTGCTTCCACACTGGAAAGGCCACTCAACAATCCGACGTGTACGCTTTCGCCGCCGTTTTGTTGGAGATAGTTTGCGGGCAAAGGCCCGGAGCCAAAATTGCTGGCTTTAACTTATTGGTGGATTGGGTTTGGTCTTTGCATAGGGATGGGAGATTGCTAGAAGCCGTGGATCAGAGATTGGGGGACGCCTACGTGGCGGAAGAAGCCTATAGGCTTCTTCTGCTAGGTTTGGCGTGCTCGCATCCAATTGCGAGCGAGAGGCCTAAAACCCAGGCGATAGTTCAAATCATAGCAGGGACTGTTGTGGGACCCATTGTTCCGCCTTTCAAGCCGTCGTTTGTTTGGCCGGCTTCCAGGCCTTTGGGTTTGGATTCGGACTCGGTGGAGGAGACTACCACGATGACTAGTTCGCAGTTTGGTTCGCAGTACTTGAGCCGGGAGAGCTACACTAGTGATGGTAACTCTTTGGTATAGTTTTCTTTTGTACAAATGTGCATTCTTCTTTTTCTTTTTCTTTTTCTCTCTTTCTTTTTTCTTGTACTTGTTGGTATTTATTGCCTTAGAAATTGTTGTGATTCTTTGTTTGTGGTTGCGATGTCAAGAGGGGTTGAAGTAGCATTTGTATATATATTTGTGTGCTTCATAAATATTAAATTTTTTTTGTTTGTATGTGATTGTGGTATTATGTGATCTATCTCATCCATACAAACACAGAATTACTATTTTTCCTTCGAGGTTTTTTTTTTTTTTTTTTAATTAATGGAAAATTAAAAAAACAATAATTTATTATTTCAAACCAAATTTTCGAGCGATAAATAAACATACTTGCGAAAACGTTATATATACATAAAACATACCAAAGGGGTTGTGAGTAGTAGTACTCAAGCATTGATCTTGTCATCTTCTTCCCACGACGAGCGTACATCGATACCAACAAACAAAATTTGCCGTGCATAATATGCAGCTAACGGGTTGCAGTCAACCACTTCAATCTTTCTAATGCAGTTCAAATAATTCCCTTGAATCTCTTTCAACTTGTAGCAGTGTCTGATGTTTAGGTGCCCAAGCAAGTTGAAGCTGTTGTCTCCGATTGTCCAGACAGCAAGATCACTGTCTTCGATTAAGAGATACTCAAGGCTCGGAAATTCCCCGCCACGTGTCTCCCATTTCGGGCCTCGAAAGGCGTTGCAATGCAATTTTAGCACTCGAAGATTTGGCAATGAACCAATCTTGGTCATCTCTTCCCATGGATACCCAAGCCCACTCAAACACAGCTTTTTAAGACATTTTGGGAAAAAAATCGGAAGTCGAGCACCCACAACAACCCCGGATGTGAAAACTGGATTCTCGATAGTACATTTGAGCGTTTCGAGTCCGTTGAGATGGGAAATATAATCGAAGCAACTCAATAGTTCGTCTGCGTTGCTCTCCGATTCAATTCGAATTCCCAATTTCTTGAGATTTGGGAGCCTTTTAAAAACACTCTTGGTGCAACTTTTAGGACTCACATCTAAGAGTGTTAAGAGGTTTGGTAAGAGAGATTCTTCTTCACAATTAGGATTTGGTAGGTCATTACCCATGATTTCAAGATGCTCCAATTGTTTCATATCCCATATCTCCATAGGCAAATACGACGAATTTTCGGGAGATTTTACAATGCTTAGATGTTGACGGATAATAAAAAATTGAAGGTTCCAAAGTTTGGATATGGAAGCCGGGAGATTCTCATCATAAGTTAAGGCAAGGTACCTTAGTTGAATTAGCTTGATCAATACTTCAATTGGGAACTTGTAGAAACGGATTGTAAGAGCATCGAGTACCCTGAGCAACCTCAAATACTCCAAACATATCGGTACCGCATATTGATGATACGGACCGGTACATAACAGAGACCGTACAGTTGAAACGGATGCAATTGAGTTGTACGCATCTTCGATGGCGAACAATACGTTATTGTGGATGCACAATCTGCGTTGGCTTTTCATACCTTCCTCCGCATCTTCAGTATAACTATTCAAGACCTGATAAAACTTACTTCTCCCAGCTTCTTTGACACACATATACAAGAACGCAGAATTTAGATAGTACTTTTCAATTTTGGCACTCGTTGAGTACGAACCGAAGAAGTACATCTTCCGGCGAAAAATAACAACATTTCTTGAAATAAGCTCATCCAAGCATTTCTTAACAAATTGTTCAAAATCTGTCAACGGATTTGGTTCGAGAAATCCCTCAGCCTTCCATAAGTTGATGAGCTTGGAAAGTGGGATCCCATAATTCTGAGGGAGAATTCCCATATATAGAAAAAATGCTTTTAAATGTTGAGGTAAGTAGTAGTAGCTTGGAAGTAGTACCTCCAACATTTCCGCATATGCATTCAAGAAAACCGAATGTTGTTTTTTAGCAGCTACCTCATTCCAGTACTCTGTCGTCTTGTCAGCTTTGAACAGGAGATTAGCAACTTTGACGATTGTAAGAGGAAGACCTTCACAATTCTCGGCAATCTTCTTTCCCGCTTCCTTCAGTTCAACAGGGCAAGGCATTTTATCAAACACCTTGTGACAAAAAACTTCCCAGCTTGCTTCCTTATTCAAGAGTAGCATTTTGCAACTATATCCCCCAAAAACCATAGCCACCTTTGTCCACTTCATGTATTCTACTTGTGACCAAGACTCTATTCCCATTTCTTTTGTCAGGTAATAATCGAAGCAAATCGCTCAAGACCTGCGAGTTCCATACATCATCCAACACAACGAGCCATATCCGATTCTTCAATCTTTTCGACAAATAGTCGGCTAATTCATCGTCTGGCATTGTATCAGTGCCGGGATTTCCTTGATCGAGAATACTGCGTAGAATTTCTTTATCTCGATATGTGGGACCCACTGTCACCCACACACGACACTCGAAATGATCCACAATTGTTGAATCTTCGAACAGTGCTTTAGCAAGAGTAGTCTTACCAATGCCAGTCATTCCAATGAGTAGGACACTTTTTTCGAAGGGGTACCCTCTATCAGCTGAGCTTGGATTTCGCTAAAAAGTCGAGATACTCCGACCATCTTTGACTTGTTACATCCAAGATAATTATCATGTCTCGATTGAGCATCTTTGACTTGTTGTGGCAAAGGGTTCCTTAATTCTTGAATGTAGTCCTCCTTCATCTTCTTCACGGTTTCGATTAAGGAATCGAAATCTTGTTTTAGTTCCTCGAGGTCTATCGAAATCAAGAATGGATCGGCTGCATCATGTGATGATCTTTCTTCATTTTGCGAAAGAAACTGATTTGAGACCTGGGTTTCGATTACGTCTTCCAATTTCCATATTGTTTCTCTGATTTGTCCATCCAAAGTATTCATCCTCTCCATGCAGATGCTGCCGATGCTTTTATCCAACCCCTCTAGAACTTCTTGTAAAGAACGAACTTCCTCGTACAGAATTTTCATGATTTCTGGAGAGGAGTATTGAACCATCGAAGTGTGAGAAGGATTTACGAGGCGATCAATTGTCTGTTTAAGGGAAATCACAGCAGCATAAGCCATCTCTCTCTCTCTCTCTCTCTCTCTCTCTCTCTCTCTCTCTCTCTCTCTCTCTCTCTCTCTCTCTCTCTCTCTCTCTCTCTCTCTCTCTCTCTCTCTCCAGTTAACTGAGAAATATTGAGCGCTTCATCATAAGCAATGTGATTGTTGGATCACAAAAGAGTCAAACATATGACATGATAACTAATGGATATGCAAATAATGAACAGCTGGCCATGAGAATAAATTAAATTAAAATAGGCTGTCTGAAATGTATAAAGAAATCATTGGCATTTGTTTATCGTCCAATTTCAGATCCAACAGTCAAATTAGTTCTTATAAATAATCAAATAGCAAGTTGCATAGGTCCGTATAATTGTGCTTCTTCGTGTAAATAGCATAAAATCTCCATTTATTAAGAAATATTGCATCAGATTCCTATGTATCTATGTAGCACGGACACGGAAACGGCGATACGGAAAAATAGGAAAACGGCATGTCCTAAAAATGGGAATACGAAAACTTTGGGGAAACGTGTAAATATTAAAAGTATAAAGGTATATTTATAAATATACTACACAGACACATATAAGTTTTTATTTATATATAAATTCTTTTTATATATTTTTATACAAACATATTCAAAATAAATATTACTTTCAACTGTCAATTTGCAATTGATCATTAAATTATGCTAATAATTTTGGAAACAATAAAATTATTTTGAAAATTTGCTACTCAAACATATTTCTAACTTTTTAGAAATTGCAAAATGGCGCCCATAAGGTGTTGTAATGAAAAAATATAGTTTCAAATTCGGAAATTTTTGAATCGAAATTGGCGGAATTACGAATACAAGTCAAACATGATTATTCTTGATGAAAAAAATACCCCTAAAAACCAAGTGAATTGATCACACCAATCTATTCAAACAAAGAGTGGATGTAGAAATGATCTTCATCTCTTACCAATTTCTCCTTCATTTGCTCTGCCCAACTCAAAGCATATGAGTTGCAATCAACTACCTCAATCACTTCAACTTCATACGAATCCCAAATGATCTCCTCCAATTTGTAGCAATGCTTTACGCTTAATTGCCGAAGCACCGGAAAGCTTCGATACCCGACTCTCCAATTCTCGAGATCACTATCTTCGATTAACAAGAAATGAAGTCCCGGAAAATCCTCCCCGTAAGTTCTCCACTCGGGCCCGCGAAATGCGTAGCATCGTAATTTGAGCACTTGAAGACCTGGCAACGACGCAATTGCCCTAATGTCTTCCCACCGATATCCGGACCCACTCAAACTCAACTTTCTCAGATATGATGGGATAACCAAAAGAAGAGAAAGTGGTGTGGCCACGAATTTAGAATCGAGTAGAGGATTCACTACGAAAACTTTGAACGACTCTAGTCCGTGTAGACACGAAATATGATCGAAGCAACTCAAAGATTCATCATCATTAGGCGCCAATACGATTCGAAGACCTAATTTCTTGAGTTGATGTATTCTTCCTCCAAGAATACCCTTGGTACAACTACGAGCGCTCACATCTAAAAGCGTTGTAATGTTTGAGTAGATATATCTTTCGGCTTCGCCATCATCCGGTAGATCACTTCCCATGACTTGAAGATGCGTCAGTTCTTTCATATCCCATATCTCCATAGGCAGATACGGCGATTTTTTCCCGGAAGATTCTATGATGCTAAAATGTCGAAGGACAATCAAGTACTCGAGGTTCCAAAGTTTGGATATCGAAGAAGGGATATTTCCATCACACGTGAGGGCAAGGTACCTTAGCTGAACTAGTTTCACTACTTCCATTGGGAATTCATAGAAGCGAACTGCGGCAGTATCGAGTACCCTGAGCAACCTCGAACTGAAACGTATCGGCACCGGATATTGATGAGGCGGGCCCGTAAATAGGAGAGAACGCATATTTGAAACGGACCCCACCGAGTTGTTCACATCTTTGACATTGAACAAAACGCCCTTGCGAACGCAGAATCTGCGTTGACTTTCTACACCTTCTGCTAAACCATCGGCACGACTGTTTAAGCTGTGGAAAAACTTGGTCTTTCGAGCTTCGTTCACACACATAAACCAGAACGAAGAATGGAGGCTGCATGTTTTAGTTCTTGAACTCGAGCCCTTATGTCGGACCATAACAAGACTTTTGGAAACAAGGTTGCTCAAATATTGCGTAGTAATATATTTTGAAGTAGCGTACCAACCCTCCGGTTCGATAAGTCCCTCGGCACACCACAACTTGGTAAGCTTTGAGTAGGGAATCTCGTGATTTCGAGGGAAAACTCCCATATAAAGAAAACACGCTTTTAAACGTTGAGGTAAATAGTTATAGCTTCGTAATAGTACCTTCGACACATCATCATTTGCATCCACGAAAACCGAATTCTCCTTCTCCGCCACCTCGTTCCAGTACTTTGTTGTCTTCTCGGCTTTCGACAGGAGACTCCCAACTGTGACGATTGTAAGAGGAAGCCCTTCACAATTCTCGGCAATCTTCTTTCCAACTTTCTCGAGCTCAGGAGGGCAAGGCATCTCGTCGAACACCTTGCGACGAAGAAGATCCCAACTTTCTTCTTCATCAAGCAAGCGCACCCGATGAACTCCGTAAATGCTAGCGTAACGAGCCACATCTTCGATCCTGGTCGTCACCAATATTCGGCTTCCGTTACCATCTTCCGGAAACAACTTCTTCAAGCAATCCCAAACATTTATATCCCATACATCATCCAACACAATGAGGTATTTTCGACCTCTCAAACGTTCGTACACGTACTTCCACGAATTCCCATCTCCTCCCTTAACCACCCTATCGACACCGCTAATTAGATTCATCTGATCAACAATACCTAATAGGATATCGTATATTTCATATTTCGGACCTATTTCAACCCACAAACGAAAGTCGAAACAATTTGAAAACAACGGACATTCGTAAACTTCTCTAGCAAGAACAGTCTTCCCAATGCCGGCCATTCCAAGAATCGCCACTGTTTTGAGCTCATTACTCGAATCAGCGACAATATCTCTGATCTCGATAAATTGATCGGATAATCCGACCAGCTGGCACTCGTTTCCACCTGTCGACGAAACACCCTTTTCGTCCTTTTCAGACAACAGAGGGTCGCATAATTTGTTAACGTACTCGTCCTTCATCTTCTTCACCGCCTCGTTGAAGTTACCGAGAGCTCGGCGAACTTCGCCGAGGTCTAGAGAGAACAACACTGGGTGTAATTGTCCGTCGGACGAATGAGAGAGAAAGTGACGTGAGAGATGGGAATCGATTACATCTTCGAATTCGCATAGTGCATCTCTGATTTGTCGTTCATCCAACAGAATCAATCTGCTGCACTTTCTGTCGGATCTTTCGAGGAAATTCTGTAAGGATTGGACCTCCTCGTACGCAAATTCGACGATTTCTTTACAGTGGGGGACGATCGGTAGTTTGTGAGAATTGACGAGGCGTTTTAGTGTGTTGTTAAGAGAGATTAAAGCAGCATTAGCCATTTTTAGTGTGTTCTTCTCTTGATGAATGAATATGAAAGTATGGTTATATATATATATATACACACACACACACACACAAACAAAAGGAATCAAAGTAGAGATGGCCATATAATATGGAGGATGAAGAAATTAATATTATTCCTTGAACAGCACACTTCATCTTCTGCAAGCTGTGATTGCATGATTATGATTAGTTTAATTAAGCAACTGGGAATAAAAGATTTGATGTTTAGTGCACAAAAGCATCATCTAAACTTGGCCATTACTTCAAGTTTAGTATTCAGTATTGAGTATTGTTTTACAGATTTAAATTGTATTCTAACTTGTACTAAATATTTAAAAAAAAAAAACATAAGAAAATTAATAAGATTGGAGAATAATTTTGTTTGTTTTGCATGTAAAATAATTTGGAAAAAATACAGTTTTCATTCCTTAAGTTTGCATGAATTTCACATTTGGTCCCTATTTTTAAAAATTCAACACTTTTAATCATTCCGTCAATTTTACGTTATCACTAACGGAATCAAGCATGTGCCCATCACTGCGAGTTAATGGTAAAATAATAGAAATTACTATATAAGTGTTAAATTATTGAAACATGAGGGACCAAATGTAAATGGATGCAAACTTGCGGGTGAAAGTGTAATTGTCTCAAAATAGTTTGATAGTCCATTTTATTTTTGGTAACGGAGGAATGCACATCCAACCATATAGGTGCATTAGGTAAACATATACTCGCGCATAATAGCTTGTAAACCATACAAGAGCGTAAATTACACTAGGCTAATTATGTGTGATAAACTCGATAAGACCTTTGGTAAGATAATTCGAACCTAAATCAATTGACACAAACTCACTTGCTCCAACCGCTAGACCATCCCTCTTTTGCGGGACTGATAGTCCATTTCCAATGTATTAGTATTGGAAGCACACTTCTTGAATCTTATTTTAAATATGTTTTTAGCAAATATAACAAGAATAGTTGAAATATAAGTCAAATTATAATATAAATTATTACTTTAGGACAAAATGCGTTTCACCCCCTAGAAATTTTTAGTTTTCGCACTTTCCCCTTACAAATTCAAAACTAAGATTACCCTCAATTTAAATTTTGTTATAGTTGCAGTTTGCCCCAAATGAGATTTTCCAGCGTATTTTTCACCGATTGTCTCATGTCTCTATGAACTTAAAGGACATTTTCGTCCTTTCAGTGTATATACACAATTTTGCACCTAAATTCCCAATTTAATTTTAAGATTTTTATAATTCACAATTACACAATTGAGCTCCAAAATTAGGGTCGTATTTTTCTCTTCAAAGGCAAAAATGGGATCACCGTAACAAATGGTAATCGAAGAAGAAACTGAAGATTCTTACATTTTGATGACTACAATCTGCGAAATGTGTTGAGAGAAAAAAACACTAATATTTTTTTTGTTATGCAATAATGTAATGGACTGTGTAATGGGTTGGGTTTTGTGTTCAACAATACTATAAAGGACGAAAATGCCCTTTGAAAAATGCCCTTTGAATTGGCAGAGAGGTTAGAAAACCGGTGAAAAATACGTCGGAAAGTTCGACTATAACGAAATTTAGAAGGGGGATAATCTCGTTTTTTAATTCGTAGGGGGGAAAAAATACGAAAACTAGAAATTTCTAGGGGGTGAAGTGTATTTTGTCCATATTTTTATTAATAAAAAATAAAACTTATTATTTTATTAAAAATAAAACGTCAAAACAAACCCGTCATCGTTGGAACAAAAGAAAGAGATACAGAAAAGCTGATTTACATTACTTCCTCCTTTCATCGCAAAAAAGCTCTTTTCTCTTTCTCCGGCAATTTTTTATATATACATACACACAGAACATATATACATACATACACGTGTAATATACAATCTATATATCTATAACCGGAACCGACGTAATTCATACTCGAATTTTTCCAAAGCCGCAAAAAACTGCGTCGTATCGTACCAAATTCGATCGTCGTTTCGCGACTGAGCTTGTTGATTCGAGGAATAAATGGCGGATTGAAGGTTTCCGTACTTAGATCTGAATCTGCGTTTCTGTAATTTTGTTTCGTTTTCCGTTGAATTGAGTAGGAGAATGCCGCATGAGTCGACGTCGGAGCCCGACCCGGAGGATTCCGATAATGAACCCGAATTCGTTGAGGTCGATCCCTCCGGTCGCTACGGTCGGGTTCGTACAATTTGTTCTTTCTGTCAATTTCATCTCTATATAGCTATTGTGTGTTTTTTTTTGTTAATAACCAGATGTTTGCATTTTGTATTGCTAAGCTGCTTGATTATTTCGATTTTTTTTTTTTTTTTTTTGCAGTATAAAGAAATACTAGGAAAGGGAGCTTTCAAGAAAGTGTATCCTTTTATGAAATTTATGTTTTAATTTCAATTTTATTGTTGGTGATGAGTTTTTCTTAAGCAGTTTTGAAAGTGAAATCCATTTTTTTTTTGTTTTGGGGAATCCTTGATTATATTGATGCATATATAGATATAAAGCTTTTGATGAATGGGAAGGAATAGAGGTGGCATGGAATCAGGTCAAGCTAGCTGATCTCTTGAGAAACGCCGTTGATTTAGAGCGCTTGTATTCCGAAGTTCACTTGCTGAAAACACTTAAGCACAAAAATATTATCAAATTTTACAACTCATGGGTTGACACGAAGAACGAGCACATCAACTTCATCACCGAAATTTTCACGTCCGGAAATCTTCGACAGTATGTTAAATTTTTCGAAGTTGAAAACCTCTGTTTTTAGATTCATTTTTTTGTGTGGTGCAATTCCAAATTGGTTTAATGTACTTGTATATAGGTATAGGAAGAAACATAAGCATGTTGATGTGCGAGCATTGAAGAAATGGTCTCGACAAATTCTAGAGGGGCTTTTGTATCTTCATAGTCACGACCCTCCGGTTATTCATCGTGACTTAAAATGTGATAATATTTTCGTTAATGGGAATCAAGGGGAGGTCAAAATCGGTGATCTAGGGCTTGCTGCTATTCTTGAGCAGGCTCGTGCAGCTCACAGTGTGATCGGTAAGTTTCGGTTAATTTTAACGTGTTCGCTGCAATTTTGGTATTGGTTAGAATTTTTTATTTTGAAATAAAGAAATGTGAATTTTTTATATAGGCACGCCGGAATTCATGGCACCGGAGCTTTATGAAGAGGAATACAATGAGCTTGTGGATATATACGCCTTTGGTATGTGCTTGCTTGAGCTAGTAACCCTCGAGTATCCATACGTTGAATGTGCTAATGCAGCTCAGATATATCGGAAAGTGACAGCTGTAAGTTAATCTTGATTTTTTTTTTCTTTTCTGTCTATGCCTTTTGTTTTGTCTTCCGATTACATAGGAAGTGAAAAACCTTTTTGCAAGAAACGACCAAGTACGTAGTGTATAATGATAGACATAAATGTTTCAAAATCATGCAAAAAGAAGTTGCTTCATTGGGCCTTTCATTTATCACATCTTTTATGCTCAAACCCGATTCGATGTTCCGATGTTCTTGTGAAGGTAATCTTCTTCTCACTGTAAATTTATTTAACTTTGTTAAAAGGGAATCAAGCCAGCTTCATTAGCACAAGTGAAGGATCCTGAAGTTAGGATATTTATAGAAAAATGCATTGCAAAAGTATCTGATCGGTTATCAGCTAAAGATCTGCTGATGGACCCATTTCTCCAGTCGGACGAGGATTTCAGGAGTAAAGGTCAATCACTAAAGCCGCAGCCTTCTAATGCAGGTGCAATTTGCAATCTAACTATTTATATATATATATATATATATATATATATATATATATATATATATATATATATATATATATATATATATATATATCTTAAGGATTGTATATATTATATATTATCACTATTGTTCCACCATTTGTATTTGCAGGTGATAATCGCGAGAAGTTTGAGAAAGAGAAAACCCCTGAAGACTCTATGCTCGAAGGAAGTCGAGATTTCACAGTGGAAGGTCAAAGAAAAGACCATAATACGATATTTTTAAAACTCCGAATATCAGATTCATCAGGTTATTTACTATTTTTCTATATTTTGAATTCCGAAAATAGGGATTTAAGAGACGAAAAATTGAACTTGCCGTCGATATCATTGTTAAAATAGAAAAGTCGGGATTCAATTAGGTGGAATAGCTTTTTATTATAGAGTAGCCAGGCATAATAGAGAGACAGAGATAGATAATATTGAATGAACCCAGTCTCTTTATAAAAGTGATTTTATTTTTCAGGCCATGTTCGAAACATTCACTTCCCGTTCGATATCGAGGAGGACACCTCGACAGCTGTCGCAAGCGAAATGGTCGAAGAGCTCGATCTAACAGACCACGACGTATCAGTCATAGCAGCAATGATCGATACCGAAATCCAATTCCACATTCCCGATTGGGTGCCCAAAGAACTCTCCGGCAACAACAGTTTCACCGCCGAAACACCTCCCCAAACGGGACCCACACCACCTCAACAAGAAGATGCCTCCCCCACAGCAAACGATTCTTTGCAGTCAGGTCCTCTGGTTTTAGAAAAATTACCATCCGGCCGTAAATATTGGGCCGACTCACCCAAAGCCAGCGGTGCATGCTCTCCACTCAGACCGGGCCCATCGAGCCTGCTAATGCCAGACGATTCGGTGGCATCTGGAGATAGCTGGTACGAAGAGAATAATAATTCACAGTCTCCGATTAGTTATAATATTAATAAAGATGCAAGTAGTTCTTACGATGCTTCTCCATTGAGAGGTGGTTATAACAGTAATACGACGGCACGTGAAAATGATTCGGGCGATATTAAAATGATTGTCGAGAAACTCGAGCATGTGCTGGATGAGCAGATGAAGGAGTTGGATGAACTGAAGCAGAAGCACAAAATGGCGGTTTTGGATCTTTTGGAGGAGCTTCCGCACGAGAGCCGCCAGAGGGTTCTTACCATTTGCAACACGAAGATATCCGGGCATAAAAATGCATGAATAATTCAACGGATTAGTATTTTTATTTTAAAGTTTTGGTATTTTTCGAGCAGGTAGTATTGTTGAACTATTTAAGCATGTGCAGTTATGAAATAGGTTAGTGATATACGTATACCTACCTTGTCGAATACTTATTCAAAATAAATTCAATATGCAATTACAATTAGGAGTAGAAATCGAACGGATCAGATATAAATTAACATTTTCGAAGAGATGCTACTTTTTTTTTCGCAAGTCATTTCAATTCTATTAAAAAAATACGAAAATCGGAATGTGTCAATTAATATTATAAGTGTAATTTTTAGTATTTTTTTTTAATATTTTTGAAAAATTAAAATTGGATTGAAAATTGGATTGAAAATTGGAATATAAGATAAATGCTAAATCCGATTATTAAAAAAAAAAAGAAAAAAAAAAAGGAAATTGGAAATTTAGATAGCACATAAATCCCTCAAATTGTGTTATCCGAGAGAAGGTAGAAACGGATAGAAAAGGGACGAGAGGTCCTCTTTTCTTCTTCCCCATAGATAACACACTCTCTACCATTTCTCACTCTATCCTCTCTCTCTCTCTCTCTCTAAAATCTCATCTACTTTCTCTCTCTACAACCACCGCAGCCGCCGCTCTCTGTCCGCCATGGCCTCAATTACGGCGACCCCCACAGCTACAGTTGCGAAGCTCACATACCTATCGACGCCTTCACTCCAAAACCCCTCTTCGAAACCCGCCAAAATTGCCCTATCCTCATCCTTCACTCCCTCATCCACCACTCTTTTCCTCCACCCAACCCCCGCCGCCGTCCCCCGCTCCCTCCGCCGCTTCTCAATCCGCGCCGCCCGAGGCAAGTTCGAGCGGAAGAAGCCCCACGTCAACATCGGCACAATCGGCCACGTCGACCACGGCAAGACAACCCTCACCGCCGCCCTCACCATGGCCCTAGCCTCCCTCGGCAACTCCGCCCCCAAAAAGTACGACGAAATCGACGCCGCCCCGGAGGAGAGAGCCCGCGGAATCACAATCAACACCGCCACTGTCGAGTACGAGACCGAGACCCGCCACTACGCCCACGTTGACTGCCCCGGCCACGCCGACTACGTGAAGAACATGATCACCGGCGCCGCCCAAATGGACGGCGCAATCCTCGTCTGCTCCGGCGCCGACGGCCCCATGCCCCAGACCAAAGAACACATCCTGCTCGCCAAACAAGTCGGAGTGCCCAACATGGTGGTCTTCATGAACAAACAGGACCAAGTCGACGATGAAGAATTGCTCGAATTGGTCGAATTAGAGATAAGGGAACTCCTATCCTCGTACGAATTCCCCGGCGACGACATCCCAATCGTTTCCGGCTCTGCTCTCCTCGCTCTAGAAGCCCTAACCGCAAACCCCAAGATTAAGAGGGGCGAAAATCAATGGGTGGATAAAATCTACCAATTAATGGACGAAGTCGACAGCTACATTCCCATTCCTACAAGACAAACCGACTTACCGTTCTTAATGGCGGTCGAGGACGTTTTTTCCATCACCGGCCGAGGCACAGTCGCCACGGGCCGGGTCGAGAGAGGTACGGTCAAGGTCGGAGAAACCGTGGATCTCGTCGGGTTGAAGAACACGAGGAGCACAACCGTGACGGGCGTCGAGATGTTCCAGAAGATTCTAGACGAGGCGCAGGCCGGCGACAATGTGGGCTTGCTATTGAGAGGTGTTCAGAAGGACGATATCCAGAGAGGGATGGTTTTGGCTAAAACCGGAACGATTACGCCGCACAATAAGTTTTCGGCGATCGTGTACGTGTTGAAGAAGGAGGAAGGCGGAAGGCACTCCCCGTTTTTCACGGGGTACAGGCCTCAGTTCTACATGAGAACCACTGATGTCACGGGGAAAGTGACGAGCATTATGAACGATAAGGACGAGGAGTCGAAGATGGTTATGCCCGGGGATCGCGTGAAAATGGAGGTGGAGCTTATTACGCCGATTGCTTGCGAGCAGGGGATGAGATTTGCTATTAGGGAAGGTGGCAAGACTGTTGGCGCTGGTGTGATTCAATCCATTATCGAGTGATGAAGTTGCTGATTTTTTGCGGTGGATGGAAGAAAGATCGAGTAATTGTCGTATATGGTGAAGTTTTCTTTTTTTTTTTCTTTTTTTTTTACTTTTCATTTTGAGGTTATGTTTTTAGTTTCTAGTTTAAGTGTTTACGCACATTGTTATGATAATTGACGATTCATTCGAAATTTTGATTTGTTTCGATTGTTGAATTTTTGCTGTGTTATTTATTTATCTCTGAATTGGATGGCTGTTGCTTTAAAACTTAGAGATGCGATGACATTTAGGTGGGATGGAATCTTTTTGCAGTTAAAAGAAACACATTCGTGGCATCTCGATATTTTAATACCTTTTCAAAGAACTTGAAATCGAACTTGAATGTCGAATTTCATCTTTTGATTTTCGTATTGAATGTTAGTCTGTGTAATGTTTCGTTTCTCGAAAATTCTTCACTTGGAATTGTCTTTCTTGAAATGGTTATGTTTCACTCTTGAGTGTATCGGGAATATTCGTCTTAGTTTGTGACTGGTTTGCCTTTTAGCAACTCTCCTATTGGTCGATTTCGGTTCTTGCAAGTTGCCTGCAGTTAAAGGATGTCTTGATAGCTCAAACTTGTTTCGAGCGAAAATCGAATTTCCGGTACTAATTCTAGAAACTAAAAAGTCTGAAACACGTTTAGTTTGCCATGTTTACGATTCTATTAACTGTTGTTAGTCGAACTCTTGGAAACCTATTATATAGCTCGTTTTCGACCACCTGACTTCCTCTTAAGTTAGTTGTTGAAATTCAGACCACTTGATAAGTTTTAAGGTTGTCAAATAACAGAGGAAAAACGCAAGTAGAAACTTACGGATCTAGTTCCGATTTTTACTTAACAGTAGATAATACATTGAAGTAGTTACACAACCTATAAGTGCAGAAGACAGGCATCTTATTTAAGTCAACCTTAACAATAACATTACACATTATTTAGATTATCCGAATACCTGCCTGCCGCACACGACTCTTCGTTCTTTAGTTCACTGGTTTAAAGGTATCCCATTTGCACAGCTCGAATTTCTTGTGCTTCTGCTTAATGAATCCATCAGCTTCCACATCAATAGTCTTATCTTTGAAATTTTCGGTTTTGTCATGTTCGACAAAATGAACTTTCTTGTGCACCACCTCAGGGGCCCGATTCTTCTCGTGATTCACACGGGAAGTTTTCCCTGTATGGTCGTCGTTTTTTTCAACATGTGAAGAAGAGTTGTTGTTGAAAATTCTATGCATTCTTGTGATTTTTTCGAGATATTCATCGGTGGAGAAACGGGAATCGCCACCGTGGTAGCTGCTGAACTCATAGTTTCTCTGCATGTTCTTTTTTTTTTTTTTTTTTTTTTTTTTTTTTTTTTTTTTTGGTGTCTCGCTTAGCGCTCTTGTTCTTCGGAAATATGGCGATTACAAGCTAAGGAATTTATAGATGGTGATTTATAAAAAATATATTCTTTTTTTGAGATGGTTACATATTGTCATGCATGAATCTGATGCTCTCTCTTTAGTCAGTTTTCAAATATTTTGCTGCTTTCGGAATAAAAAATCGCATCCCTTCAACAAAGGTGTAAATTATTAAATAAGAATATATATTATATTGCGAATATTTGTTTTTTTTGAAAATAAGTATTTTCAAAAACACGAGCAAGAACATATTTTTACAATTTATAAATGTACTCCTATATTTTTATTATTTATAAATATACCCCTATATTTTTTATATTTACGCGTATCCCGCGCGTGTCCGTATCCTAGTTTTTTGAAATGCCGTATCACCGTGTCCGTATCCGTGTATTGCCGTGTCCACGTATCCGTGTCTGTACAGCATAGCTAACAAGTAACATGTAAGACACGTTAATCAATGGCCAACTTGGATTAACAAATATTAGATTTCATATGGTTGACTTTTTATCACTTGTTTCCAGACTCCAGAGCAATAACTTTACAAACAATAATCCCAGATCGAAAATTGTCTGAGAGAGAGAGATGGCTTATGGTGCTATTGGTTCTCTTGAGCTGACAATTGATCGTCTTTTGAAATCATCTCATATTTCCATTGTTCAAAACTCATCACCACAAATCTTAACGCATCTGTACGATGAAATTCTTTCCTTAAAAGAAGCTCTTGGAGAATTCGATAAATGGAGGAGCACCATTAACATGAAGATGGTCAGAACTTTGGAGGCAGAAATCATACATGTTGTATACAAATTCGAAGATGTAATCGACCTCCATCTCTCAAATCAGTTCCATTCACAATCTGAAGAAGAAGAGACGACTGATCATCATCGATTAATGGTATACTCAATAGATGTGGAAGAAATAAAGCAAGATGCAGATTCCTTTATCCAAACGGTGAACAAGATAAAGGGAGCCTACATCCACGAGTTACACAACCCTTCACCTGAAGAAGATGATGATGTTGTCCCGTCAAGACTTGATTCTCATGGAAACGAGTCTAACATGGTTGGTTTATCCGGTCTTTTTATGACAATAAAAAAACGGCTTAATTCCACAAACCCTGAAAGGAGGATTGTGTCGCTCTATGGGATGGCGGGAATTGGTAAGACTACACTTGTCAAGAAACTCTTTCAATATCCTTTTCGTGTAGAACGCACGCATTTGTTCGTGACCATCGGCCCAAAATATCAATTGGCTGACATCTTGGTGGATATTCTCACACAATTGAATGCTAACATCGACGAAATAATGCTTATGGAAGGAGAAAAAGTGTTAGTCGAGTTGAAAAGGATGGTGTTCAAAAGTTTAAGGTTTTTGAGATACTTGATCGTGCTCGATGATGTGTGGGATAGAGAGCTTTGTTTGGAGTTGCTGGAGTTATTTCCAGAAGACAATAATAAAAGTCGAGTATTGCTGACAACCAGGCTAAGCGAAGTAGCTTTGTGTTCTCACTCTTTGAATACTTTCAAAATACCCTTCCTTGATAAGAAAGAAAGCTGGGAGCTTCTTCGTGAGAAGATGTTTGGTGAAAGGCCTTGCCCTCGTGAACTTGAGAAAGCTGGAAAGAAGATTGCCGAGAATTGCGAAGGTCTTCCTCTTACAATAGTTACAGTTGCCAACATCCTTTCGAGAGCTGATAAGACTTCGGAGCACTGGAACAAGGTGGCTAATGATAAACAAAATTCGACATACAAAGATGCATATGATCAAATGTCGAATGTACTATATCCAAGCTATGACTATTTACCTCAACCTTTAAAAACATGTTTTCTCTACGTCGGAGCTTTCCCACAAAATCATATGGTAGATCCATACCAGCTGGCCAACTTATGTAGTGCCGAAGGATTTCTTAACTCAAAACCAATAGAATTGGACTTCTCTTTCACATATGGTACTCATGTTTATTTGGCTCAGCTTCTTGTCGGACATGTTATCATGTTCGACGCAAAAACACGAACATATCATCTTCATTCGTCCTTTTGGTACCTGTGTAACAAAGAAGCTGCCAAGAACAAGTTGTTTTATGCCGTAAATTGCCATGCCGATGCTTTACCAGAAGAAGGTATAAACTCCCAACGCCGATTGTGCATTCGAAATAATGTTCTGCTTGCCATCGAAGATGTGCACAACTCAATTGCAGATGCGTCAATGGTACGCTCTCTCCTCTGTACAGGTTATTTTCATCAATATCCGGTACCATTGTGCTTGGAACATTTAAGGCTCCTCAGAGTATTGCACGTTCTTTCTGTTAGGTTCTATGAGTTCCCGATGGAAGTGTTGAAACTAGTTCAACTAAGATACTTTGCCCTCGTTTATGATGGAAATCTCCCTCCTTCTATTTCCAAACTCTTGAATCTTGAGTACTTGATTGTTGAGCGGCATCTAAGAATCATACCATTTGTTGGGAATGTATCGCGTCTGCCTATTGAGATATGGAATATGAAAAGATTGAAGTATCTTCACACCGGTGGAAGAGACCTACCACATCCGTCTCATGAAGAATCTCTCTTACCAAACCTCTTACAACTTCTGTGTGTCCCTCCTCAAAGTTGTTCTAAACATCTGCTTGCAAAAGTCCCTAATCTTGAGGTGTTAGTAATTCAAATCGATCTGCCTCCTTATGCTAGTGAGCCCTTGAGCTGCTTCGATCACATTTCTCATCTCCATCAACTACAAGAACTAGAATGTTACATTACGAATTCTACACTGAAGGCAGAAGTTGTTGCCCCACTTGCACCTCTTTCAGATTTCCCATCAAGTCTTACAAAGCTAACTTTGAGCGGAAGTTTTGGGTATCCGTGGGAAGAAATGAACAAGATTTCTTTATTGCCAAATCTTAATTCTCTGACTTTGCAATTTTACGCGTTTCGAGGCCCCGAGTGGGAGGTTCGTGACAATGAATTCCAAAGTCTTATACATCTTCAGATTGAAGACACTGATCTGGAGCAATTGACGTTTGAAAATTGTTGCTGTCTCCCAGCAATTGAGGTTTTTTATGTCGCAGATTGCTACAAGTTAAAAGAGATTCCTCTGACATTTGGTACATCTCTTCAAGAGATACTAGTTCTCGACTGCAACCCTATGGCTGTGAGTTGTGGAATCAAATTACAAAAGGAGTGGTACGACAAATATGGTGATGGTAAACGTTCATTAGTTCTTCGTCCCCTTTCTTCGTGGAATGATGACCAATCGTGATTTACCATATTGATGCTTCACAAGGTTAGTCATTCAATTTTCGGAATATGTTTGTGTGTTTGTTTCTGTCCATACTGCAGTTGAGCATGATCACAATGCACAAACATACGTATACTTAGCACAACCTTTGCAATGGGATTTCCTCGTTTTCCTAGTGGATCATTGAAGATTTGTTGAATGACTTTGATGCTGTAAAATCTCAGTTTGAACACAGAGAAATCAATCAAGCAGCCGATGTGTTGGCAAAAACGGGGCACTTTTAATGCTGTGATTTTTGGAACTTGTCCTGTTTTTTTTTAGTGATATTTTGTCCTGTATTCTTTCTACAAGTTACGTTCGTAACTGTAAAACTCTTTACACATTTGTGACATCTCGATATTAATACTTTCAAAACTTCAAATAACTTGACTCAAAATTGAATTGTCAAATTTCATCTTTTGATTTCGTGTTAAATGTAAGTCTGCAGTGACTGTCCCATTCTTTTTAGGTCGATTTCAGTTCTTGCAAGTTGTCTGAAGCTACAACATTTAGTATGTCTGTCTGAATTGATGGATGTATCGATTTTCTTGTGCACCACCTTAGTGTAGAAATGATGAAACACATAATGAAAAAGATGAATTGTGTCTTGTATTTCATCAATGAGAGCTTGTACATTTATATACACACAAGAGAGAAATAATAAAGGAAGAAACTAATTACACCTAATCAAATCACTAATTAAGACTTGATTGAATCTAATCAAATCCCTAATCAAATCACTAATTAAGACTTGATTGAATCTAATCAAATCTCCTAATTAAGGCTAAACTAAATCAAAAGGAATATAGATTATATTCTTCTAACACCCCCCGTCAAGTTGGAAATGGTATTGATATATCAAAAACACCCAACTTGCGAACTAATCGTCGATAAGCTTCACCGCCAAGTGGTTTCGTAAAAATATCTGCCAATTGATCACTTGAACGTAGGTATGAGGGAGCAATGAGCCCTGCCTGAATTTTTTCTCGAACCGAATGACAATCAATCTCAATGTGCTTGGTGCGTTCATGAAAGACAGGATTTTCTGCAATGTGTATAGCAGCTTGGCTATCACAATGAATTGGAATTGGTTGAGAGTGGTTGAAACCGAGATCCGTTAGAACATATTTTAACCACTGTAACTCACAAGTAAGTGCAGCAAGAGAACGATATTCGGCTTCGGCAGAAGAACGAGAAACGGTTGGTTGTTTCTTAGTTTTCCAAGAAATAGGACTAGAACCCAACATGGTGAAATAACCAGTGGTAGACCGACGAGTGGTAGGACAACCAGCCCAATCAGAGTCGGCATATCCTACTAGAGTGAGAGAACTAGATGCAGAAAGGAATAAACCTTTACCAACAGTACCTTTAAGATAACGAAGGATTCGATTGGCAGCATCAAGATGAGTAGAATGCGGATTTTGCATGAATTGACTAAGAGTATTTACCGCATATTGAATGTCAGGTCGTGTTACAGTGAGATATAGCAGGCGCCCTTATGAGACGTCGATAGATTGATGGATCGGGAAGAGGAGTCCCATCATGTGGACGTAAACGAAGATGTGGTTCCATTGGAAAATCAGACGGACGAGAACCAGTCATCCCGGAATCAGATAAGATGTCTAGAGTATACTTGCGTTGACATAAAAAGATGCCTTGTTTAGAACGAGATACTTCAATACCCAAAAAATATCGAAGATTACCAAGATCTTTTATGGAAAAAGAATTGGCAAGAAATTTTTTGATATCGGAAATAGCATCATCATTATTTCCTGTAATGATAATATCATCAACGTAGACGAGTATAAAAATGGATGTCTTATTACGAATATATGTAAAAAGACTGTAGTCTGAAATTGATTGATGAAAGCCTCGACTAATAAGAGTGGTTGAGAATTTGGAGAACCATTGACGAGATGCTTGTTTGAGACCATAGATTGATTTATTTAATTTACATACACGAGTCTCCCCTTTGTGAGAGAAGCCAGGGGGAAGTTTCATATAGACCTCTTCATTAAGATCTCCTTGAAGAAATGCATTGTTAACATCAAGTTGGTGGATGGACCAACTTTTAATGGCAGCAATTGAGAGTAGGAGACGTACAGTAACTAGTTTTGCCACAGGTGCGAAGGTATCATGGTAATCAATTCCTTCAATTTGAGTATAACCTTTGGCAACTAGACGAGCTTTATATCGATCAATTGAACCATATGACCGATATTTAATTTTGAAGACCCATTTACAACCAATGGGTGATTTGCCGGGTGGAATTTGACATAAGGACCAAGTGTTATTTGATTCTAGAGCTCGAATTTCCTTGGCCATTGCATCACGCCATTCAATTGATTTTATGGCTTGAGAATATGATCGCGGCTCTTGATTCTTAATGATATTTGTGAGAAAGGCTCGATGGGAATGACTTAAATTACGGAAAGAAATGTAATTTGCTAGTGGAAAATCAGTGGATAGTGAAATATGATTACAAATATAATCATTGAGACGCTTTGGTTGGTGACGGATGCGTTGAGGGTGATTACGAACAATGGTTGTAGAAGGTGAATCAGAAGATGGTGTGCCATCGGAAATAGATGGAGAATCAGTTGAACCATCAACTTGAGAATGTGAGGAAGGAGATTCGGAAATAGAGGGAGAATTGATTGAATCATCAAGTTGAGATGGTGGCGAGTCATCCAAACTCGTAGTTTCATTACGAGGAATAGAATCACCCGAAGGGGGGTCGATGAGTGGTGTAGGGTAGTCAAAAGTCCCATTATCATTGATCGGAGTAATTGAAATTGGATCTTGTAAAGATGAATTTACAAGATCGTGATATGGAAAAATTGACTCATGAAAAATGACATCGCGTGAAACGTAAATTTGACGAGTTTTGAGGTCGTATATACGATATCCCTTTTGTCCATAAGGATAACCAACAAAGATGCCAGGTTTTGCTTGTCATCAAATTTATGTTGAATATTTATATTTTTAGAAAAACATAAACACCCAAAAACTCGAAGAGAGGAATAAGATGGAAAATGTCCAACTAAGACTTGATGAGGAGATTTATATTGAAGGACTGGAGTTGGAAGTTTGTTAATGAGAAATGCAGCGGTTAGAATACATTCACCCCAAAAAGAAAGATGCAAGTTTGCTTGAAATCGTAAAGCTCGAGCGACATCAAGGAGATGCCGATGTTTACGTTCTACAATGCCATTTTGTTGTGGGGTCGCAACGCAACTACGTTGATGAATGATTCCATTATCATGAAACCATTTTTGAATTTGTTTGGAAAGAAATTCAGAACCATTATCTGAACGTATGGTTTGAAGTTGAGGAAGAAAAATATCCCCATTTCCGGAATTCAAACGAGAGACTTTTGTGTTAAATTGACGACGAATTAGATTAAAAAAATGGGTTATCATGTTGAAAGTTTCGGATTTGTGTTTCATTAGATAAATCCAAGTGCATCTTGAATAATCATCAACAATAGTTAAGAAGAATCGTGATCCATTTTGTGAGGGTATAGAGAAAGGACCCCAAATATCAACATGAATCAATTCAAAACAATGAGAAGAACAAGATGTACGTTGAGGAAATGAAAGACGTGTCTGTTTAGCACGTGGACAAACATCACAAACAAAATCCTTATTTGGAATAATATTTTGAGAATTCTTAACAATAAAATCAAAACGAGGCCTAGATGGATGACCAAGGCGAGAATGCCATAGATCAAATTTATTACATTGCTTAATAGAAAGAGCAGAATTAGAAATCAAATGGCAATCTAGATAGAAAAGGCCATTGTGAGGATTACCCCGACCAATCGTCTTCTTCGTTGATTGGTCCTGAAATACACATCCAGACGAAGAAAAAATTATATCACAATTTGTGGATTTCGTAAATTGTGAAATCGATAACAAATTGAACTTAAAAGATGGAATGTAAAAAACATTCGTGAGAATGAAAGTACCAAAACATTTGACTGTGCCTATGTGAGTCACAGGCGCGTGAGAGCCATCAGGCAATTGAACATATATGTTTTTACGAATAGGGTTATATGAAGAAAAAAATGAGAGAGATGTACATATATGATTAGAAGCACCGGAGTCAATAATCCAACAAAATGACGAAAATGTGTGATTTTTACCTGCTAAGTGCACTGAGGGTCCACTAGTTTCTTCTTTGGCAAGAAGTGTGAGAAGCTTGTTGTATTGTTCGTGCGTGAGTGAACTAGCCATAAGAGTGGAGTTGGATGGAGGTGGCACGGATTTCTTCACATGTTTGTCGGGAAAGCCATGAAGTTGATAGCATGTAGCAAGAGTATGACCATGTTTGTTGCAATGGTCGCAAAATGGACGTTGACGTTTTCCCGACGGACGAAATGGAGGTTTAGATGCTTGAAGTGCAGCGGCATCAACAGTAGGAGTTGTGAGAATATTGATCTCTTGCTGCTTTTCTTCTTGACGAACCAAATTATAGATACGTTGAATGGAAGGAAATGGTTCCATCAAGAGAATTTGGCTGCGAATAGCGGAAAAACGATCATGTAGTCCTTGAAGAAATTCCATGGATCGATCTTGATTTTGTTGGTCAATAATGCTTTTAGCATTACCACAAATGCAAGGAGTGATATGGATAATGGAACCGAGTTCATCCCATAGAGATTTGAGTTGCGTAAAATACAATGAAACAGACATGCTTTCTTGTTTGAGAGAAGAAATTGATTGTTTCAATTGATAAATTTTTGGAGCATTTGATTGAGAAAAACGATCCTTGAGATCGGTCCAAATTTGTGCTGCAGTTTCAGCATACAAGATACTTGGACGGATCTCAGGTGAAACAGAATTAAGGATCCAACTTCCTACCAAATCGTTACAACGTTCCCAATTAGAAATGTCAGATTTCTCTGTCGGAATTGGGAGTGACCCATCAACGAAACCAAGCTTATTTTTGGCACGAAGTGCCATTGTGACTGCACGACT